AACTAGACTTGCAACATCTTCCCAGGACAAAAGACAGGCTACGGCAGACCGGTTTCTGAGGCGTCGATGTCCCCGGCCGAGGCGGGCACCGGGATAGCTCTGAAATGATTCAGGGCTCTTCCACAACTCTCAGGCTACTGCCGTTGGCGGACAGCCGCGAAGGTGCAGAGGCCGGCTCCTTTGTTAATGATCGGCACGTGTGTGAACTAAACTGGTGTCACCACATCCCATCATATGAGTATCTGAATTGCGGATGACGGACAAACCCTACTGCTGCTGCTGCTGCTGCTGCTGCTTGCTGACCCACTCCCAAAAGTTCATCGGCATGGTTTAAGACTAAGAGGAGCCTTTGCATCTGCTGCATGCTCCCTGTCTCAATTGCTCAAGCCTCGGCATTCGCCGTGGAGGACCCGTCGAGAGTCCTTGGTCGAAGCCACAATGTTAATGTAGCCCTGGGCATAGCATTACGAGTGTACTCTTGTTTGCAACGTCGCTCCCTTGCGGCAAAGATATGTTCGTGCACCAGCACTCCCATGAGTGTGAATATCCTCTGCAGCTCACCGCAAGCAACGAATCATCACACAAACACGAGACGTATTAGCGCTGACAGAACTGTTGTCCGAGACACTTCAGAAAGGATTCCAGGCGACACCACCTGGGAAAGCAAGTATACAGTGCAGCTATCCCTCCACGTTTTTCTCACTCAGCCGAACGATAAAGCCACCTCAAAATGCTGCACGTCCGAGGCTGCAGCTGTTGTCCGTCTTCCCTGTTTTTCTTGGCCTGCATGGTGCGAATTCAAGGACGCGTGTTGTGCAGCGCCTCATGCCGAGTGAGTATACATCTTTTGCCTTGCATGGGGGCTGAGGCCTTGGCAGTCTGACCAAGTGCCATGACGGCACCGTCGCCCGTCACGTCCAGGCCTCCCATTCAACATGCGACTCAACACGAAGGCACCAGCCCCACGGGCAGTGCAGCACGCAGCACGCGTTTTCTCGACCGCACGGAACGCTCTGATGCATTGGTCTTGGGCATGGCTCCGGATAGCAGATCCAGCACAGTTTCATAGACGAACCCATGCGCTGCGAGCCCGATCTGTCAGACTGGGTTTTGGACGGAGTCCTGAATCCGCCTCCGCACCCATGACTCCCGGGGCTTGGTGCCCGAACGACAATCGATCGGTCCCGTCTAGAGCGCCTTGGCTGTTCACCATAGCGCGTGTAGGGAGCCATGTGGTCTTCCAAGCTGACAGCATTCCAAGGTCGATGTCGGCAGCCAGAAGCCGCGAGCACCGACCGAGGCATGAAGACATGAAAATGGCATCAAACGCCGGGAACTATGCCGCTTGGCTTGGCTTCCTAGTAGGAGTGGCCCCGGAGCGCGACGCACTGCAAGCTGCAAACCTCTGATCTTCAACCCTGGACATCTTCAGTGGCGCTTCTTGGTCAACTCCTGCCCGTTTTGAAACAACTTGAAGCCAGCAACAGCAACCTTGCACCCCCAACCTGTCGATGGTCTGGGATACCACGCGGCGTCTTTAGATCAAAGACCTAGCTCTCATCGAGACCGGCCCTAACCACTCCGACCCTCGGCGTTGTCAAGAACATGTAGATTCCTAGGCAAAGCCGGAGCGCAGATCTCGCCATATCTCGACAGAGTGGGGTAGCCAAAGAAGTTGGCTCAGTCTGTGCGGCTCCGAGCGGTAAAATCCTACAGACCAGCAGGGGTATAGTTAACACCTGAACGTCAAGAGGAGAGCTGCATGGGAAGACATCTCCAGTCCAAACGGTCGGCCAAAAGCAGAAACTTCTGCACTTCGAACGCAGGTCGAGGTTGAAGTGCTGTCAAAGCGGCTCGAGACTCTCTCTCTCTCTCACTCTCTCTCTCTCTCTCTCCCTCTCTCTCTCTCTGACTTATGCGGCCGCGCATGAAAGAATTCATCGGGGTCACAGCCATTGCAATATACTACGTATTGACCTGCTGGTCTGGTGCCCTTCAAAAGGCCGCAGGACATGGCAGCAGAACGCTTCATGCAGGCAGGTGTTCCACTTCAGGTTCACCTGGTCCCAAGAAAAAAGGCATGCAAGGAGCAAGTGCGGCCTTCTCTAGCCGCTAGCCAGATTGCACGAAGTGTCGGGGGCCAGGTCAAGCACCCGTCGAAGCTGCCCTAAGGGCCCTACGATGACCACAGAAGCACGGACCTGGTGATGGGACAGACCGAATGGTATATAACTCAGAGGACATTTTAATTCTACTTTTGCGATGGTCACCAGGAGCTGCTGCTCTGCGTAGTCCGAGACACTCAGTGTTGCCTACTTATCTGAGAAAACTGGTTGGCACACGGCTTGTGATGTCGACCAGGATTGTCTTTTTCAGAAGGGATTTCAACTAGACTGCACGGTCAAGTCACGGACTCCGTGTGCCGCTGTGCCCTTTCTGCTTTGCTCGACATCATCCTGCTGCAGAAGACATCTCAGAGCAGTCTCGCCTGGGGTAACTTCGTGCCCGATCGTGCAAGGGCTTTCATGTCGCTTCTGCTGACTTTACCGTCGGACTACATGTGCGAATCGCGATGCAACCTACGCTTGATTTTATCTGCCGGAACATCGCCAGGCAGGGAAGGAGAAGTCTTCAGAAAACCGCTTCCCAGCCAACGAGCCCCGGCTTTGCAGGCTCATGGTCTCCTGCAGCTGCATGCAATTCACGCTTGGAAACTTTGCCATGCATCCCAGCATTGGGTAGAATACGCACCGGAAGCAACTGACATAAGAGCAGAGGCTTGGTCACGTACGTATGAGACTCCCTGTTCATACTAGAATTAGTAATATCACTAATATTAATACTAATACTAACACTAATGCTGGGCTTCTGCTTGAGCTGACACAAGAACTTGCTGCCAGCATTCTGCTGATTGTGCTCCGGCTTTGCATTCATTCTCATTCATGCAGTGAGGCAAGCAAAACTGCGGCACATTGGGCTAAACCAGCTCCCTAGCGGTCCCTTCGTCTTTGCGCCTGGAAGCAACCAACATTCAGGCAGAGATAATTATCAACTACGCTCTAGTTGAAACTACACGGCCTTATACTGTGCTCTCTCCAAACTGTCCAATGATATTCGATCACTCCGTGACCCTTCGTCAGCTCGCCCTACGTGCGCAACGCATGACGCTCATCCAGTCGCGAAGGGCGAGGTGCTTGCGTCCACAAGCTTCGCATGCCTGCATTGCAGTGCGATGTCAAGACCTAGGCCCCTTCAAGCTTATGGGATGTTTCCAAGGGGTGTAGAGTTGGCGCACTACGACACTTTCCAATTTAGATGGTTCTTGGCTCTCATGCAAAGTCCACAGATGTTGCATGAATGAAGTGATGAACAACAGATGTCAGAACTGCTGCTAGAACGTTCCCGTACGATCGTGGGGCTCCAGGTCGAGTAAGTTCGATGCATCGAGGCCTCCTGAAAAGCCATCATTTGCAACAACCCACATGGGTGGTTGTCAAAATTAGGGTCCCTTTTTGAGCACCCTAAATATTAGGTGCCGTATTATACTAAGGACCCAGCAAGGGTCCCTAATTTTGACAACCACCCACATGAACCTAAGAACAGGTTTCGACAACTGTCTGGTTGTTAGAAGGGAATGGGGAGATGGATCCCTTTTGCAGCCCCGAGAAAATCCCCATAATCCCTGCCCCCATTCCCTCCGAAGCACCAGAGAGCCCAAAGATGCAGGGCCCATGGCCTGTTTCCGGCAACTTCGAAGAGGCAGACGGAGTACATAAAGGCCGAGCCAATGAAGACCTCGTGAAAGAGCGGACAAGCTGTCAAAAGGCCTCGATCCAACCATCGCGACTTGGGGGCATGCGAAGACCACACGTTAGCTGTTGGCTTTTGATATGTCAATCCAGAATTCATAAACGATCAAGGAACACAGCGTGGAATGCTCCGGAAAGTGCTCGGATCGGACATGCTGCACTGGAAACAAAGCAGGTAGCTACTATGGTACTGTGCAAACTCTGTGGAGCAGTGGATGTAACATCTGTTGCCACTTTATTGCTTTGCGGCCGTACTTCGGCTTAGTGCATGGGAATCCCCAGAACTGCCTCTGCAACTTTAACAGCATTGCTTCTAAGGCCAGCGCGAACAAATGCCACATCGCGTGGTGAAATTCCACGCTGGCACCTCTGAGTTCGTACGGCTATTCAAGCTGGTGCCCAAAAACTCCTGCAGCGAACACAGCAGGATCTCAAACACACACTGCCAATTGATACTCAAGCTCTAAGGACGCAGATGGTCATAGCTTGTTTCCCCACGGCACACAAGTGGAATGGTACGCCCAAGGTGAAGCCTGAGCTGGCCACAAGAACGTCAAGAAACACGACTCAAAGGATCGTGGGACTTAGTAACTAGGGTCATAAATTATAAAATAAGGTAACCATACTTATAATTACTTATATCCCCAATTGAGGTACTTACTAAGTCTCATGATCCTCCAAGCAAGAACCCAAACATGCCAATCGGCGTAACCAATGCAAACAGGCGTCTCAAGCCACCTGCAATCCTTAGCACTGCTTCATGATACATCGTGTTGCCCGAAGCCAACAACCGCGCAGGGTGTGGCATCTTCGGTCGAATCCTGGTTCAGAGTTCGATCTTCTAGGTTCTGTTCAATGACAAACATTTTCCATACCACAAGGTTGATGACCATTTCAAATATTTCACAGACCTGACTGCTGAAGATCCGACGGAAGCTTGCGATTTCGTAAGATAACGACACTCCAGTCGTTTTGCGAACGCGGCATAACATTGTCCTAAGGTACTACAGCACTAGAAACGAAGGACTGTCAATACCTGCAACAAGAGCATGGAAGGAAGGATTTCGCAAACTTGTGTGTCTTCAAACCTCGATGCACGCATCCAGGATCATCTAGAGTGGCATAGGCGGTGCTGGATTGGGTGAGCTCAAGTCGAGTTTGGCAGTCAGGTGATACACCCAAGCCGCTGTCCTACTTGCATTCACAAAAATGCAGCAAAAGCCAATTGCAGGCCAGCCGCATGAGTGCTTTGCCCCGTGTCGAGACGTATTTCATGACCTCGCTCCAAACGCCGACGACAGACCAACCCATCCTTAGATCGTTGCAATTAGCACCTGCAACTCGCTTGTCGTCGCCGAATCTATTTCCCCATGGTTGCTTGTCGAACAATCGGCTAAATCAAGTCCGATCCGACTGCCGTGTTTGCACGAAGGCTTGCCCAAGATGCTGGGCACATCGGCACATTCAGTGTTTTGCTGCACTTTTTCGTCTTCCAAGATCTCGTGGATTGCAGTCGCTGCCTGTGTCTGCATGCCAAGTCGCGCCAGGTAACGGATGTGGTGAAACATCACGTCAACACCACCTGTCGCGGCCGTGTGCATCATGATTGGATGGTTACTTGCTCTGGACATCGTACAACTTGGACGGCATTGACACCGTAGATATCTTAAAACGACATTGCTTCTCAGCTCTGTGCGAACATGTCCGGCTGCCACCTTCTACTTCCTCGTCGAGTTGGACACTTTGCTTCCATCCAATATACCTTTGTCGGTCTCGAAGACATTGGATCCGAGACATGCACGCTGTATCAGCATAGGCGGTAGAGGGAGTGATAGAAGAGTGTGTGTGTGTGTTTTGTGTGTGTGTATGAGAGAGAGAGAGAGAGAGAGAGAGAGGCAGACAGAGGTGGGAATAGACAGAAGCAAAGAACACATAAAGACAGAACTAAGACAAGAGAGAATAGGAGGAGTAACTTAAAGAGCTGAAACTTGCATGTTCTTAGGTTCAAGCATGGTGTTTAAGCTTGCGAAAGACGCAACTGCAAGCAATAGCTTCTATTACAGACGAATCAGCACTTAATAACCATCCATCATAAAATCAATTGACCTGTTTGTTTACTGTGACTATGATATTCTTAAACCCCATCATATCAGAACCAGCATGAACCTGTGTTCTTTTCTTGATCATCATGGCCACTTGATGAGGTAGCGGCACGTAAGATGAGCATGACATCTGTCAATCACTGCTGATTCCGCCCGCATCATGCGGCTGCAACGAAAGATGGACGATCACCAGAGCATGCCAACCAAGGAGAGTCGAATTGCTGGTCGAGATCGAGGTGTAGGGGAGGGGTCGAATGCTGCATAGTGCTGCCCAAGGAGCAACATAGTTTCACCAACGAAGCCGACCACGGCACCTTAATCAGCATAATGCCCAACACGGTCTAAGACCTGCAGAACCGCCACCAAGCCATTTCTTCGAAGCATCGACAAACTGGGTCAGGCACAAGCCCAGACGAAAAGAAGAAGACGATAGCAGCGGCAATGGATCCTGAGTTTGCCAGTGACACCGCTTGAGTCGGAAGGTGTAAAGGATTTCCAAGCTGGTTTGCAAGACAAGCGTGGTCAACTGGGTTCTTCATCAAGTTTAAGCTGTTGGCGGGCGATGGTTTTGTGCCACTGCGGTTGAGCTTCATAACAGGAGTGTAGCAGCCGGCAATCATGGAGTTGATTCCGATATGGTCAAGCCTCAGGAGTAGGGTACAGGGTTCCAAGGCATGGACTCAAGAAGGCACTTTCGACACCGGTGCTTGCAAACTAGACTGGCAGCTGACGGGCTTTCACAAGCGTAACGTGCGCCTGTGCCAACATTATCTGGTTCCAAAGCCAAGGAGCATCAAAAGGAAGCGTTGACACGATCCATCCCAGGCCTTCGTGGAAGTGCGCTAGACAAAAACACAGCTCTCAAAGCATTTCTCGGCGAGAGCGCTTTCAGCCTTCCGCAGATCTTTATCGAAGTGGATGCCGAGGGGCCCAGTAATGGAAAAGGGCGGAGCAGCTGAACATGAGAATCATGCCTCTGATCGCTCATGCATGCAGCACCCAATGCAGACCCAAACCGACGGTCTTGACCGAATGGCAGGCGAAACGATGAAGTACTTTCAAGTTGTGAGCTTCTGTGCCAGTGACGCAAGTGGATGCACTGAGAGGGCTTGAACCGGTTGCTTTCTGAAGCGATGCGTGATGGCTTCCCCGGGAGCTTGCGATCTTCAGCCAGCTGCTGCTATGCTGGGGCTAACAGCTGCCGAGCTGCATAATCCGTGAACACACAACCCAGCTTGTCTTACCTTGGAAGCAGGGCAAACCATGTGTCCGACATACGTTCGAATGTTCCTGAGAACATCCATAACAAACTGCACAGAATGGGATGTGTCACCAATATCTTCCCTCTGTGATCTTACGGTGTCGTGTGCTGAGACCGCCGCGACTGAATCTCCCCCTGCAGCACGGAAGATGCGACGAATCAACTGCGGCTCTCAGCTGCTCTGCCTGCGCGCGACACAAGGACGAGAAGCGGTGCTGCCAGCAGCGCTGCTGTGACGCCTTGGCAGTCAAACTCGGGTCGAAAACCTGTCCCTTCCATAAGCTTGAGAGTGCTAACTAGAGCCTTTTTTTATCCGCAACCCGATGGTAACATCTACATGATTTGCCTATATACAGAGACCTTTGCCCTACAAAAGTGATGGAAGTAGCAGCAACAGCAGCAGTGACAAAGGCAATGGCTGGGCTGGCGATGGTAATGGTATCGTCGCCGGCAGTGGTTGTGCTTGTAGTAGTACTTGCTGAAAGTGGTTAGTGGGCAGAAGTCTGGAGCTAGTTGCTCGTAGCTCGTAGTGGTAGTAGAAGTCGTCGTAGCGGCGGCCGGAGCAGTAGCAGTAGAGTGAGAGTATGGCAATGCTGCAGAGACTGCTGGGCTACGGCCCGGGTCGCCGACATGCTTGGCCCCTCATGCGCGATGTCACTGCTTGTGCTGGTATGGGTTCTTTATGGTTGTCTAAGACAATGCTGCTTCGGTACCTGCCGACTCGCCAGGTGGACCCCGGACGTTCGCCGCCAAGGGAAGGAAGGACGAGTGAGAGTAGCAGTAGGAATAGAGCAGTAGGGGAGTAGTAGGAGTACTAGGAGTGGTCCAGGAGTGATAGTACCAGTAGCAGCAGTAGGAGTAGTAGCGGTGGCAACAGTAGCAGCAGCAGTTGTGGCAGTGGCAGTCGTAGCAGTAGTAGCAGTAGCAGTTGTGGCAGTGGCAGTAGTAGCGGTAGCAGTAGCAGTAGCAGGTAGCAGGTAGCAGCAGTAGTAGTAGTAGCAGCAGCAGCAGCAGCAGTAGTAGTAGCAGTTGTGGCAGTGGCAGTAGTAGCGGTAGCAGTAGCAGTAGCAGTAGCAGGTAGCAGTAGTAGTAGTAGCAGCAGCAGTAGTAGTAGCAGCAGCAGTAGCAGTAGTAGTAGTAGCAGCAGTAGTAGCAGGAGTAGCAGTAGTAGCAGCAGTAGTAGTAGCAGCAGTAGCATTAGCAGTAGCAGTAGCAGTAGCAGTAGGAGTAGGAGTAGGAGTAGGAGTAGGAGTAGGAGTAGGAGTAGTAGTAGTAGTAGTAGTAGTAGTAGTAGTAGTAGTAGTAGTAGTAGTAGTAGTCCTAAGACTAGCACCAGTACCAGTACCAGTACAGTACCAGTACTGATACTAGTAGTACGAGCAATAAGCGTGGTACTCGTAGTGGTAGTTGTGGTAGACGTGCTAGTGGTAGTGGTAGTAGGAGTAGTAGGAGTAGTAGTAGTAGTAGTAGGTGGTAGTTGGTGGCAGTCAGTGGTAGTAGGTAGTAGTAAGTTGTGGTAAGTGGTGGCGGTAGGTGGTATTTGCGTCGTGGTGGTGCCGGTGTTGGTGGTGGTAGTGGTAGTAACAGTAGTACTAGCATTAGCGGTACTGACTACTGTAGAAGGTAGTAGGATGTAGGTGGCAGTAACAGCAACGGAATCATCAGATCTTCCCGGCCTCCGAAGTTCACGAGGCGATCTGCAATGAGTTCTCGTCGGGAGTATTCACGTGCGGGAGGCTGGTACCACCTCCGGACACTTCTGTTAGATGTGTCTCAAGAGCTTCATTCTGCACTTCTTGGGCAAAGGCCTGATCATTTCATCAGCTGACTCTCCGCGAAAGATGCTGGGCCCTCTGGGATATTCCGCATCAGAATGCCTTCAAAGCAGACTCTCCATTTCGCACGGCAGGTAAAAGCCAACGATGTATTGCAGTCATGGAGCCCGTGCCGCCTGAACCTCAAGGAGACAGTCGACACTGTCTCTTTGGCATTCGCTCTGTGCCGAGTGGGTTTTGCGACCAGGGAGCGAGACTGCCTCCGTAAAAGCTCCTCACAAACTGGCATGACAGAACGGCAAACAGACGGCCGGCTGCTGCACAGCTCTAGTCTAGTTGGAGAGGCTAAAGAGACACTGGGCAGAAGTGTTGTGCTGAAGAACGGTGGCGACAACGTGTTGCTCATACTGACATTCGGCCACAACACTGTGCTTTCACCGGGAGCTGCACCATCCAAATTACAAACCTCGCTTCGCCTGAAGCAAGCCAACTCAGCCCCCAATGCTTCCATAACCTGCCTCGATGAGTGTTCGAGTCCGCAGCTGGGGACCATCTCTGTCTGGCAAGCCTGAGCAGCGAAACGTCAATTAGTGTTTCTGCACGACACGCTTTGGCAAGCTTGTGCCTTCAATGTCTCCTGCTGTCTTGGGCTAGGTCAAAGCTATATGCTGCGAGTCGATGATATGGTTGCGAGTTTACGATGACATGAACAGAGCCTCCGAAAGCGCACCACCTGTCTGCTGACCCATGACTTCTCTGGTACCGACGAGACACACGCAGCCAAGCGATATTGCGAGGGCTGGCACCACGAAGCGCGACCTCATCTGCATGCTCTTTAGTTGCTAGTTTGATGGATGAGCACGGCAATCCATCTCTAACTGCTTCGGCAAACATCCCGCCTGCTGCGCGCGGCCTGAGCTGCAAAAGTTGCAGTGTGTCAGCCAGGCAGAGTTTTGCGGATGCGATCGGAAAACCTCCGGTTCGTTTACTGATGAACAAGGTAACGCCACCTTTGCGGACGGGCGCTCTGGGCTCCGGAGTTTTTTCGACAAAAAGCGTGTTGATGCCAGGTGACATGTCGTTTTTTCAAGTTCAAACATTACTCGCACAGCACATCAACCGACATTTTCCGAAATGCCTTGCTGAGATTATCGCTTTGATGCCGGAATGGTATGGGCACGGTTTTCGCTTGTTTAAATAATCTGTTTTTGTTTTTCTGGGTTTGGGATCATGATGTCATCTTAAGTTTCCCGGTAAGATGCGGTTTTTAGGTTGTTTAGCGCAGGCAACATCGCGCAGGAAACAAAGTTTTTTGGAGATGTCTTTGCTGAGACTATCAAGGTTTCTGTCGGAGAAAAATGGGGATAAATGGTGGTTTGCACTCTTGAATGCTTTCATGGGGTTACGCTTGAAGCAATTTTGGGGAACTCCGGTTCGGGGATTAGGTTGTCATGATCGCATGTATCTCACTTTCAGGAACGGCCGCATATCAGCATATCGACAAAGAGTAGCAGGAGCACCGTATAATAGCAGCAATACTCTCATGATGGTGATAGATGTGATTATGTTGATCCTCATCATGATGTTTAGAGCATTCGCAAAAGATCAGTGTTGTTATAGTTCTTTTATGTGAAGATGAGGATGGTGAGCCTGGTGATTATCATGGTGATGTTGATCAGGGTAACGACTATGCTTGCGAGTGCTGTGGTTGTTGGCTGTTAGGGTGGAGGTCTTCAGTTTTGCAGAATGAGGGTTCAGGATGTTGGGCTTGCAGAGTGTGGCTTCGGCTGGAGGTCTTGAGGTTTGCAGAGTGAGGGCAAGGTTTGAGATCGGGGGTTTCGGCTTGGCATTAACATGAACAGCGGTCCAGCTGCTGGAGAAGGTCGATGACCCATGCAGACAGCCATTGCAGAAGGCAGGGTGCTGGCTAAGGGGCAGCCGAAAAATGTCTGGCAGAGAGCATAGCATATTCTAGCATACTATAGTATAGTATATATATATATATGTATTTATACAGTATAGTCTACTACAGTTTATTAAACGCATGCATGGGATCATGGCGCCAGAAATGCTGTTCGACATGGCTCCGTCCTCGCAGCACCAGCTCTTGGTCGTCCTCCGCAACAGGGGCGATGCAGCCCAACTAGATCCCCCTAAAGCTCCCACCACACATGCACACATGTGTCATCAGGATCATACCATAAACATCAGATTTCGCTTCTTCATGTTCTGATTTGAGGTCTTTCGGCAACAGGGCGGCGTGTGCAGATGTACAATGTTAAGTACAGGACACATGCAGTGAAACGGCAATAACAGAGGGACGTAGGTCTTAGTGCAACAGAAGTTATTAATAGCATTTAATAGCACTCTGCGATGCCAGGACATGACAAATCAATGTTTGCTCATACCTGGCTACCTACTACCTGTATACATACATACATGCTTCCGCGTGGTAGGCGCGTGCATGACATTGTATAACACTCCCATATGTATGGAATCAGATTCTTGCCTGCTACTCTTTTGATGCCCGGCAGCTCCGTACCTCGCGGCTTGGGCTCCATATCGGGCGGCGGCTCCTGAATCTAGCGCGACTAGGCATTGCCCATTGGAATACCTTCACCTAATCAAGCCCCGTCAACCCAAGGCCTACAGCCACTACCTGGGCAGAAAAGTCAGTGGACGGTCATTGGAGTTTGGAGCAGAACAAAATCTGCGGATGCTGTGGAAACCGAGTTGAAGTTCCCTCGGTGCTGGTGCGCGGACGGCACTCGCCATGTCCATTGTGGGTATCAGGGTTCTGGCTTCTTGGAGAATTCGGTCTTGGAGCCCTGGGGATTGGGTTCTCGAGGTCCGCTTGCAGCACCCTATCGACCCTGGAAGTCCACAGCAAGGGAGTACCGAAGCCCTGCATGTCTCAAGACGTGGACGGATAGCGACTGTAGCAGCATTTCGCGGGCGAAGAGCTCCAAGAGCGTGTAAGGACTACTCCATAGTACTCCAGAAGCTTGTCGAGAGATACGAGGGAGCAAACCGAGACCATTCAAAAGCAACATCATGATTGATTACCACCAGCAAAACCAGGGGCTACGTCGGTTGGCGGCTCTAGCGGACCCTAGCGGGCTTGCACACTGTAGCGATCGCATGGTGGACAAGGAGTAAGAGAGTGTGAAGAGATGAAGTACAGGCCGCTCGAGTGACTCTGAGTACTTGTAGTTGAGTCAGGTCATTGGTAAGTCCGCACATTGTCCAGGAAATATCTAGATTCGTACACCTTGACCTTGCTCGTCTCTGACCACCTCGCAGGCCTCGTTGCCAGTAGAGTCAACGCCAGGCTTGAGACACGCGCTGCCTTGGAGACGATTCGATGCGAACGCTTCACTCCCGATCTCTCTTTTGGGCACCGTGCGGCTGCAGTAGGGTGGGATGTCATCACTGCCCTGGCACGGCCATGGCTGGCCTCAGTGTAAGCAATATGCTGCCGTTTTGCTCGCTACCTTGTCCCAAGCCCGGGACCAGGAAAGGATTCAGCAATGAGGCCTGCACCGAAGTCTGGTTGTTCTGTCCCACGAAGTTGCCGACAAAGACCTCGCGGAGACATGGTCCCAGAAGGTCCGCTGAGGCTTGAACGGAAACTGAAGTGATCTTGCGTGCACTTGCATGCTTTTCTTAAGCTGCCGGCGCCAACGCTTGCGGGCTTGTATTCGAGCTCCTTTGGTCCTGACAAACGATCCGCTCTCGTACAGCTCGACACGTCAGCATCTTTCTGTATCAGGCGCATTCGGCCCCAGGTAAGCCGAGGGCGACTCGTTGTGTTGTCTTGTTTTACCTCTCGCCGGCGAGTATGCGACGTCCGTCCATCTTCGAAGCGAAGTAAGCAACGTGTGAAAGTATGTAGTGGATTCCGCGAAGAGCTCGACACGCAGACTTGACTTACGTCGAGAAGTCGACAGTCTCTGTATCTTCTCAACGATCCAAACATTGCGTTCTCCAGAAACCTGACGAAGGATCGCTCCTTCTGGTAGATCGATCGCTTCCTGGCCAGGACCATTAACACCCCAAAGTCTCGGACACTCCAGCACATCATGGTCATGTTTCCGAATCTCCAAGCCTGTGGCACAGGGGTCCGGTCGAAGCTGGCCAGAAGCTCCTCATGCTTCGTGGGCGAAGGCTGATACTGGGCTGTGCTGCAAAAAGGATCAAGAGAATCTAGTCTGCATTGTATATTTGTATACCATGCATTGTCGCAGTTCTGCTGGTGCAACGGTAAAACTAGCAAGCAATGGCAGACTTAAGCCATCAAGCCAATTGTCCTGTAAACAGTTTGACTTGTCCACACGAAAGGTTGGGGACTTTACTACCTTACCAACCACGATGGCGAAACCGATGGGTTAATGGTTTAGTTCGGTGGTTAAGGTTCTGAGCGAATCATAGGAGCAGCATGAATGGATTGGCGGAGAAGTTGTTCTAGAGTAATGGGTTAAACCAAGAAAGCTGACTCCGTGAACGGCTTGTTGGACCTAGTCAACCATCGGGACCACCGAACCATCATATAATATTCTCTGACCCACTAAATGGCTAGATTTGAACTTCGAGTGGCTTGTCAACCGTAGGCAAGATGAGTAGATTACTCCATGGAGCAGTGGTTACATTGCAAGGATCCCCAAACATTCATAACTGCAAAGTGAACGAGCTGCGCGAGTGGTCGCAGAAATCAGTGGAACCGACCTGGGTGAATGTGAACCACTGAACTGCCAAGGACAACTGAAGCATAAACCACTAACAACCACTTTGAGCAGATGATCCGTTCAGAGGCCGTGCCAACCAGGACTATTGATGGCTCAACTCTTGAAGTCTCTTACCAGGCATAGGGCGCAAGTGCTTGGAGTGTTGGACTGACGGTTTCCTGGGTAAGGGCAGACCCAACAACCGCAGGGGCGAACTGAATGGAGTAGTGAATGAACGGTTTAGGGACGTAATCTGACCTCAGTAGGGAATCGTAACAGTTGTTTTGTTTGTGTTTGTGCGGGTCCGGTTGTGTATGGTTTCACATGTTCCCTTACTTGCGCTTATGCACACTTGTAAAGGCATGTGGTCAGGCTGCTTCTGGCACTTGTTCAGCAAACACGGAAATAGTACATGAGCACGTACTCACCTTACCCAAATTCCTTGTAATAGCTTTGACTCACACGCTAAAACAGACTCATCTGCACGTTCTTGATTTCTGGTATTTTGGCACATGTATTCCTCGTCATCCTTGCTCTAATCATGAGGCGCCATTTACTACAGTAGCGGCAACGACGGGTTGGAGAAATTGCACGGCCCGAGCTGTCCTCGGATAGGATGCAGGCGGCAAGAATGACCGCGCAGGTGAGAAACACCAGCCTCGACCTCACAGCAATCACATCAGCACAATGCGCGGAGAATTGCCGTTGTACATCGTCCGACGTTCCCTTCGCGACTGAAATCGATGCTAATGGCAGGAACAAAACTGAAACCGCACGGTTCAGTACCGCAGATCATGAATGCGGTCATTGTGCTGCAGCTGCTCCTGCTTGGTTTCTGGTCGGTCTTGGTTCTTCTGTTCTGCAAGCCTGAGTTTGACGTTCTCTGGCCCCGGGGCTCTTGTGTTTAGGGACTCCCTCTTCTTTCCTCAGACACGTACAAAGCACGTATATGTGTATGTGTGTAAGTACATACACACGTATGTGCGTATGTATGTATGTATGCACGTACGTATGTATGTATGCATGAATGTATGTATGTATGTACGATACGTACCGATAAAAAAACATATGCTACCGTTATGCACACTCATGCGCAAATTAAGTTGTTTCGGACTTGATATCTTGCACGTACCAGCACCGGATCTTTCCGGTTGATGCTGCTTGATCGAGGCCCCTACCAGAATTGCATGCCAGCACATCATGTCCTCCTGCAAACAAATCTGGGTTGGTGGCATCCAGCACGCGGACGATCCCGCAAAAGGGGCGACACGTTATCGAGATACTACACTTGCCACGATGCTCTGCCAGTTTGCCAGCCGAAGCTTCGCTGATTCCTTTCCTGCCACCTGCCAGACATACCTTTTTAGAAGGGCCCTCCTTGCCGAAGAAGCTGCCACCGCCATGGACGGGTCAGCGCCCGGCTGGGAGGCTCTGATGACTCTGATGGTCTGGTATGTCTGAGGCTCTAAGGTGTTATGGTGGGCGAAGTGCTGAGGCTTTTGCTGGAGTGTACAGTTCGGGAGACAGCTTCGGGCATTTTAGGTCTACGGTCGAAGCCCCATAGTTGCAACTGAGACCGTGGTGATGTTGAGTTTGATGTTGCGGAGCTCCGTAAAGCAGTTTGCTCAAGACATCTCAAGACTCTACAGCAGCGAAGACCGTCGACAAGCACTTGTGTTGAGGTTCGTCATAAAACAGTAAGCCCGCGAGCATTAAATCCTTGGCCAGCAATCAGTAGCTCAACCGCACAGGCTTGTGATGGCTTGTGGCCAGTGTCACGAGTTTAACAATGCGGCCGGAAAGGTGGAAGTCGGCTTCGATCCAAACCCATGTAGCGTATAATTTAGGCCTTGCAATGCTCTGGGACACAGCCCTGGATGCCACCAAGCTCGGAGGCCAGGGAGAAAGCCTGAGTCTGTACGAACGCTTCAAGTTCCGGAAGTTTTGCTAAAGACAAGGTGTGCCTGTGGCCTGTCATGCATGGAGCAGCATGGAGCTTCTCATTCAGCCGCCCGTTTATCTTTGAACAGTGGCCTTGCCCAAATGTCGGTGGTCTCCACTACACCGGAACAGCGGCTTGATGCGCTTCATGGCTTGTGTGCGACGCATTCGTTTTCCAAAAAGGAAGTGTGAGAAGTTGTCCCGAATGGACTGCAGCTCTGCTGCGTGTCTCACTTCTGCAGGCCTGCCCACGACACGCGCTGCTTCTGAGGGGTGCAGGACGGTTTTCAGGATGCGGGCCGACGTCTAGCGGAGGCGACTGCGTCTGTAAGAGCCTCTCCTACCATGTTGCCCACGATCTTTTTCCTGCCAGTGCCAGCTTCACTAGGTTCTCCCAAGGGCTTGCATCTCGACCGACAAGGGCTCCCTTCCACGTATACTACGCGAGTTGGGCACCTGAGTCGAGAAAGCCCATTCTCAGCATCTTCAGCTTTCTGCTGGAACAGCTGTTCGGGGAGTTAGAAGAGAGGCTTTGCCTGCTCTTCCGCGACAACAAAAGCCTGGAGGGTTACTTCGAAAGGTCCGTATAAGCTTAGACATCTGTCAAAGCTAAAATCATGCCTGCTCAGGCTTCCGTCGGGTCAACAGAGCTCTGTGGCACAAAAACTGCACCAGTCAAGCGGATGAAAGTGTTTCAAGTTCAAGGCCAACTTTCCAAACAGGTCTGCCTTCATTGCAGCAGGAAGCGAGACGGGTGATGAAGCTCATCGATCTGCATGCTGTAATTCCCCAGCAAGCGATGCAAAGTGCAAATACCGGCTCACAAAAACGGCAGCCACAGCCCTCGCGCCTCACACCACTCAGCCCAAGCCGGAAGTCACAATACTGCTGCGTGAGCAATGGATGCCTGGAGAGGCTGTAGCCCTACAGCAATGAACCAGCAGCAAGAGCAGTTCATACACATACACATGCATACGCCCCATGGGCATTCTAAATGCAATGTCGTGAGATGTGGCAAGACAAATATATGTTTACGTTGTCAAAACAGCTACCTCCACGCATATCGGTATGCGTTGAGTAAGACGTGCTACGCTGGATTATGCTGGATTCTTCGCGACATTTGGATTTTCTTACTAACTTGCTTTGCACCTATTTTGTTGCAACTGACGGGTAATAACCTTTTATGTGACGGCGATTGCTGGCGTCTCAGAAGGCCTTGTCAATAACAGCGAACAGCGTTAACAACCAACGACCACCCCAAGGGTTCAAACATGCATCATGCCGTGGTGGGAGTTGAAGCTCAAAATAAGCATGGGACTGTGGCGGGAGCGTGGTTCACCAATTTCGAGAGCGCCAACTACTTGGATGTTGCGACGGCTTCGGTGTCCCCTCTAACCATGGCTGGCTTGGGACTGTGGAAAGAACGAGAATGTGCGCCGCCCTACAGCACGCCACGGGCGGGCCTGTCGGGCCCGCCTCGCGGCCTCAGCAACCAAACCAATATACTCTTGACGTACGAACCTTAGGGTAGCGACGCCGTTTTGCGCGGTTTTGGGACATAGGACAAGGGCAAAGCATGCAGCAATGACCGAGCACATAAAGACTGTCACCATCAGTCCACCCCACCCTGTCAACCCCGTGGGAGTTTCCGTGATTTCTGGCATATGCGGTGGCAGGCCTGTTAAAGCCTTGATCTGCGATGGAAGAGCTACGAAGTGAAGGAGCCCATATTATCTACAGAGTCAGGGAGTTGTCAAGATGTGCAACGCAGCCGGGCCTTGTCCCGCTTCACCAGCGCCTTGATCCTGGAACAAGAAGCTCCGACAGTCTAGGGATACAGTCTGTACTTCCGCCCGCCTATTTAGGTACGTAGGCAAAAAGCTAAAACTTCAAGTGCTCTCTGCAAGCTGAGACAAAGGATGCCTTCTGACTTAGCTTGATCTGGCGACTACAAGTACGGCTGAAAGCAGCAAGGGAACATCTTCAATGCCAAGTTGAAGGTGTCAACAACTGCCAGCATTCCCAGCAGAAGCTTTGCGATCATGGCCGGCATCACGAACGAGAGGCCAAAGGAAAAGTGGAAGCTCCAGTCAATGAAGAAGTAATTTCCCATTCGGAAGTAACCGATGGGAACTAAGATGGCGACCGGCAAAGCAAAGCCAAGGCTGGCGAAGAAGCAGCAACCCAACCGAGCCTTCTTGCCTGGCTCGCCCTGAAGCCTCTGCTTGCACTGGCATAGGCAGGTGTAGCACAAGAGCGAGGTCACAAGGGGCAGGATTACGAAGCTCCACAACTGCAGGAAGGCGTAGTCGGGAGGGGTCCGAATCAGAAGGACCTGGCGCATGCCGCACGTGAGGACGTGTCACACAGCTGAGCTGACCTTGTACCAATTTGATAAGTTCCTTCACCCAAAGCCCTGGCTTCCATTCGATGCCTAAGACCGAAGCTTAGAGTCATTCTCAGCAACCTTGTCTGCCGGCTTGGGCAGCGTTTTCACCGAGCCAATTGGCTGGAGTATGTACTGCGGCAGGACAGTCAAGAGCAGGTACGACCAAGCCTCAGTGGAGACAGGAAGGAGACAGGCACGTATGTCCGTACACATGCATGCAGAATACATACGTATTCATTCAATACAAACATACAAAATTTCGACTTTTGCAAATTGCATGCACCCTTAAACTGCAAGCTTCGTGGCCTGAGCCCTTCAAAGGGGGCCAACAAACCACAAATTAAGTGTCGCATCAACTTCTTCGACAACATATATCTCTTTTCACTGCCCTTTAATTCTTGCACTTGCGGTCGACGACAGGAAACCTCCTTTAGCATGAAGTCTCCTGTGGCTCCACATGTTGAAGTGTCATCTTCGCCGTCTTCACTGTCTTTCTGTGAATACATGCTGTTGCCCAAGGCAAGCAAGGATTCAAATTCGAAGGCGCCACCCAAACACATTGCACCGAAGAACTGGAACAAGTATTCAAAGGACAGCGTTTCGGCCTGCGGGCAAGCCTGGCTGTCAGGATTGCAGGGACAGCCGTCACTACTGCCCGGGAGGAGATTCGGCAAGCAACTCTCCTTCCATTCGTTTTGCTGCAACGTGTCAATCACCGACTCGACTTCTGCTGCAATAGCATCAGCAGCCACTCCACAGTATGTTCGATCTCCCAAGTTGATAGAACCCAGCTGCATGTCACGCCCGCTGAGGCCATAGTCCTCAGCTCTGAACTGATCGGGCATCTATGGTGATCAGACTTGCACTGACCCCGTTGTTCCCAAGACACGCCCTCTGAGCAAGAAATCCAAAGCGAGTGTCCTTGCTTGTAATGAAGAAGCAGGTGCTGTCTGACACAGTGCCGGTCATTGCCTTGCGGATCGCCAGGGTATTCTCGTCTTGCGTGGAAAGCAACAGCATTCCGGCCCCCAGAACAAGGACCAGCACCCCCAGGCGAAGGATGAAGCTGCACATCTTCAACAAGTGCGTTGCCTCCAAGCTCGATGGCTTCAGGACCTGCAATCCCGCCATGGCGACTCTGTCTCTTTCTACAAGTACCTGTAGCTCTCTGGGCTTCTGAATGGCAAACGACTGCCGGATCTCGTGGCTTGGCGCAAAATGCCTCCCCTCCCTCAGGCTCTCAGCATCATCGAAGCCTCGCCATACGCCCCGCCATCCGGTGAATATGGCCTCTCTCTCTCAGAGTCTCATATTCATAAGTCAGGAGGGGTGGTCTCTTCCAAGAAGATTGTGCTCAGTTACTCTAGTTGTACTGGAAGGCCTTCATCTGCCAGAGGAATAATGAGAGCTTATCACAATGCTTGTAGGTCAAAAGTGAGAGCCAAAGTGGAGCTGCATCAACATCATCAACAACGCTGCCGTCCGGAGCTTCCAGAACTACAATGTGCTGTCCTGGAGCGGAGAGACTGGCAGCTGCTTTCCTTTTGTGTCAGCGCGAGAGGTCTTTGGTGGCGAAGGGAGAAAGCCACCTTGTTTTACTTCTCCTGCAACCAGTGCAGTCAAGTGCAACATCCGCCACATGGGCAGCATATGGGTATTCTCTGCCATAGCTGAGATTCGACCAACGCCTGGCCTCCAAGGCTGCAAAGAGCTGCTTGCGAGCCTCCTCCGCGTTCGCCTCCTTTAGCCGGGCCTGCGGCGGACTAGGGCTAATTAAGGGTTTCAGGCACAGCTCCAAGCTCTTTCTACCAGAGCCCTTCCGTAGTTCACACGGAGGAATCTCACTGGGACCTTCCGCCCGGCGAGCTCTTCAGACTTAAAGACTTCGATGGCAACATGGAACAAAGCGCAAAGCTGTTCTTGTGAGGCGACGCAGGGGGAGCCGTCACGGGTTCCTTCTTGGCTAACGTATCGGAAGCTCTATGAACTATGACACTGACGGGAGCATTACTCAGCAGGGCGTCCTCCTCTTCGGCCTTCTCCTTCGCTTCTCTTTCTGCCTGCTTCTGTTCCTCAAAAATTCCACGGACAGTCCAAGTAAGTCGGACTGCCAGACATCGCGAGGTCTGGAGTTGTCCATGCACGACTCTGAAACGAGCAGGAACATGGTGGACGATGCCTCGCTCTTGGCTGCCTCTGCTTTGGCCTTTAACGCGTCCGCCTCTATCGCAGGGAAAGCTAGAACTCACGCTTTCATTATCTTTCATGATTGGTGGCAATCTGGCTCAAGCTTGCCATGTCAACATCAGTATCCTCTGCTGTGCCTCTTGCTGAGCCTTGAGCGCAATCTTAAGCTGCCGCCGGAACCTGCCAAAAATGCATGCGATGCTCATACAGACACATCAGTTGAATTGTGCAGGCAGCTTCTCGCAATGCAACCGGCTGATTTTCGATGGCAGGTCACTTCTTTCGCCCCATAATGCCATCCTCCCCAAATCCTTGCAAAGCCATGGCTGGGAAGACTGGATGGCGGTCTTGGCCGGAATGGACAGCGAGCTGAAGTAGGAGATGGGCTCATGCTGTGTTACTTTCATCTCTGTCTGTCGCACAGTTTGCATGCATTTTCCCAGTGATGACACAAGAAATCTAAGCTGCGTGCCCGTCGGACAACAGCTTCTCGTCCTCTTCTGCGCTGGTCTCGACCTATAAGTCTATAAGTAACTATGTAGATTGTGTTTATTCTGCATGTAGGAACTTCCGCATTGAGGTCGACACCAGGCTTTCGCGGATTGGCTCTGACTCTGGCTTCACCAGCCACCTGGACCAACAAACACTCGCAGGCCGCAGAGGCAAGATGCCACGACCGCTACAGTAAAGACTTCTGACGGTTGCCGGCTGCTGGCAGCTCTGTGTAACTTTGCCGGTGGGACTTGCCATCCACCATGGTGGTGCCGAAGCAGTCCTCGAAAGCAAGCAACACCACGCTGGTTGAGCTCTCAGGTCCTGCATCACCGGCACAAGCTGGCAGAGAAAAGGCCGAGAGTCATCCACAAAGCCATATCGCTGCAAATACGCCGCATTGGTCAAGGCCTGGGACAGTGCTGCAGGCTGCAGCACTGAAGAGATGAGGATCCGTCAGGCGTGGGGCACGATTGGTGGAGTTTCAGCGCAAGCAGCAAACACATCCCGAGTCGCGAGCCATGTCGCCAGTGCAATCGCCGCCACAGCCGTCCGGCCGGAACGGATTACCACCGTAGCAGATCCGAATCTGGGACCCAGCTGCACATGTTCAAAGGAACGGTTTCTGCAGGTCTCAACCGATCTTGCACAGGACCGATCGCAGTATCCCTTAAAGCTCTTGCAGACCTGACTCTCGTCCTGACACACTCTGAAGTGCTGTGCCTCCTCGCCCTTCTTTATCGGAGATCTGGCAACAACCTCAGCCGCGGAAATCGAAACATGAAACACTATGACATGCTCAATGATACAGGCATGATTCTGAATTCTGACATCCTGCAAGTCACAGAGCTCATGAAGCTAGCTGCTCAGCCCATGGTGTGTGCCAAAGCGCCTTGAATGTGGCAGTCACGAGGCCCGCCAAAGTCCAGCGTACCCTCATCTCGTGTAACCTGTGGCAAACTCTCGGCAAATCGCACAAGATGGGAGTCCGGAACTTTCCCCTTCCGAGGTCCAAGGGGTGGACGCATGCGCATCATGGTTGAAGAGGTCAATGCCTGGCCTGGAAGATCCACTGTGCGCCCAGGGCTCCAGCGTGCTGAGCTTGAGCAAGACAGGGAAGACTGTGCTGCCGGCAGGAGGAGGCGCAGCAGGCCATCTATCGGGGATACGACCGAGAAGGCACCTTAGCAGGCCAGCGCTGTGCCCACACCTGTGCAAATGTTCAGAGTTGTTGGCGTCTGCCAGGACTGTGGCGTTGTGCAACAGTGCACAATGCCCACTTGACGTCTTCCGTGTCCAAAGATGACCTGAAATCTCATCGTGACGCATTGCTGCACGCAGTCGCGCAAGCGCGTCTGCTGTCAATGCATTCTCACCGGGAACATGGAGGACTGAGTGCCTGTGCTCGTCGGCACGCTTTGCGCACAGCTGCCTGACGACTGCAGTCTTTCTTTGCTGTGGCAGTCACGAGGTATCTCGCTGGGAGCCGAAGCTGCCGAAAGGACTTGTGCCAGTGCAAGCTCTTGCCACTGATACGAGTGCATGGCTTCACAGCTTGGAGGAGGAGGAGGAAACAACAACGGGAGGTACCGGAATGTAACAGAGTCTTCAGCACTACAAGTCTCGAAGTCGTCTTCTGGTTGATACTTGCAGCCAGCACGCTGTCTCCGATGTGTCTTGTGGACGACTTCCGGGCACTGCCTTCAAACAGTGACAGACTTGGCAGGTGAACCCGCGAAGCAGGAACTACTTGTGCAGAATCATGCCAAGTTCCACAAGCACCTAACACACTGTCCAATGCGCTGCAGGGAAACAGGGGGCGGCAGCATCCATTCGAAGGAACTCAAACGCATGCACTCGCCTGCATGGGCAAGATAGGTTGGCAGTGGAACCGGGGCTCCAACAACATCTTCAGCTCTTCCTCCGAGAAGAAGTCTGGCATCCTGGAGCACCACGAAGCGGCAGAGAAGTTAATATAGGATCCCTATTGTAAGGACCCCCAAAGTAAGGTACTAGTACCCCTTACTAGTTTCCCATTCTGCTTGAGCCGTCTGCTGTGAAACTCGTTTTCAGCCAGCTTGGGTCGGATTTACGCTCCAGGCTCCATGCTAGACATCGGAAAGACCTCGCGGTGATACTCACCCGGGTTTCGGAATGGCTGGAACTAAGTTACATGAATATGTATTCGTGGTGGCTTGATCGTGCCGGCCTTTGGAAATGTGAACTATCTTTGCTCGTATCCGGAACTTGGTCCACACTCAAACCTCTCTGAACATGTTGTTCTACTCCGTCTACATTCTTTGAGGTCTGTATTCAGATTGCGCAGGATGCTCACATCCGGCAGGATCAAGGCTCACAAAAAGGACAGGTCGCGTCGTGCGCGTTGTGCTGAATGAAAGTTGATGGCTTCAACTCTCGCCACTGCTACTGCAGGAGCTGTGCCAACATCGCATCAGCTTGAGCAGCAACTCGTCATGCGAAAAGACACCGCAAGAGCCCAAAATGGCTCCGCGTGTGGAAAGCAAGAGACTGTCTGCAACTGCCTTCCGTGTTTGCAGGACAAGTGCTTGCAGGCACTGAAGGATTTACGCCAACAGTGTGATAATAAACCGTGCCACCCTATCTTGTGACAGGAGCATTGCATTCGAGCCGAGTCTTCATGTCTTGTAGTGGGGACACTGCATGCCGACCTACCTGGATGCAATCTTCATGCTCCTCCAAAGAGGGTGCACAGGTAAAACTAATTGAAAATGCACGGTCATCTGTACAGGCTCGTCCCTGCTAAGGAGCCCAGCCGTCAGGGAGCTGCATCATGAGCAGGCGACTTGACCGCAAACCTCTGGCTCTGGCACTCATCGTCTGAGCCTTCCTCCGAAGAATGCGTCGGCGAAGTCTTCGTATGGACGAAGAAATGGAAGTGATGCGAATAGGTCACTTCCTCCTCTGAAGGACAGGGGCTCGGAGTCCGACCACGCGACATGGTACCAGACCCGTACACGTCCAAACTGAGAGCTGGAGAGCTGGACCTGGACCGGGATGAGCTCGACGACTCCGAGCGCAGCGGGGATGTGGATACGGAGCTCATTGTACGCAGCGCGGTTAAAGAGCCGCCTTCTCTGGACACCCAGCTTCTCATCTTGCGCCTCACAATGGAGTCGCCAGAGCCAGAGTCCCTGCGCAGATCCTCAGCCTCTCCTTCTGACATTGCCAAGCCAACAATGCACCCTCGAGGCTCAAGACACCTCCGAAGCTTCGAGCCAAAACCTTCGGTCAAGGTGGGATGTGCAACGCATCCTATCCGTCCGGTTGTGCAAAGCTATGCAAAGCTGAAGCACACAACAGCAAATAGCCCTGGCTAGTGCAGGCGAACCAAGGGCAGCAGCGTGCAGCAGCCCATCCTGCTGATGTCCGGTGATGTCCGTCCTGGACCAGATCCAGGAAGAAAACCAGCGTGAAAAGCGGAAACCAACACCACGCCGCAAGCTCGACTGAACCACAAATGGTCGATTCAACTGCGTGAGCATTTGTCGCAGGAGGTCACTCTTAAACAGTTCCGGCGCTGCCCTTAAAATACAAGGCATCATGCGTTGACCCCAAAATCCTGTCAATCACACACAGACACACACACACACACAGACAGACACCGCCACACCGCCGCCTGGCAGAAGATCCATGTACGGCTTCAACTCCTCGCAAAATAGGGCGAATCTTGAGCACGTGGCGGCGCATGTTTCCCCTGCCCATACATTATCATACATTTTGTGTGTGAGAGACATATGCAGAATTCACTTGAATCTAAGTTTCTCGCTGGATCATCCAGGAACCTCGACCAGCGCACTGCCCGCAGAAGGGACCATGAAGGGAACTAGGAATGGAGATGGAAACAACGACTGCTTTGCCGTTGTTGGGTGCCAGGCTGTTCGAAATCCAAGGAGAAACTGAGACCACGGCTTGAGAAGGTTCAGGGCCTGAGCACTAGGATCGGCGTCGTTCCTGCGCGGAAGCAAACCACTGTTGGAGCTAAGATGCTCGGGTCTCTGCGGAGGTCAAATTTTAGCGATCCTTGCTTCGGTGGCCTGGGGAGGAAGGACACTTCAGTTCAAGCAAGCCCTTCCATTGGACCACCTTCCCTCCGGCCCTGACAGCACTGACCCCGACATGCTGAAACCTGGAAGCGCACCCGCTGATCAAACAGGATAGGTAGTACGACCGCGAACACAGCAACCTGCCGCACCCCAGGCAGTCCCGGGCTCGGAAATGTCTATGGATGCAGTGAGGGGAATCTCCACCTCAAGCCGCAGCAGGAAATGTAGTCAGTCATCGGGCTGTCATCATGCGGTAGAACTTCTGCTGAGAGTCCCGGTGGCACAGTCTGTAGCCAATGAGTCCAGGCACATCTCTTGGCAGCTGGCGATTGAAGTGTTCTCCGCGATGTCTCGCGCGGCGACGAGACCACGCCTTATGCAAACGTGGTGTTGTTGTGTTTTCCCGGCTGACATCGGGACCAAGAGCGAGGCATTCCATCGATGTCTGCTATCTCCACGTTGGCCTTTCCGCTTTGTGTTTACGTCCACCCTGATTCTAAGCCAAGGCCCAGCATGGTGTTCGTGGTGCGAAGGCGGGTGGGGTTGGGGGCTTGGGCGGCGGCATGATGAAGAACGGAGGCAGGCACCCCACAAAAAGCAACAAACGGAAGCTCCCCGCATCTGCGGATCTTCGTGCTCACATTTCCCGAATCCCGAAATTGAAACTGCAGCAGGCCGACATGAAGTGTTCGTCCTTTTCAGATATCATGGTCATGAGTCAGGAGCTGAAACCAGGCATCACATTGATTTCTGAGTGGCAAACCATGTCGCCACCTCTAGCAGCAACCCATTCAGCAAAGCGCTGCCACTCATTCTCCTGTCCCCCAGATGCCACCCCTGTAGGTCGTGAAAGGCATTACAGCCGAAAGAGTCTCGCTTAAAGCTTAACACACACCTTCTCCCGTCTATGGGACGGCTTAAAAGATGACGAGTCCTTTCGACACGAAATCACCGGTCCTCCGTCGCCGATGCCAAAGCCTCACTTTTCGGGTAATCCATGCTGCCCCCGAGTCTGTCCCCACATTTGAGTCTCTCGGGCGATGCTGCCACTTTCCACCGACAAACATCTCGAAACCCTCATAGACCCCTCTGGTGACAACTGTGATGCAAGGAAGTCTGTTTGGAAGCTCCAGAGCTTTCTCCTCGGGCTGACGTTTCGCCTTGGATTAGCTTGGATGCTTCTGTCCCCGGCCCTCTTCTGGGTCTTCCGGCACACAGCCGAGAGCGCAGGCCGCATTGCGGATGTCGAAGCTGTAGCAAGAAGTTACAGTGGAGCGAGCATCACATGCAGTCTGCAACGCAATGACATGGGTCAGATTGTACATGCATGATGAGGGCAACCTTGACATTCCTGAAATAACACGGCGGATCTGCATCTCTTGCCCCTAATCGACAGAAGGGTCGCGAGCCTGTGGGGACCAGCTACGGTCTCGGCTTCCAGCCTGGCAGTGAAGCTCGGGCATTGCGACCTCTGCTTCGAATGCCACGTGCCCGCTCTATGTGAATCCTCCCGGGAACGAGACTTCTCGCTTCGACTCTATTCTTGTTAAAAACATTCGGCAACTTCGTCGGTTTTGCCGTGAAGCAGCTCAAGAGGGCAGGCAACCTTGCGAGTCAAAGAGCTCTCGAAACGGTGTGTCACATGTCAGCCGCGCACGCGTCGAACTGACAATCACAATACATATGCATCAACTGAATGGGGGTTGTGTGTAGCAAACGACCGAGGTTCTTGATATGCACATGCGAAGCGGTTCAACCAAGCATGAGTGCATATATGAACAGGTAAATGCATCAGTGCATCGATGCGGCTGAAGACTTATCACACGAGCTGCCTAGACTATCATACAGGCTCATTTCACCAGGCATGCGGGGGAGCCCCTCTCTCTCTCTTTTCTTTTTTAACACGTACATGCATGTGCTTATATCTTATATACATTCACACACTTATGCTTAAAAGAAGATTCACGGCATTTCCGATTCCGAGGAGCCTCGACAGAGCGAAGACAGCTGCCAAGAGGGACGCTCCAACCTGTTATAACATGTCTTTCCACAAGGGTTGCAGTCTCAATCGATGAAGCGCTTAATCCATCTTAATCCGTCCTGTATTGCCAGTACCAATGCTGATGCTCGCGATCGTCGTCATCGTACTGATAATATCAGTATCGGCAGTAGCGAGGCAGCAACTGCGGCCGCCAGCACAGACAGACTCTCTATGACAATGATGATGATACCGCCACTGACCATTGAATTTGCCGTCTTGCGACTACTATCACTCTTATCTACGGCTTGCAAAAAGATCATGACCAATTGTATCAAAGTTAAAAGGCCTAATCCTAATGCTGTTATTGGAATAAAGAATGCCAACCACGAACCGGCATTGTTGCCACTGGTGCTGCCGCATCTGTGATGGTTTCGGCGACGATCACTTATCGAGGCACGAAAGGCTTGCTTCAACTACCTTCGCTGCTGCTACTGCTGCGCTACTACTGCTACTACTACTACTACTACTACTACTACTACTACTACTACTACTACCGCGACGACGACTCCGACTGCCACTGCGACTACCACTACCATGACGACGACGACGGCTACTACTACTACTACTACTACTACTACTACTACTACTACTACTACTACGACGAGCTGCTACTACTACTTCTGCTCCTGCGACTCCTACTGCTGCAACTTTCAGATCTGAATGCTTGATGAAGTGGGAGGTTCTGTCACAAATCAAACCTGCAAAACAGTGCATGTCTTTTCTTGACAAGCCCGTCCACGAACAAAGCACTGCCTTTGCTCGTGATCGCCTCATGTGGCCAAGAAAAACCCTCTAAATGTGAGCTGTCTTGCTGCGTGTAGTTTTTGAACATAAGCCTTCCTGCAAATCTCAAGCTGGTGATTGCAGGTGCTCGCTCGCTCGATGCATTGCAAATAGGACTCACTATATGCTTTACCAAAGGTGGGTTGTGTGCAGGTATGTAAGCATCATAGTCGCCTCTTGACTAAGAGCCGCAAAAGCTGACGGGCGAGACCGGTACAGTGCATCTGGTAGCCGGAGTGATACTGGTAGCGAGGTACCACAAAATCTGTACGATAGATGCAACAGCCTCTCAAACGCAACTGGCTGTTGATCGCGGAATCGCTTTTTGGGAGATGCGTCGCTGCTAGGGCCTCCAAGAAGCGCTCCGAGTGGCCCTTGAGCTACTAGTCGAAGCACGAAGCACGTGCTTGCTACGCGTATCTGCCTCTTGCCATGGGGCGCAGTAAAAGGCTTCGGATCCTTCGATTTCACTTCCGCCTGTGCGGTTCCGGGGGATTTAGAGTTTTAGCAGGGTCACAGCATCAGTACAAATAAAGGGCTGGCGCCGTCAGGTCTGCCAGCGCGAGCATCAAGTCGTCCTGACAAATCCAGCTGCTGAACAGGCATATCATCCAAACATAACACCAAAGCATTTGTTGGATGGAGCCTCTGGGTGTAGGCCGAGCTGACCCAAAAGCTCTGAGAATGCCAAGGCAGTGGGCCTCAAGACCAAACACGCTCGAGGAAAGGGAAGGCACGGCGAAGGGTTCACTCTGCCTGCCACTGCGCACTGCGACTTGCATCGACTCAACCTGTACTGGCGTTATTCAACAGAGTTTTGTTTCTATAAGACATGGTGACTGCCACCTGTAGGAAACGTTTCCATGGTCACAAGCTAATTTTGGTGATTCTCGCAAAGCTCTCAGCAAATAGACCCGATATGACAGTCTCAATCCCGAAGTCGGAACATCCTAGACTGACTCCGCAACTCTCACACGTGCTACCTTGGACCTTAAGTCCTTAAACTCCTAAGCCCCTAAACTTTGAAACTGCCAACAGTTTGGAGGCCACGGCCCATCAAGCTCGCCCTGCCGCCGCAATGCCGCTCCGGCCACCAGGCCGCGGAGCTCGGGGCCACCAGCTCCCAAGGCCTCAGACATTGTCAGAGGTATACAGTCATGTGTAGCTGGATGCAAAACGCAAACGTATGTGTATACATATATATATATATACGTATACACATTTGTAGACATCTAAATATATCAATATAAACATATATACAGAGATGTATGAATGCAGGGTGATGTGTTGTATTTCATGTTGCATCAAAGTTGCTTTACATTATGCATCGCACAAACCGCATAGTGCATACGTTGAGCGTCACTGTTGCAACTTGAGCCCTAGATCATCAATCCAGCATTCAGGCCACCGTACAGCTGCTTCCTTCCAATGTTCAAAGCCTCCCCGACAGCCTTCCCTTACCGCCACAAAGCCCCTTGAAAACTCTTCCTATCACGGGGTGTGGTTTACATTGTTGGAATCCTGCGTCCTGTGGAACCGGCAAGCCTGCAGTCCCTGCAGGCCCGAGAGAGTTTTGGGAAAGTGGTCCCGGGGGTGTCTAGCGAACTTCGGGCCTCGTTGCTGCAAAGAAGCCACCGCGGCTTCTGCCGCTTTCAGCAAGGTTGCCAAGTCGAGCTCGTTGGCTCGGGCTGCAGACCACACCTGGGCCCATCTTTGCCCGGCGTCTCTGCCATTTTTTGGGCCTTGGGGTTTCGGAGCATCGAGGCCAAGCTAATGCATGATTTTCGGAGGTCTCAAGTTGCATATGCCAAGCCAAGGAACGGATTGTTATGCAGCAAAATGGGAAAGCCAGCTGGTTCGATGTGCAGATTTCTGAACAGCACCGTTGTGCCAAAACCAAGTGTGCTGCACCGAAAGCTTTGTAGCATCTCCATCGCTGTTTTCGTGTTGAACATCTTCGTGTCACCCACAGCAGCGAAAGGTTGGCTGTCATCGCTCTTTTTTGCAGCTGAGCTGGACCGTGCTGGTGGCGACTTTTCTCACAGCTAACCCTGTAGCGCAGGGCTTCTAACTGCCATGCTATTCGCTTTCAGTCCATTCGCTGATGCAGGTCTCGAGGGCGAGTCGTTCGCCCAGGAGAACCCGAGCCTGAGTCTTCTCAAACAGGACAAGGCTACACTGCCCTGCTGTTGGTTGCTGCTCCGACTCGTGCTCGCCGACACTACGGAGGATGATCGGATCATCCTCCTGGCGATTTATCTGGAGGCGGCTTCAAGAAATGATGCCAAGCCGCCGCCAGGCGGGAGCGCACTTCCATGGGCTCCTTCATGGTCAAAAGCACTACGATCTCGACATCTGCTGCTACTGCACGCGCCAGGGCGATCCAGGTCTGACACCATCGTGATAGCAATGCGACGAAGGACATGTTGAGTCCGACGTTGGAACGCAAAGTCTTGAAACTTTCTTTGCATTGAAAAAACCAGAGTAGTTACATTACGGCGCCTCTTGCGGCCCTGTGACAGGCTATAGCTTGGGGGTCTTTACTCCCTTCAGGAATCTCGAAGGTGAGCAGCGTGCTCGATATTGCGGGCCTCTTGAGAGCATGACGGACTTTGCGCCCTACATGCTGTTTTCAGGAGCTCGCAGGCCATGTAGTGCAGCTAGTGTCGACCGCACCCTGCTCCGCTGCTTTTGGCTGACTTTGCATCTTGCAAGTATGGTTTTACCTCCCCGAAGTCGATTGTTTTCTCGAACAGGCGGTGGCTTCTGATTCCTTGTGGGGATCCGTCCCTTGTCCAACATAAAGGGCCTCTACTGCCAAACTGTGCTGCCAAACTGTGGACTTTCAACTTTGCACCATGAACCGCAAAATCTAACCGTTTCGTCTCATTTTCCACAGCTCCTCGATTGGGGTTTGAGAGTCTGGTTTTGGGCCTGAAGCATCCCTGATGACGTGACCATTCCACGCCATTGGCCTCGTTCTCTGTCTCCCGGACGAGAGCTTTGTCTTTGAGCTCTTCTTCTGCGGGAAGCTCGGAGAGCGCTTCAGAGCAGGTGCTCACAACCTGCGACAAAGGGATTCGTGGCAGTTCTCCGCAACGCACCAAAGCAGGGGTAACATGCCCAGGCAGGGAAGCCTGCTCAGCGACTTTCTTTTCGTTGTCCTGCAGGCCCAACAGAGTCGACACTTTGTGAATTCTGTGGAAGACCTGGCTCTTTTCGAGCCGGCGCCTCGTTAAGCTAGCAACAGCAACGACTTGAGACCACTCACGCCTGGCTGATGGGCCTCTGCAGCGCCTGCAGGGTAGCCTTGCGGACTTCTTCCATGGTATTCAATCTGAGTGGCGAACGACATTAAGTGCAGCTACTGAGCGATGACCGTCAAAGCTCCGCAGTACCAGTAGCCACGAGCAGATCTTACGGCATCGTCACTGCATCGGGAGAGCTTTGGCAATCTGCACAGCTGCATCTTCACTAACTTTACTACAAGTATTTGCTTTACGCTTTTCCAGAATCTTCGGGGCAACCGCGCCTTGGGCTCTGCCCTCCAGGCTGCGAGGTCCGCAGCCATGGGCCCATCCTCGTGCAAGCGAAAAGCCTTCTCCGGCTCGTTTCGACTCCGGGCCCCCCCCGCACCCCCCACCCCGGGACCTCCTTCTTCATGTGCGCTAAGCGAAGTTTGGGTGCCATGGCCCGGCACCTGTGGCCAGCGGCTCAAAGCCCAGTCACCAAGTGTGGCCTAGATGAGGTCCAGGCTGAGCTCGAAGTGGCCTTACTTCATGCCAGAAGCCTTGCAAGACCTCCACTTGCAGGGCTGTGACTACTCCGAAGGACAGATCTGCAACTCTGGCCTCCGGGTCCGCACCCAGAGCCTCGAAAAGGGCCTGCTTCTGCCGTGCCATGGGATCCTCTGCCTGCCGACTTTTCACAGAGAAGTGCCCAAGAAACCCATGGCCGCACACTGCCTGCACTCCTTCGAAGAACACAGGCCTGCACAGGGCAAATGGCATTCGCCTTTCCTTCGGTAGCCAACGTTTGGCTTGCATGGAGCAGCCCACATACATGTAGGATATAAGAACAATCGACTCTCAGAGACACGGTCTGTTGCGTTCGCAGGGTTTACAGCCGTGCCTGCCAGCATAGGCAGGCATGTTGTTTGGCACAAAACCTCGAAAGCTAGGGTTGGCAAAGACGCGACACGTACTGTGGCCGCTACTGTACGCAAGCTGGAGAGCCGTAGGTGTGCACCATTTCCCAAGCCAGGCGGAGCCCGACGCCACCATCATAGTCGATAAAGATCTGCTCTCCAGCTGCGTGGTCACGGCCTGCGTTGTCAGCCACTCGGCCTCTTTCTGGACTCTTGGGTGCAAGGAGCTCGCAGCTCGCCTGCCGTGAGGACGGCCTCTGGCTCGTTGCCCTGACAGCGAGCTTCAGGATCTCAACTTCTGCAAGCAAAAGCGACGCTGCCACTTTATGCAAGGGGAAGTAGCAGGACCTCTTCTGCTACCCCTGGCATCAATGGCGTGCCTCCAGCTGCGCCTCCTCCGTGGCCGCAACCACTTGACCATCTGGTGCAGCCCTGGACGAAGCTGAGAATCACATGTATGCCATGGTGTGCATGTATGCTTGCTTGCTGCAAGGGAGCACGCCAATGGAACAGGTGTTGTTGGACCCGAGCTCGTGGTTGGCCAAATCGAGGCCAGGTATGAGTGACAGCTCATTGCCAAAGGGCAACGCGCGTGTCAGGACGATGGCATGTGCCCAGAGCCACTCCTCCTCCAAACAACTCATCCACACGAAACGCGCAAGTGCAAGCCTCCTTATGCTGGTGAACTGGTTCACTTTACTTCGTCGGAACACTCCAGAGCGAGCAAGGCAACGCCAAGTGCCTCCGTTAGCTCGGAGGAAAGGTCAGGCACGTCTTTGGCCATCGCCTGGATGCTGCTCCACTGCCTGACAGCTTTCATCTCCCAGATTTCACTCACCTGAGGTCACCTGTTGGGGGGAAACAACCGGTTTACAATCAAGACATATCAAGGCCCAGGTCGACTTCACGAGTGGCCCACGAGAAAGGCCACGGACCCGAATTCTGCCTAGATCCAGACCAAGGTGCTCCAGCAACCCAAGGCGCTGTTGCTCTGCCGCTAGGTCCAAGGGGCTTCCAAAGAGAAGGCGCCTGCAATGGGCCGCGGCAGTACTATTACTCTTATATTTTAGTGTTCTATAATACTTGAGAGCTGGTCACGAAAGCTAGAAGCACGAGGTCCGGTGCTGAGCTCTGCAAAGCGATGTGCACGACAGTAGCGGAGGGAAAGTTTGGGCCGGTGAAGGGTGCAGGCGTCGCTCGTTCATTTGACTCTTGAGAAAGTAATGTGCGAACGACAACTAGAGGTAACTCTGGAGAGAAGACCGCACTTCAGTCGCCGAACGTCAGACACAAACAAAACCAAGGGACCTTGAGGAGGGGGGGGGAGGGGGGGACCTCATGATAGGGGGGGGGCCCCCCCCCCCCCACCTTATCCCAGGCACAACCACCTTAAAGGAGGGGGGAAGCGCACCTTATCAGTGGAAAACGCATAATGACAAGGTGAAGGGGGGGGGGGGGCCCCCCCCCCCCCCTACCCCCCACCTTAACTCTTGGACGTCCCACCTGATAAGGTGCAAACCCTGTTTTTTCCCTAGTGCCTTAATACAAGTGAATTGCTAAAGGGCAACTCCCGCGAGCTCCACAGAGCTAGCTTTCGTGATTATTGCTACTGGTCTGATTATTGTTGCTGTTACTACTACTTTGATGATTACTACAGTATTTTAGCTGAGACGCACAAAGGGCGGGCTACGGCAGGCTAACAGCGGCTCCAAGAGCAACCCCCCCCCCCCCGACACCTTCTCTCCTCCTCTGGCCAAAGCAGTGGGATGTGAAGGTCGCTGGCGCCAGGTAAGATCCTGTCCGTCCGATTCAGAGCACCACGGACCGTGAGAGACAGAAAGGCCCCGACCTGAGGTAGGGCCAGAACTTGCTTTGCTCCTTCTTGCTCACCTCCGAGAGGAGGCCCAGCGCCAGTACCGCCTCGGCAGAACTCCCCTCGACAATTTTGCCCGAAATTGCAGCGCCGCTTTCTCTTCTGCTTTCCGGGCGGCGCTGTCGTCCAGCTGCAGGGGCTCCAAGGCCCTCCCCAGCGCTGAGGAGCCTCGGCGCACAGGGCACGGGCCTGAGCCTGAGAGCCTGTCTTAGCCAATCTGCCGCCTCGGAGCGCACGGAAGATGGCGAGATATGCATCGAGGCGGGCACTCTGAGCAGCACTTCGCCTGCCTGACTCGATGAGACACGAAGGTGTGTAGGACACGGCAGAGGGGAACTTGTGTACCGTCGCTTGAAAATTTTCTCCGGTGGAGGAGGCCGTGTTGCGCTTTGTGTTTCTTTTTTGTATGGGTTCTCGAGATCGTAGAAGTTGGAGTTGAAACGGCTGTGCTTGCTATGCATGCTGGGGTGATTTGCTTAAGCTGTTGGGTGATGTTGCTGCTTGCTGCCGTCGGTTTTGGTGGTGGCGGAAGGTTTTGATTGCATTCGTGGTCGTTGGTGCGGCTGTTGTCGCTGTGTGACCCGGGTGCGATGTTGATGATGCCCTCGAACGAAACCACTCGTACAACTTCATTCGATATGCTGCGGCGTGAGGTCAACATGACAAGTTGGCTCTTTGAGCCTGATCAGTGAATTGCAGTGCGTAGCATTCCCAAGAAGGTCAAAGTGTTAAACTGAGCCCTCGTCATGACCACCGCGAGGCCCCAGCTTCTCCGACACCCAAACCCGACGAAAGTTGCGAGGCATCTTTTTTGGGGGGCTCCGGTTTGCAGGAGATCGGCAGGAGGCCTTGGCTTCCCTCCAAGCCTCTCTGTTCGCTTGGCTTCCACGAGCTATCAGCGCCTCAACAGCACTCCCCGGCCCCAGCCTTCACTCCGCCCTCGCCGGCGATGAGGCTGAACTTGAAACCTTCCATCGCACATCCAAGAGCGCCCTGACACTCAGACTGCACCCCTTTTGTGCGACTGGCAGACCTGGCAGGTCTACGAAACGAACACCGGATGATGGAGTGCCGCCCTCTTCCATCCACTCCTGTGCGAGCACAAAAGTAAGTCTTCAAGAGCATCAAACAAAATCATGGGGCCCACTGCGTCAGTCCTGTAGTCCTGACAGTTCTTCTGTGACCTGGCAATGAAGGAAATGCAAGAATTGGCAGCAATTGCAACCAGTAAGTTTGTGCATGTCAGCCTCGGGGGTGGCATGCAGAGTGACTCTTCGGCCAGACCACCTGACGGGCTCTGACGGCTCCCTGTTGCCCTACACCGGTTCCTAAGTACGGTGCGATCGGCACGAGTGACCAGTCTCATCGGTCCTTGATCTATGAATGCTTGCCCTGCTTTATAGGAATGGAGTTCGCAACGCATTTGAGCATAATTTGGCAATTCTGTCATGCTCAACTCTAAAAGCCGTTTGGACAGGATTGTTTCCTCGGGTTTCGGACTCGCGCTCAGTGCTTGAGCCACGTCGGTTTTCGATCAAGTTTTCGTTCATTGGCTTTTGACAAATCACAGACAGGAGTGTACGGGAAAAGGAAGCCCCTCGTCACGCAGAGCTGTGTGTGTGTGTGCCTCTGTGTGCTCAGGAGTGGTGAGTGAGGCGTGACATAGGTGTATGGATGCTTCAAGACTGACGTCAGTCCACCTTTCCGGCAACCGCCGGAGAATGGCGCCGGCATCGGCCTGTTGGCGGAGCAAGGGCCGCGTGGCAAGGCGCACGAAGGCCCAGCTGCGGGACAGCCTCGGTCTGTACGGTTTTACACCCGTCGAACTGGACCGAGATCTGATCACTGGATTGCTGAAGTGAAGCCAGACAGTGATCCTGGCACTTACTTACCATCATCCAGGCTTCGAAAAACAGTTCCTCGTCTCATGAACCCTTTGCATCCCATCGCCCAGGAGCAAAACGAGGCCGCCGAATGTTGCGGCGGAGTAGAGCAAGGCCTGGCCTGGCCTCCTAGGTGCCCGCCCCATCGCGGCGAGGAGCTCTGGCCCTGCTCTAGAAACCAACAAGTGGACGATCGGTGGCTGCATATGGTTGCTCTTTGAATCTGTCATTGTGATGGTTCGGCTCAGAAACCTTGTTGGTAGGCACGGCCAGGTAGAACTGCGACGCTCCGCCCCGATGCACCAAGACAGCAGGTTCGACAGGACAAGCCGATTCCGATTCGCTTCGCCTATTAAAGCCACAGCGAGCGAGTATACCTGTGAACCTATGTCAACATAGCTGGGTCACGCGCAGGCAGCAGCAGATTTCTTGCCGCTTCTGCAAGCACCTGCTTTCTGATCAACGATGGGAAGATCGTCGGGCCAAAGCGGTCCCGTGCGTTTCCTATACCGCATAATTTTCAATTGTGGCTTGTTGGGTTGTGGGAATGGAAGAAAACTCGGAGGGTGACTGCGATATCCATGACAAAATGTCGGCTCTACCCGATCTCACTACCCAGAGTGCATTAACACACGCCTCCCATGCCGCGCCAAGTGCGGCTGTGCGCTCTGAGCGCATGGCATTGCGCTGCATCCTGGCACGGAAACGCTCGTATGTCCCGGAGTTGAGGGGAGTTGGACACGATGGACACGCCGCAGGCTAACTCGCGGAACACGTGTGTTGGGTGTCTGAATGCCGACAGTGGCGCTGAAGGATTTCTTTGCTTGCCAACGTCTTCTGAACACCATTCTTGTCAAGTGTCCCGGGACCCGGGATTTGGCGGGGACAACTATAAGTTCCTGTTTGTTCGCTGCATCATTCAAGAATGCAAATCTACGTCGTGCTGGTTCTAGGAAGCTAAGCCAACATGCTCAGCACCAGCACAAGAGCACACTGCAGCAGCTCTTGCAATCTTATGCAATGAAGAGCTTGCACTGCGCAATCCAGCCGGGGAGGACAGCAGCGCCAAGTTGTGCAGACCTGAGACCTGCATGTCTGCTCGGGAGACCGTTCTTAGGTGAAGTAGCATCTTTCACCGCAATGATGGTAACTACTGCTCCAACAAAAAATATCGACACCGTCACATGGCATGGCCACAAATGCCACAAGGATTTTGGGAAAAATGAGACGCAGCGACAGTTCCGCTGAGCTCAGGGACGGCGCTGTCCAGGTCGAACTGGGAACTCGTAGCGATCATCCTTTCAGCCACCTGATGTGCAAACGAAACGGGGTTAGATGCTAAACATGCTGCTACCAATGGCCGCGGCACCTTGCGCAGGTGGCCACATTCGAAGGTGATCTGCCATCGAGCATAGGTTTTCAGCAAGCTCACCTTGGCCAGCCATGGCACCGCATCATTCGCGGTAACAGTCGTTCTGATCCACGGGACTCCCAGCCGGAAAATTGAGATGCCCACAATCTCGCGGGGCAGGAACATTGGTAAACCCGCAACGGCAGCCTGACTTGACAGCGCATCTGACACAGCCGAGCTGCACGGAACAAAGCCTGCGCTCATGAAATGCAATATCGCCCAAAGCGCACCAGCCGCAGGTGTCTGAAGATTTTCTGCAGGTACCGGACATGGGACACATCCGCCACCTTCACAGCTGTTGAAGGCATGACGAAAGACTCGCTCCACATGCTTCTCCAGCCAGGGGCTTTTCACCATGCCTCGAAGCACTGACCGAAGGCATATGCAGCAGCAGAGAGGCCACTCGGGTCCATGCTGGCTGCCTGGCTTCAGCTTAAGTCTCCAATGCAACCAGATTCGAGGCACGTGCTCAAGTACGTGAAGACAGAAAAGCTGCCTCTCGACAAGCTATGCTCTGACGCACTTCTCATGGAAGCCGCGGCTTCCGCAACACATTCAGTGTGCGACACGAGACACAGTCGAACCAAAGGCTGGAACGTCAAAGAGGCTTGTCTGCGATGCAAAGGTCTACTTAACTTTTCTATCCATATTTTTCAATGCCACCGCAACTACGTGCAGGCTTGCTCCCACCGTCTCCCACTGGCATGCCCGCGATCGTGGATAAAGCATGGTTTTGCCAACTCCGGGGTATCACTCGGCAGGCTTGCACGTGCACGCTCCAGATTGGAAGGCACCCCTCATCACCCCGCCTCGCACCTGCTTCGGACACGTTTTTCAACCCGCTTGCATCTCGTTTACCCCTTTGGCTTGGCAGTACTAAGTACTGCTTATCATCGGAGCCCAGCACGCTCAGCAACTGTACGCTCCGCTTTCGCTTCAGATGTTGTGGGGGGACCTGTAACACGTGGAGATACCATTATCAATTGTTGCCGACGAGTCCGCGTACTTGGATATGTTTTGTTCCTAGAGATGCTGGGAGATTCGAAGTCTGAGCTAGATCAAATGCACTTTCTGCGTAGGTGCATAGAAAAATGGGGATAGAGTACAGTACCTGACAAAGCAAGGGCTCGGAGCCCGTGCCTGCTCGCGACTCTGTAGCACACAGGCTGTGAATAAGTCCGGCGCATGGCAGGACACGCTCCTTGGATGACGAAACTGCAAACCTGCTGCCACGAAAGCACTCTTTTTCAGTCGTCGGGGAAACGTAAAGAAGGTAGGCAGAGGACATGCAGGCGTGCATGAGCCGAGCCATCTCCAAAGGCGTCGCCTGACAGGGAGGGGCGCAGGTTCAAAACATTGGAAGGAATCTTGTGACGCAAACGGATGTGCTGGGACGGTCTGGCCTGGGGAAGAGTTTGCACACAGCCGTCTGCAAACCGGCTCATGGTGTTTGCATCAACGCCTTCGAATGGCAGCTCAATCCAGCATTTGCTTCGGGTGCTGCATGCCTGCTTTCCAACCACCCCGCGATACGATATGCGTCGTCACACACTGCATAACAACAATTGCTTTGGCGCACATTAGATTTAGAAGGCCTCGGATTGAAACTGCTGGAGAAACAAAGACGGCTGCAAAGTGCGAAAGCGCTGTGGTCTCTGGAGCTTTGCGCTGAGGATGCCGCAGTTCACGCGTGCCAACGCCCCAACAATTACCTCAGCGGCGTCGCTGACGTGACCAGGTGCTGCGCTCGCGGCTCAACTCGGTGCAGACTTCGAACTTCCGGTGTATCATAGTATCAGTGGACACAACCTGTGAACCGATGTTCAAGTTTTGTCAGCATCCAGGGTTCGCGCGGAAATGTCGCGCACGTGGAACGCTTCTGTTCCCATGCCTGAGTATCGCTGTGCAAAGGTCATTAAATTGCGCGACAGTATAAGCCTCCTCCCAGGCGGCATTTGCAAGAAACCAGGCTGACTAATCACGGCTCCAAGTGGTATTTGGGCTTACATGGGCTTACCGGGGACGACTAACAAAATAGCCACCAGCCAAGACCCCCCGCCCAAAGACTGTCTGCTTGATTCGTGCAGGTTGGTGCAGCATTGCTGCGCAAGACTGGGAGCTGGGATGCGAACGGCTCTGCGTGTGGCTCACCTGGGTAGGTGATCTTGCCGCTCTGACTTGCGACTTCCAGCCATAGCCAGCGCCGTCGTAAACATGCCGGTAAAGCAAATCGTCGGAACAAATCCTCAAAGCATGCGCTTGCAGTCGGCCTAGGCATGCTGCGCAATTTCCATGGCGGGCTGGCTGTTGATAGACTTAGAGCAGGAGCAGAAGAAAAGGCTACGCGAATGCCAGCACCTAGAAGTCCAGCCAGTGTACAAGCGCAGGACGTTTGAACATCCCAAACCACCACATGATGCAAGACCATGCACATGCTGTCCTCGTCGGTGATGCGAAGCTTGCTCACAGCCTTGAAAACAGCACCACATGGCATGCGCGACTCGGGACGAAGCCACGTTTCCTTCATGCTCTCTTGCAAGATTCACAGATGCCTTGCGAATCCGCGAGCGCAAGTTTGGAAAACAGAGGATGCGGCGTTGATGATCATCGTCAACTCCATGGAGCTGTGAAACTCCATCAGCCGCGCCTGCAACGAGTGCAAAACAGCACAAAGTAGATTGCACAAGAACAAGTCCATCTATCGCGTGTGGCAGCGACCCACTGCCCTTAACAGCCCCTTACACTCACCATGCTTCTTGCATCGATATGGCACAAAGTGCGCTGCGGTGAAACACTTCGCAATCATTCTACAAGTCTGCTTCCACTACCGAGCAAATCTAGCGCACTTTGCTCTTGATCGCATCGAAGAACCGGAACGTCCGAACGTTTGGATCGAACATCTGCGTCACAGACAGCTGCAGTGCTCTGTGTGCGAAGGGTCGGAGGTGCTGGCTGGCTTCCGAGACCAACTCCTGGTACGTTACCGGCCCCTTCCTTTGTTGTGCTAAGTGCTGCATGGCTTGGAGAAATGCACTCGTGACGAAGCCGTGCTCTGCCATGCGGAGCTGATGCAGCTCTTCCATGGTCATGTCTGAGCCGGCTGCTGAAAAACAGACCACGTCGGCACTTGAGGATGCAGAGCTGCCGACGACCCATCGGTCCTGCTCCACATCGTAGAGCAGCGGCAGTTCCGGACACAGACATGGAATGCAGCAGTCCAAGAGCATCGTCAATCTGACATGGGCTGGCAGACCCCGCATCAAGGTCTCGTAAACCTTCTCGGAGGATATAAAGCCAGCTTCCATAAAGTCGGATGGGCAAAGTGCATCGCTTCCTTCTGCATCGTCCTGCGTCGCATGGCCACTGAAGTGGAAGAACAAGACATCGCCCGGTGCAACGTTGTGGGTCAACCACTGCATGGCAGCGATGCAGTTGCTCTTTGTCGGGGCGGCTTCCGGTGGCAGGGCATCATCCGTGAGTTTTAACATCCATTCTTCCGGAAATCCCAATCTTCCGAGCACCGCCGCGACCCTCTCAACGTCGTTGATGCCGTTGCGCAGCTGAGCCGAAGTGCCTGGATAATTCACTCCGATCAAGAGCGCCTTGCGGCGTCCGGTTGGCTTCGGCTCCCCTGAGAAAGCGGGGAGCCGGGAGCTGAGGCTGAGAGCTTCTCGCCTCCCGGCCTGCAAGGCGGCTCTGAAGCGAGGCCAAGGCAGCCAGTCTGGCAGGATCACTTCCGCTTCTGGCTCCCGCGCAGAGGGTGTACCTGCCGAGCTACTGCAAAACGAAGACTTGGAGACTATGTAGACTTCACTCCAAGGTACTTAAAAAGCGCTTCTTGTCTGCAGGCCCGGGTGCTGGGAGGCAAAGCCGCAGCGGCAGCGGCAGAGCCAGGCCAGTCCGGCCAAGATGGAGGGCGCGGCGCGGCCTGCTGCGAGGTGCTCGTGCTGTCAGGCCATGGCCATGATGGGGCTGTGGCCGATGCAGGACTCTGACTCTGGCTCTGTATGCTATTCTGGCTGCTCTGCCGCGCAGGCAGAGCTTGGCCACTTTGTGAGCGTCTCTGGCTGGCTTGGATGCTTGCCAAGATGGCCTGCTGCTCTGCAAGCTCTGCATCGTCCAGAACAGGTGCCGCAGCTTTTGGTCGGGGAGGAGCAGGTGCAGGAGCAGCCTCCTTGAGGTTTGCCTCTATATATAACTTTCCTCCATATTTGTCCTTATGCTCAAGACCCACCCAGCCTTTGAATCCATTCGTCATGCCAGAAAAAGGCAAGTGAGCTTCGGCGGCACGCTTGTCGTCACGGATGTTCCTCTGGTGAAAAAGAGCCAGATGCAGAAAGCTGTCCTTGTAGGCGCTCTTGTCAGCCTTCAGGGTGATGGTGCATCTGCTGGACTGGAAGTTCTTTGGCTGAACGACGAGCCCCTGTGTGTCGTAGAAGTCATCTACCCAGCGAGTACGCTGGGGAGCATGGTTATCCAGCAAGAACTCCACACAATGCCGGCCGTCGTGCTTCAGGCCGACGGCTTGCTTCACAGTAATCTCAAGCTGCATCCCAAGCCATCCGCTCAACCATGGAGGTCCTGATGGAATGGAGGCATGCTAGAAATGTCCGCTTACGAAGCCAAGCAAACCACGACTAAAGCTGCTATGCTTTAACTAGCGTAGGCAAGTCTACTACTGCATTTTGGCCGCATGGACTCTGAGACGTAGGACTGGCAAAGACCAAGGGCAGGTCGCCTTCTTGCGCTTAGCCAAACCGGCGAAGGCAAAGCTCTCTGCACGTTCACTACAGGAACGGAGCTCTCATACTAGGCAGAAAGAAAAAGTGCGCATCTTCATGTCTCGGTGTATTGGAGATTCTGTGTAGCAGAATTAGCAGAAATTCGCTGCCGCACGATCGCTCTGCACTTTTTGTCGAAGCTAGGTGGCACCGATTGCACACAACAGATCTTCCACCGAAACGGAGCGGAATCAAAGCCATGCCAGCGATACAATGACAGCTAAAACTTCAACCATTGGTCTCCTTGAGAAAAGTTTTCAACGTTGAGAGCGTGTGGTGGGCGTTGTCAGGTCAGCGCGTTGTGACCGCTCAGTTCTTGCACACGTTCCTTCTCCATTTCAGCATTGAGACCTTCTATGTACAGGCACGGGGCTCGAAGCCCCGCGGAAAGATCCGAGGTATGAGGGGCCGTCCGTTTTGGAACACCACCCCATTAAAACCGATGCGGTCATGTCAGCGCCCTTGACTCATTGCATCAAGGCACACCCCAAATCTGACACGACACGACCTGCATGTCAAAAGAACCATCTCACTTCGCGGAGGCCGATGTTTCTTTCTGCGGCGCCTGGTTGCAGAACCCAGTGTAGCAACAAGACGTCCCATCTAGCGTCAGCAGAGCCTGAGCGTCATCCCTTGTGGAGAAGGTATCAAGCCTGGTTCTCATGTGCTCCAGCACACTGTGAGAGTATAAGTAGAGCTAGACACAGGCAGCTGAAGTGCGTAGAGGTGTGGACGCACATCAGGCTGAGGAAATCTTAGGAGCATGCACGTTCTGTGGCTTTTTCGTGCGGTTTTAGCTGGCAAGGTTTGCCCGGCAGCAACCATGAAACAAGCTAACATAAAGGCAACATGTCTCTCTCTTGTTCTCCCAGGCTTAAGGGGCGAGTAAGGCCCCCCCGGGCACGAAGGCCCGCCCGCCTTTCACGGGCTGCTGTTCTTCTTCTTCCATCGGGTCAGGTCCCCGGCCAAGGCCCACCCGTTCCCCCGTATTGGTGGAATAGGGCTTTAGAGTCTGAGGGCGGGTTTGCCCCCTTTGCTCGGTGTTGCAGGTGGAGTGCGTCCGTCAGTGAACCCCCAACCCTGTACTTTATCACTGCGCCCACTACGGCTGAATCCTTACACCCTCGACGGACGCATCCCCCACACAAGGCCTTTGGCTGGCGGTCGTCCCCCGGTGTACAACAACAAATGAGTGCACGACAAGGACTGCCACTGTCACAGAGGGTTACAGAGTCTCAGTCTCTTTCTCTTTCTTTCGCCAGGGTTACGGTATAGGGGTTTTTCCCGCTATACCGCGCGCTAGTGCGACCCCGACTGTTGTGGGCCAGTATGATAAAGAGACTCTCTCTCTCTCTCTCTCTCCTCGTCTACACCTGCGCCCTGCTTGACATTAAAAAACACGGACGGCATTCGTGCAAAAGGCATTGCTCATCTATGACTGAGGCTGCCACAGTTCCTGCACCTGAGGCATGAACCAGCTGTTTGATTGAAGTTCATCCGACCTTTTGCTCCATGGCCTCCTCAACGGCTCTTCTTGGGCTCTTCTTGCGCTTCATGAGATGCCTCGACATGAGTTTCAGCAGGGTGGCAGTCGAAAGGCAACAGGGCAACAAAGTCAGATACTGCTCTGCGCGGCAAATGCTGCCAGGTAACCTCTGAATGTCCGCAGTGGTTAGCTTCTTGCCGGAGGCATCAAGCTTCTTCACGAAGAGCTCGGCTAGCTCCTTTGGAGTTTCTCGATGTTTCACATGTTCCTGGCATTCGCTTAGCACATGCATTGTGCCGCGTCTGCGCTCGGCCTCCTGATCTGAATTCTGCCTCCATACTGTAGCACCCTCTCTCCGAGCAGACAATCTAAAAAATGGCCTTTCGTGAACCTACACGCGACAGCGAATACTGGCTGCTCTCTGCCTTCTCTATCTCAACTCAGGTCTTTGCTCCTTCCAATAAACCCCCGTCCCTGCCCTTCCGTCCTCGGTGGAAAGCTTTGTGAGCGTGGCATCGCCTGCAAACTGCAACTGAGAGCTTGTGTCATCATCCCTGTCGGGGCTCTCATGCTTTTTTGGCAACTTTCGGCACCTTCATCGGGCATTGTCTTGCCACTTTCTGGAGACCTGAGGCTAGTTTCCATCCCCCAAGCAACCAAGAGAAGCATGCAGGTGAGCGGCGAGGCAGAGGTGGAACCTCCGAAGTCGGCATAGAACCTTTGGCCGACGCCCCGTTTGGTTCCAAGTGAAGTCACGTTCAGCTCAGATCTGGCCGCCAGGGCTCCGAGTGAAGAGACGTTGGATCTGGTCTGGCACTGCTGGCCTGAACTCCAGTTCCTGGAGCGGAGAACTTTGAGAACTAGGAACCACGAGCCTAGCCAGTCGATGGAGCGGGCCGACAGAAGTGCGACACAAAATGAAGCCACAAAATGCTGGCCCTGTCTTGCCGAGGCTCGTAATCAATGCGGCCGCTCCGCAAGAGGGCAGGATCCAGAGCATCTTGCAGAAAGGGAAGGGGTTGTGAGTTGTGAAGTTGCAGGACTCGAGTCCAGGCCTCGATCGTTCGTCGTCATGAAAAGGAGTCTTCCGGTGGTGGCCGTGGGACCATCCTGCAGGCTGCTGCGAGTGGTGAGATTGGTAGAGAATTATACATATATATATATATAGAGAGAGAGATACATGCATATATTATATTATTTATATTGTATTAAAACTGTATTATATGAACTGACGGACTCTTAGACTGGACGCTGCAGCTCTACTTGTCGGGATGTCCAGCGCATTCAGGAGCCCGGAGAGGGTGAGCCGTCCTGAGAGCTGGCTGCATTTAACCAGCTTCAACCGAGCAAAGCCTGCCTCGACGGCTTTTCTCGTAGCTCTTGTCTGAACTGTCCTTGTCCTGCAGGAACACAAACAGTCAACCACAAAGCCAGTCTGCACTGAACTCTGCTGCATCCAAGCATGATGCAGCAGAAGATACAGTACTGGCTCAACACAACCAGTAAAGATATTATGCCAACATGTGTGTAGCGGATGACAGTCAGTCCCTGTCGGCTGGGCTGGACTCGCCAGCGGTGTCTTGCAACTGTCGATGGCCTGCCCGTCTGAACCACGCAAGGCGTTTCGACTTGTGCTGACAATGCCAAGCCGCGATTGAGCACAGCTGAGTGTAGCAGGTCTACGTCCTCCATGGACATGGACATTGGCGTCCCACGCAAGGCAGTTCAAGAACTTACCCACGTCCTCCAGTAAGAGTATGGTCGGCGGGTCGTGCATGCCGTACTGCCTAGGCAAGGATTGATTGACTAAATCCCGAGGCTGTGCCAGCTATCATCCTAAGCCAAGCAACTTCAGACAACACACAACATGGAACTGTTGATCTCGCCTTCTCCGACTCTCCTCGAAGATGCAGCCCTTGATTGGATCTACCTGAAAGATCCCGAGTGGCAGTAGCGAGCTGAGCACTTCGTCGTTCATTCGCTCGGAAGAGAAGCCTCAGGGCCGCTAGAAGCGGCCGGAGATACAGAGGTCTGACTCGGAGGTTCGCTGAGTCTTACAGACCGCTGAGTAACAGAACGAGAGCTCTTGAAAACCCTGTGCTACATTTGCGCACGGACCCATTGTCTCTACGATGATGTTCCTTCCGATCTGTCTGGACATCTTTGACATCGACGTAGCTACTGCCCATCTGAGAATCAGTGCGACCGGCCATGAGTCATAGCAGACCAGAAATTTAAACTCTGAATTCTGGAAGCCTGGACCGAACTTGCTTTTGACCGCTTTCGTAGGTCAGGAGACTCATCATGTAGATGGGCAGGCGCAGCTCGGAGGCGACAGCCATGATCAAGGAGCTTTTGCCTGGGAGAACTTACCTTTGACTTGCCTTTGATAGGGAATGGAAGAATGGCAGCAATAGTAGTCATAATTGTACTCCATGCCTCTATTCCCTCCTACTACTACTACTACTGCTACTACTACTACTACTACTGGTAAGAGAAAAGCTCAGCGATTGAGAACGAACTGAGGGAATAACTTCAGGGAGCGCGGTTGCTGGAAGCTGTGCTGAGTGTTGCATGACAAGGGAAGAATGAGCCGTCGTCTCTTCAGCACCGATCTTACCTACACGCAGCAATCCACAACTATTCGAGGGCAGTCTAGTTGTTTGAAGCTTGACCCTACCCGCTTTCATCCCAGAACGAAGTCCGGTGTCTGAGACCTGCCGGAATGCTCCCAGCTATTCTGGCCAAAAACATGCTCCTCTCTCGTGCAGTCAAGGATCCTCCTCCTGGGACGCCATAGAGCAGGTAGCCTCTTCGATAAGGTATGCCACGTTCTGTATACCAGGTTTCCGAGTTGAGAAACTCCCGGGCATCTTCCAGGAGGGCCTCCGAAGCTCGGAGTTAACTCACAGCCCCGTCTCTGCTCGTCCAGAGAGCCTCTGCTTGGTCGATGCCCGTGCTTCCAGCAACGCAGCGAGGCAACCTTACGTAAACGAGGCTCCGAACACTCTACATCTGGTTCGAAGCTTCGACAGCCTTTCGGCAGAAAGCCCGAAGAGGCGGGCTGGTTCAATTCAGGGACACTGCCGCCTACCTGCTCCAGAACTGAGGATACACACGAAAACAAGCGCCACACCTTCAAAGCCCAGCAACACAACGGAGGAGATCGACCGACCGGGCTGTTTTCGGTCCTTGTCCTGTCTTCTGTGAAGCAGTGTGTACTTTCACTCACAAAGATCAACACTGCATGTTGCCGGCGTCGCACATGTTATTGCCCAGCACGTCTCCTGCGGGTGCAGCCAGTTGAGGCCATGCTCCTTTCCGAAGTCGTAGACTTGCACAACCGTCAGAAATTTCCTTGGCTGCAAATAGAAGCGAACTGTATCGACGGTGCGATACCATGATCTAGAAGCAGAGCGCCGCATCGTCCAGCTTTCAGACCAGCTAAAACTTGCAAGGCTGAGGATTTCGACGTGACATGTTTCCACACCTACTGAATCCCGCAATCATCTTAAAAGGTTGTTCCTGAAACATTTCAAGCTTGGCGTCTCCCGCTTGCGCCGCTGAATCTCACGACCTTCCTCCAGCATGTTCTCCAAGACCACCTCAGCTCAGCTCAGGTAACATGTATCGGCATCCTGCAAAAATCTTCGATCACCAATCAGCTCGGCTAGCTCTGGCAGCTGGATTGTCAGCGGCCCAGACTAATCTCGGTTTGTTGGGGTAGGCCTCGAGGCCAAGCTAACTCAAAGCACGCCTGGTCACATGAGCACAAGAACCTTGCTTCTGATTGTCCCCCGCACATCGAAGTGACTGAAATTCTTGTTGACATTAATTACATTGAGTTGCAATGTTGCTGTCTCAAGCTTCTCGGTCCGGTGCCTTGTCTCGACCGAGGATGGAGACGGTGGCGCGATTTCCGCCAGAGCCCTGGCGGCTCTCAGACTTTTTTGCGAGCAGGAAGCGTATTGTACAGTCGGAGGGGCCATATATGGCCATACCATCATACCAGTCTACTCAGAGGCTCTTTGGTTAGACATGTTGCCGTCGTCTTTCAACCAGGCTCCCAGTCGGACCACCTCGCGGCTCTCGCGCGTGATCCACCTCATCACGGAGCAAGCATTATTACTTCCCGCGGGAATCAACTGACCTTGATGGATGTTGGTTCCTGCTGCTTCCTAGCTTTCGATCTTGACTCAAGATAACTCGACCAATTCAACATCCGAGCTACACCCACTGACTGGATCCGTCTGGTCTTTGGCACCTTGGTTTGGAAGTTCTGATCGAAGATGCTTGTGCATCGGCATCGGCCAGTTAAGGTCCGTGCCGTAGCCGGGACGTCACCTTTATCTCCGGCTCATACTCATAGCCTCAGAAAGGCAATGCCACGGAGAGGAGGCAAAACAGAAGCCTGACATAAGCTTTCTGCATGCGTTTTACAAGCAGAATGCCTCCTCCGATAAAGACCAAGCTGCGGGTGGCTTTGCCCTCCGAGCGCTGGCCATAGAGCCACAGCTCCGAGGCATCGTGGATGGCCGGCTGCTCTCGCAGCCAGGCAAGAACAAGGTCAGCCTCCTTTCGTCTGCAGAGGATTTCGAGCTGTCTGAGTTAAGGGGGCAAGTAGACAACTTACTCGAACATTCCCGTCAGCGTCAGGTTCTGTGGGATGCATTAAAAACAGATACAAATACAGCAACTGCAAAAAAGACAAGCCGACCGCCAAGCAAGCTTCAAACTTGGCTAGCCTTCTCATTCAGCCGCACTGTCATCCAGAGTCGGCGGACTGCCCAATCACCTGCTTCTAGGTAAACCGCCAATAGACAATGGGGTGTCTTCTCTGCAGAATTTGCACGAGCCCTCGCTCAAGATCCTTTCACATGCACTCCATGAATCAGTGAGCTGCATCGCAACACCTGCCTAGGCCAGCACTCCAGTTTGCGTGCCAAGCAGCAAAACGATTGAAATATTTTCGAGGAAGCATCGCGTGCAATTCCCACTGCCTGATGCAAGCCGCAAGCACTCGCGGTCGCTATGGCACACTAAGATAAGAAAGATACATCGGAGTCGGGCTTGTATAGCCGTTTCAATCGCAAGCAGGCTGCAGAGATGGCAACGGTCCCAGCGATGTGGTCGCTGGCATTCAAGAACTTCATGACAGTTCGCACCTGGTTTGCAACTTCTGACCACATCATTCATCATTCGGGGTGGCTTCGATTGGGGGCATCCATCCTCATCATATTAATATGATTGGCCAAACACGGTCGCTCCACGAACACGAAGGTACACAAAACGACAAGAATAATGGCACGAAGGATGCAACACCTTGCATCCACAAGCCATCTGTAGCTGTATTCGATCAATCTGCAGTCAGGATGACTTCGGGAAAAGAGATTGTCCGAGACCCACTCGTACTGCACTGACAGCGTGATACAGTTGTCCGTCTGATCTGCGGCGCATCTGTCTCTGAGGCCGCTGCCCATTGTCTCAGCAGTAAAAAGAGGTAGAGCTGCATGGCTCACAGCCCACGGCTTAAACACTTCACAACGCTGCCGCGTCTAGTCTGGACTGCTACAGGCCTCGACAAGCCCAGGAGTCGAGTTTCCCCCTTAGCTACGCTGACGCTACGACATCGGTCCGAAATCCCGAGTGACTGACAGGTCCATCTTACGGTAGGTTTAGTTTATTTCACCAAGTGGTGTCAGCTTTGCCCCGATCTACGGAGCTTCCTGGCTACCGTTTCCGGCAAGCTTGAAACCATCAGAAAGGTGTGGCAACAGCTGCAGTTTTAAGACGTTGCCAACCGACTTTTGGCTCAACACAATGCAGCAGTTCATGCTTCTTCCTGTGCTGCGCCTTCAACTCACGCGTCAAGAGGTTGGTAAACTGCGGGTTGTGTATCTCGGCCTGCAATGAGCAGCAAGCTACAGCGGCTCTCGGTTGTGACAATCTCGGGCGTATGCTCCCACCCCTATCACCTGACATGCTCCGATAAGTCGTGTATTGTCTGTCAGACGACAGCCTGTCCTTGCTTAAACCCTAAGCGCAATGGCCTCCTGTCTCACGAGTCGAGCCAGGCTGGAGGCTCAGCCCGAGTCTGCCCGCTTGCGCCACTCCGACATCCATGGTGCAAGTCGACCCAGGCCGTTCGTCCCGTTCGTCCGCATGTAAAAACACCATGGAGATGCTGGCGCAGGCATTCGGCCCGGAGAAGGGTTTGCTGGGCTCGGCCCGTGCAAAAACCGTCGCAACGCAGCATTGGTGCCTTTGACAGGGCCGGCGCCACCTTGCATCGCCTTGACCACAGTCTGACGACGTCCGCTTGCGTTCGAGATGTTTGAGATGCTTTTGAGGTGTAGGCGGTCTTAGAGAAACCTGTCAATAGAACGAGCAAGCATAGCAGTGCACTGCCATTTAATCTATCTTCCTGGTGCCCATATGCTGCCTTGGCCACCGAACTCGCAAGCATGGCCAGATGCGCAGAAGTGAGATATACCTGGCTTCCACTTCCGGAGATCACGTGCGGTGTTGGGCCCATCAGGGATTTAGAATTTTCCTGCAGACCTGGGGATCAAACCCCCGTCTCTGCACAGGTCCAAGTCGGGTGGCATCGCCAGGCCCTCAAGCGCTGTACTGCCGTTCAAACTATCGTGCGGAAAAGACATGCCGCAGGGACCAGGTTTGCACAAATGCGCGGAAGCAATGCCTGAACCTTAGGAGCCAGGCGGAGTCACAACTTCTACTGCGGGCGTCACAAGGCGAGTCGTCGAAGCTATGAAGGGTAACCAATGAAAACGCGAGGGCGCCAGGCTTGACGTTCAAACTACGTTCAAGATGCTTGGACAGGACAAAAGCTCGCAAGCCGGGCCCCCCTGCAAGCTGCTTATCCAGGCGCCTTTGGCTGCACAGCGTCTCAGCAAGTTGGGCTTCGAGTGTAGAAGGCCTGGATCTCGCCATGCCGTTCAGGATGAGGGACACGTCATGCATTGCCAACGAATCGGACAGTTCCTGCAGCAGGTCAGCTGGGAGCCAAATGCCACACGAATCTTCCGGAATGTTGAGGCTCTCAAATGTTCAATACCAGTCCTTCGTTCGCTTCGTCAACGCAGCCCACCATGCCTCGTCGTCGAGGCCCTCTCCTGGGCATGCTAAAGGCCAAAACTACAGATGCTAATCCCAACCTCGCATACACAAGCTGCGCATGACGGATGAAAGCTGCTCCTGAACCATGCTGATGGCTCAAACTTGCACCTACTCTTATCCTGTCGTCGTGCTGATGTCAGACGAGAATGCTCGCGGGGGTGCCCATAGTTTCTTGGCTCCAGTTTCCCCAGTTTCGGCCCAGTGGGAGTCAGCTTCGGCACGCGGGCCTGTCAGTTTCAGTTTGGGCAGGGGGCGATGTGGGCTGCTTCAGTACTAGTCCGATTCTTGCACCTGGGTCTCAAGACGTGGCGTGAGACCGAAACTGAGCATGTCCTGCGAAACTGTCCCGGACCATGTTCCGAAACTTCTCGAAACTCGAAACCCTGAAACTCACAACCACAACATCCGTGCTCGCGGAGCGCTTACCGTGGCCCGAGCTTGCTGCCGCCGTGGCGGCACGTCCAAGTCCTGCCCCACTGCAACATCAGAGGTGCTTGCGGTGCCGGATCATTGGCTAAGTTCCTCTTAGAGGCTCGGCTCACTGAGCTTTGCGGCTGAATCATGAAAGACAGGTCAACCACGAGATGAGCACGGAGTGAGCTGCGAATCCCTGCAGTAGGGTTTTAGGGTTCCTTTAAAGGGTACTATAACAGTTCCTTTAAGGGATCTAAAAGGGTTATAAAAGGAAACTATAGTAGCCGGTCTTTCAGCGGAGCATCCGCACACGAGAGGTTTTCAACTGTCTGTCGCGACAACTAGAGACTGAGAGACTCAGAGATGTTGAGCGAGGTCAAGCCCTAGGTTGGAGGGCAGATGGGAAAGTTGCCTTCGACTTTGGCCAATTTGAGAGCGGCCAGGCGTGGAAAAGGCTCGACTCGACTCGACGCAGACTCCACAAGCCTCAAGAAGCAAAGCCCAACATCTGAAGGTTTTGCCCAGCTCCATTGAGCCCTTCTTAGCAGATCAAAGCAAGTGCCGGCTCCTTCGCCATCTAATTCTGCTGGATCTCTCAGCAAGGCCAAAGCTCCCAGCAGCCTCGCAGAACCCATTTTCGGGCAGGGTGGAAGCACATAATACGTTATAACTCAGTTTTAACTGTCTATCTATCTATGTATGTCTATATTTCTGTCTATCTCTCTATCATTGTCTATCTGTATGATGTACTGACATCTTTTCTTATCGGGTATGACTCCGAAAAGTAGGCTTCAAGAGTCTGTGTGAGAGTAGGAATGCGTTCTGGAAGTGCTCCGAGGATCCCAAGCCTGTTGGGAAGCGCCCCGGTGTTTCGTGGCCTGCGAGCAGAACAGGTAAGGCTGGCTATGGCTCTTAAACTACTATTGTTGTTATGGTTATTATTGTTACTATTGATGTTATTATTGTGGTTTCTATTTTTATCCGTGTTACTTTTATGGTTATGACTGATGATTGTTACTACTGGTTATCAGTATTATTCCTTATCAGCACAAGATACTACTCTTAGTGCTACGAGTGTACGTAGTGCTCAAAGTGCTCACGACCCGGGTTTTTCCAAACTCTGTCAGTGGTCAAGTCGAGTAAGACTTCACGCCAATGAGTTATGTACGCGATCATCAGCTGACCTAGCAATTGTCGTATCTGGCGTGGGAATGAGGTTGCTTCCCGACCGAACTGACACCCAACCCGCCCACATCAGAGCTGTTGCAGATCTACTGCTATGCAGGCGTCGGTACTTGTCTACACCCTCCTGCCAGGAGCTGTGCGTCGTACTGCCCCTCTTTCGCACCGTCATCTCGCTTCGCAGCAGGCCTTCGTGGTCGGGGAGGCCTGAGTTGCGATGCGAATCCCTGGAAACCGCCGACCGCGGTGCGAACGGAGGCAGAGCTACGAAGAGATCTCGACAGCGGGACATCGTAGCCGATACTGAGGGCGGAAGTGCGTCGAAGTCCCATGACCGGGGCACGGGCTGCAGAACTTCTGCTGCCCAGTTCCGGCCAAACGGAGCATCCTTCCATACATCTGCTTGTCAAGACTGTCCCAGCCTGTTTGGGACACGGACATCACACCGCCCCGTGCCTCTGCACTTTGGCCCTGAGAATAGCCTTGGCGGATGGCAACTGCGAAACCGAGAACATGCATGTTTGGGCAGGGGGCCTGCAGAGCGCGAACAGCATGGCCACACCTCAGGCAAAGTACAATCATCGGCTGCCACACTCCCTCAACGCATGTATTCAGAAAGTCATCTAGTGCAGAAGTATCAATGCTGACGAAACCACAAAGCACGACAGCGTTCTTTTCGGTCCGCTGAATCAAAGGCGGCGTGCAGCTACTGGAAAGCCAGTAAGACTGACGCGCAACACGGTAAGCCCGAGCTTCTGAACAGCTGCCACAAGCCTGGTGCAGTGCTCAAACATACCCACAAGGTCATGCGCTCACGGCTGGTGTTCAAAAGCTGGGCAACTATGTAAAGGGGACTGCACTCGGCTGCTGCACTGCAGCGCAGGCAAATCCAGAATATTTCAGCAAGCGTCGCGGGACGCTGCTTGCGGCCACAAGCACCAGCGCAGTGCTGCATCGCCGCTAGGACAGGAGCTCGGAAGGACCGCAGGCGGGGTCTGCGGTTCTGAAGAGGTGTAAGATTGAGCAGACCGACCTGGATGATACTCAGGATGGTCCTACAGTGACGAAGCAACCTACTTGTCTCCAGCCATAGACTGGAGCTCAGCGCACGATTTTGAGATTGCGGGGCTCATCCCCATCTTGTGCACGTAGTCCTGACTTTTCTGTCGGAAAGCAATTTGGGAGGGGGCTACGAAAGCTAGTGGGACTAGGGCTTAGAGGCCCCGGCACGTGCTGCTCTCTTTTTTCGGTGCACGCCCCTCCGTCTCCGGCAAGTGGGAGCAGCAGCAGCACGTGGGGGCTCGGCTTAGTAGTACTGCTGGTCGTGCCAGTGCCAGTGCAAGTGCAAGTGCAAGTGCTAGTAGTAGTAGTAGTAGTAGTAGTAGTAGTAGTAGTAGTAGTAGTAGTAGTAGTAGTAGTAGTAGTAGTAATAGTAGTAGTAGTAGTAGTAGTAGTAGTAGTAGTAGTAGTAGTAGTAGTAGTAGTAGTAGTAGTAGTAGTAGTAGTAGTAGTAGTAGTCGCAGTCGCAGTCGCAGTCGCAGTCGCAGTCGCAGTAGCAGTAGCAGTAGCAGTAGCAGTAGCAGTAGCAGTAGTAGTAGTAGTAGTAGTAGTAGTAGTAGTAGTAGTAGTAGTACGTAGCAGCAGCAGTAGTAGTCGTAGTAGTAGCAGGAGCAGTAGCAGTAGTAGTTGTTGTAGGAGTAGTAATTACAAGGGAGGGGGACATCTCAGCCCTTCCCGGAACCTTTCGGAGGGGGGTGGACTTCTGCCTGAACGATCGGCCCGCCCCTTGCTGGATGCTTTCAACTCCCGATTTACCAGACCTAAAGGCCATAGAATGTCACCCCTGCACTCCTCCGTGAAGCCGATGTGCGATCGTTCAAAAGTCATCCTGAGCGAGAAGCGTCGGTGGGTTTCCGTCATGGTACGGACCTCCTTGATAGGCAAGGCTCACTCCGGGTCTAACCTGCAGATACGGCAGGTCCTCATTCTTCACACCACCTGGGTGAGGGTCAGTTGAAGTCCAGGCCCAAGCGCACGCATGTGTGCTACGTGTCATAAACCCAAGGCACGATAGTATGCAAGAAGAACCCGGCACACTGCCTGGTCTGAGTCACAGAGGTGCACATGCCGCCAATGCCGATGTGAGAAGACACTAACCTGCCGCCAGAAAAACGACGCGCCTTGTCGCAAACAATAAGAACATTGCCAATAATCTGCTCCAGCCGTAAGACCAGGAAAGAAAGTCGGAAGAGCACATCCTCTCAGCGGCGGCTTCTTGTTTTAAAAGCTACAGAATTCTGCAAAAGTCGCAGGGAAGGATCCTTGCAACATGGTTCTAAGAGCATGCCCGACCTGGTAACTCTCGCCACCGACGCCCGGATAGCGGTAGTTGAGCTTGTCTCGCTGCCGGGCTGAAAATTCCTGCAGAGCCCAGAAAAGCGCAACACCAGGATCTTTCCCTACACCGAAAGCCGGGCTCCTCCGGATAGAATTCTTTGAACTCCTCATAGGAGAGACTGTCCAGATCACCAGCACAAAGCTCGTTGAGCCGCTGCAGCTTCAAGACCTGAGCAAGAAAGGCATTCAAAGGCGCTCCCTCCCCGTCCGCTTCGACTCGCCTTCCATCCTTGAGGCATCCACTTTCCGCGGCTTTTGACCAGATTTGGGAGGTATGCCCTGGCAATCCCCACATTCCCATCGTTCCGAACATGAGATGGCAGCCAAGCGTGGCCTTGAGAGCTTCGACTGTTTGCAGGTGTCTGGTCAGCGTGCCACACATTACCTGGGTGGCAAGTGAAGTTGCGAAGCAAGAAAGAAGAGCCAGTAGAGGCTTCATCACACCAAAATATCCTGGCCGCCTAGGCTCAGCCGTTAGTTTGCGAGGCAATAAGACTGTCCACAGCCCAGTGTTCCGCGTCCGGTCCGAGGGGCAAGCATGGTCTTGCCCGCGGCCTCCTCTCGCTCAGCAACGAATCCTTATCTCGGCAGCCACACAGCCACCATGATGCTGCCTTATCTGGGAATATAGTTTCCTGCATGAGCCTCAAAAACTGTGCCTTTTGCCTTTTCACCTGCGCCGTCATAGCGTAACAGATGCCTGCCAGCCTCAAGCTGAAGTCGAGCATCTTGCGAGCGCTGCAGCATGCTGTTTCCCTGCCACAGGTAGGGAATAGAAACGGTACTTGCACTAGTACTACCCCTAGCCCTAGCGGTCCTCGACGACACTGCAACTACGACCTCTACTACTATACCGTAGGGCGATGTGTCGGGGAGCGACCGGCCGTGGATGCCATGCTTTTGTGACGCTGCCCCGCGCAGGGATGCAACTCCCCCGCCTGCTTGCGTCAGAGCTGAGTCACCACCGAGGACGCCCTTCCTGGCGCAAAGCTTTGGGGTGTCAGCTGTTGGAGCTGCGTGTCAGCTTGGCTTGGCATTTCAAAACTCTGCTGCAGTTCGGATACTTCTTACTTCAGAAACCCACTCCCGTCTTGGTCGACCTACTCCCCTCACGTACCTGCTGGTACAGGTTGAAGAGTTCCAGGTATCAACGCAGAGACGTGCAAAGGGTGGTCCAGTGAGATCTTAGGACCTTGCCGAGCACAAGCGCCTGGCGTTGTACCGGCATGTCAGAAGCGGCATTGCAGCGTGCCCGAGGTAAAACCGCCGTGTTTGGAACACAGTCGATTTTGGAAACCATCCACGAGGTCGACATTCGGCTGTGGAAAGACATAAAATGCAATAAACAACTCAAGCCGTACATCAGTTTGGATTCAACCAAAGTTTTGAAAGAATGAACCTTCCGACTCCCACGCTTTCATTGTTTCTGTAAATGGATTGGCCGGATCCAAATTTGAAGCCATTTCCAGGCTTTGGGACATGCACTCTTGGTGCCATGATTTCAACCTCAGAATCCTGACCAAAGCACTAAGAACCGCACCAACCGCGATCCCCACCCGAGCCTGTCGTGCTCCGTTTCCCCGACCACGGCCAGCATGATGCACCGCTTCCCGAGGTTGATGCTGGACATGAGGCCCACAATGTACCTGCATAGAGCTGGCGTGGTTGGGTCGAGTCCTACCTTCCCAGCTTTACGGTCTCGCCTCATCACGCCGTACTCGTCATCTTTGGAGCGACAGTGATTGCAAATCAATTTTTCCTGAAGCCCCGCAGATGCAGCGCCATGCAACCAGGCACGCTCTCAACACGGCCACAGCATTAGCTACTGAGAAAGACGAGTGGCCCCAGCATTTATGAGCTTAATGTAGCCACATCTGTCCTGGGTGCACGTAGCAAAGTGCTGCTCGGCACTCATGACTTGAAAGGAGCAGAAAGATCGAAGGATGCGCCGGGAATCGGAGCACTCTCTGTCTTCGACAGGCTCATAGACCTGGGCATACTGCTCCACGCGTTCCAAGAAGTCCTGGAGAGCCTTCTCGGCTTTCATTCCGACATAGTCCTCGTTGCCCAACTTCAGATCGTAGTTGTGTGACAGGATGGCCCCATCGTCGCAGATGGACTCCAAAAAAATGATGCGGATGCCTGTATGGGCCAGGACACGTTCCTTGACCTTCCTCCGCCTCTCCAGTGTGGTGTTCGTAGCATCCAGAATGCCAACGGCGGTGGCCTGGCCCTCCTTCTCGAGAAAAGCCAGAAGCTGATCCAGGCATTCCATCGCCAGCTCGTCCCGCAGCTTCTTTGCGTTCTCGTTGGAACTATCAAAGAAATTGGCATCCACACCACTCTTGCCTGCCGAGCGCCTCAAATTCCCCGCGTTGAAGAGCTGTGTAGGGCAGCCCACGAAATTGAGGTAACGGACAATGGCCTTGGAGATGTAGGACTTACCTCTCGCAGGCAGCCCGACCATCGCCAACACGACCTTCTGCTCCAAGACCTCTCAGACCCGGGCTCCGGGAAAAAAAGAAACCGAACAGCACCGGGATGATGTTCTTCGTTGCAAAAAAATATGAGACTAGGTGACCTAAGCACCGTTATGCACGTTGCCTTGTTCTCATTCATGGAGAACTTGCCAGATGTTCGGCGCTTGAACCTGGGCTCTGCATCACCAGATATCGCCCTTGAGCGCAACACAGTCAGACGAGTTGCTCCCGCGGGTGTCTCGGAGAGTCAGGCTGTGGCGACACGGGCTCGTGGGTCACATCCAGCTGCTGTGCCTTTGCGCAAAACCCAGCGAGGGCTAACAAGAGAAAACGGCCCACAAGCCCAAACGAACTCCTGTACTCAGTCCAGCTGCCCTGAAAGGATGGAGCAAGGCATCAGGCCGCAACTTCTCGGATGCAGTCGTGAGCTGACGAGTGGGAGAACGGCCTTCCAGGACAGGGCAGTGGCTGCTGCACAGTCATGGGATGCATGGAATGCATGGATTGCGGTGGCGGTGGGTGGGTGGATGCCGGCGGTAGTTGATGCAGGTTCTGTAGCGAGGAAGCTCGGGAGTCCTCGCCATGCGAAAGAACAGAAAGGACATCCCTGACTCCGTGGCAGTGGCGGTCGAAGTATAGCAGTTGCAGGAGCAGTCGGTGCAGGAGGAGTAATGGTCGGAGCACTCAAACCATTGAGCCAATCAGTTTCACCGTGTGAAGGGTTTGGTGCTCAGCCAGTCGTAGGGGGAAATGACCGTTTAAATGCAGGCAGGTTGGATCTAAGAAGTCATGCAAATTCTGTCGCTGGAAGATTAATCGAAAAGCACGACAAGCGCCCAAATACCTCAGCAAATTGGCCATACAAGGACTTCGACATCAATCGCGTAGGGATGAACTAAGTCAAGTCCGTGCGGGCATATCGACTGTAGTCCAGCACTCAGTGCTTAACAAGTTTGGTTGGGCGTGACCACTCCTGGCTGTTCCGAACATGTATACGAAACTGCTGCATTCATTTGTGCGTAGGTGTGCAAGTACATGCATATGTATGTAGGTAGGTAGCTATGCAGGTAGTAGATATGTAGGTATGCATGTAGATATGTAGATATGTAGGTATGTATGTATGTAGATGTGTACATGCGTACGTGTGTATGTGTGTATGTATATGTACACGTATTTGTATAGTATACGCATAAACATACACATGTGCTTGTGTGTGTGCGCATGCTGCAATGGTCCATACTCGAAAGTCGCAGGCCTCTGTCTTGTTTCTTGGTCCAGAGAGCTCCAAGGCATGCCCCAACAGCAGTGCCGGCAAGGCATCCGGCGAAACCGCCATCTACCGCCAACATGGCTGGGATTGGCTGAGAATCTATGTCTATGTGTTGAAAATCCTTTGGGCGCTGTGATGATTCGCGCCGCAGCACTCATCTGTCTCGTTGCTGACATCAACGGAATAATTGCATCTAGGATCATCTAGGTTTATCCATGTGCATGATTTTTGGGGTCTACACTTATACCGTCTACAAAGAAGTGCTTGCTGAGCTGATCCCAAGCTGTGTCCAGAGACAAGATGCGATGTAGTGCCTGCAGCTTTCGCAGCTGACCACTGGTCTTGTGCGCGATACACCGCAGCTTTGCCTCCGGTGGAGAAATCTCAGGCCGAGGCCCTCAGCTGTGTCTCAACCCGGCCTAAGCAGCATCGCCATGAGGCCCCCGTCGTGGCTGCTGACCATATGATGCAGTGACACTTGCGAGCACTGCGATATCGAGGACACGGCGTCCGAAGCCCGAACCACGGCTTGGGTTCGCCCGAAGACTTGGCGTGCAAAAGGATTGGGAACTCTGAAGCTATGCGCTGAACTTCGGCAACTCGGGCCCTGGCATCCGGAGCAGCGCCATGAAAGAAACTTTGCCATGGCGCAGCGAGATCGAGAACCCCCTTTAAGGGTATAAGTATAAGCTGTCTGCTGAGCTGAGTCGGGCTAGGTTGGCAATGGCCGGGGGAAACAAAGTGTACCACCGCTGAGTTCCGCGGCTGTATCGTCTGTCTAGTGACGGGCTCCGGCAAGCCCCTACTGCAAGTGACCATTGATTCTGCCAGTCCGTGTTCTTGGTATCAGTATCTTGAGAAGTCCACTTCGCTGAGAAGTCAACAGCACCTTTACTGAGGAACCCAATCGGACCAACGCTGCCTAGAAATGTCAGAGATTGGCTCGACCTATGGATGGTGGCTCGAAGCTGGATGCTTCGGATGACAGATGGCTCAGCTTTCACGACACTATGGCCGAATAGTTCGCTAATCTCAACACCACTGTGCGTCGGCTCACCGAATACTCCAATCTCGTGCCAAACCCGCTTCCGTGGTGATGGCGTTGACCGACACCCCGTGGTGATCTCGAATGGTTTGTGACGAAGCTCTGGGTGGTACGGTCCCGCTGCAAGGTTCGAAGAGCACAGCTGGAGCCCTGGCGGGGCAGCTCAAGCCAGCAGGCATGAGCCGATAACGAGGGTTCCCTGCAAGATGGCAATGCCCAGTCTCTTTTCTTGCGTAAACTGCAAAGCTATTAGGCTTTAAATCATTGAAAAGCAAGGTCTTTGCTTGATTTAGCCTGCGGGCCAGCCAGATCACGTGTTCTTCGTGCGGCTTGAAGCCTTGTTCGCTAGCCATGGACACGCTGATCGGGCTGGTCGCAATCTTTGTCTAACGAAATGGGCACACAAATGTCCCTGGCACAAACCACGCATGCGTTCAGCGCCAAGCGGCAAACAGGCCCTGCAGCGCAACGACCCGTGGTGTTATCCATGAACTCTTTTCCATGCATGCGCTCCACCGGACGGGGTCCAGCTGGATCTGTGCTGCAAGGCCGTGAGGGGACTGAGTTCCATTCGGAGGGCCTGTGCAGAAATCCTGCTTGGCTTGGAAGCCAGCCTGGAGTCTGATTGGGGAGGCGCAGTGCGAACAATGCAATCGAGAGATCGAGATCTACTCCCTGACTTATCCTTGCAACTCAAGCAACAGACTAGCTCCCTGATGCAACAAGAGGCTCTTCCAGTCTGGCATCTTCAGTTGAACTTACCAGTACACACTGAGTCGACAGATGGCCTGACGGTCTCTCCCAATCAGTCAGCAGGCGCATCAAGCAGGCTGTACGACACATGCACTTAATTCTATGTGGATCACACAAAAAGTCTCTATGTAAAGATGCAAGCAGTTTAGAGACACTGTCGGGATAGCCGAACCGCATTGGCAAGCCTATCACCTATGTGCCAGACATAAATCTACAGTAGCCATCCATTCTTCTCATCCAGAATTCAGAGAAGCCGGGCTCACAAACCACTTGCAGGCACCGTCTCAAAGACTGAATTAAGTATCTGTGTTTGGCCTTGGTGCTCCGTCTTGCCACGCGAGCCCATGTCTTGGCCTTTCTTCGGTGGCTTACTTCGAGACAAACGCTATGCCAGATGACCCCGAGTAGAGACGACAGGTGCGACGTGGGCTCAATGTGGGTCTTTTCCAGGGCCATGGCGGTGTGGGCCACCACCCCTCGCTCTCAAACCAGAGTTCCAGGGCCGAAGCTCGGCAACATTCTACAAATCTATTCGCATGAAGCCTTTCCGAGGAATGAACTGAAAAGGCAGCCTTTCCGTCGTTCTGCATCACTCGGAGAACTTCCTTTCACGATTTTGTCGCCGCTCCTTGCATCCAGAGCTCGCCAAAGCTTCTTCAACCTCCCTCACACACAGTAACGGAACAGGAGGCCATCGTTCATGTGCTCCCGATCCTTCTGCATCGCACGCTTGTCTTCGTGGTGCCTCCTCTGGATGCGCTCCTGCACTCGGTTTCAGGTCGAATCCGGAGATCTGGGCTTGCGCACAAACCTATAGGAGATCTGGACTTGCGGCGCAGACCGGTGCTGGCCTTCTCTCGTCTGTGACGAGCTATTTCCTGATCCCGCTCCTGCACGGACGAATGTGACTGATGCTGTGCTGTCAGGAGCTCATTGCGTGGGGCACGGCTTACAATATTCTGCCTCCTGAGGATCTGCTTCATCCTCCTCCTGCGCAAGAATGTCCGTCTCGCTAGGCAGAAAGATGCAGAAAGCATTGCATCGCCGCCTGGGAGCCGGTGTCCTGGCAAGGGGGAGTTTGACATGTGGACACTTCACTTCGTCCCTTGGTGAAACTATGTACGGGACATGCTTGCTTTGGCTTCTCTAGCCCTCTTAACGCAAGAAACTACCCCCAAGGCACGCAGCACTGGCATGCACTAAAACGCGGCTAGTGTCTGAGCTTCTTACCATGCCGAGCTCATGTGTGACGCGCTCGATGTCTGCTTCTACCTGACACAGGAGCCGTGTTCACTTCATGGCACCAGAGTTTAAGCCGTTGCTTTTGAACCCTCTTTTTCCGGGATTACATTCACCAGGTCTCTCAGTCAACTGGTGTCAGACTCACTTCATCTCGTTCACACTTCCCCATGTTCCAGGCCGTATACGTGCGCCTCTCAGTCTTCGTCGAACAGCTCGGTGTGGGAATTATCTGGGCCTAAACGCAAGCTCATACCCAAAGGCCTGCCCGCGCCGCTGGATCTTGGCCTTCTCTTCCTCGGTCAAGGCCTCTAGCAAAGCAAATCAGCTCTTCCGATCTCTTCCGTTGCAGCTGATTTGTGTTGGCAAGGTTCGGGTCTTTGTGCCCAGACGAGCACACTTGTCAAGAATTGTCAAGATAAGCAGCGCCTCGTTCCCCTTTGTCTGGGCTTTCTCTTCCAGCCTCTCCGTCTCCTTGTGATCAGACGGGACGGGCCAAAAACCCTCGTTGTTCAGCTACGCGCTTGGAAACAGATGCGAATCACATGATGCCATCCATGGGGGCGCGGGAGGGTTAGAAACCAAGCCCTTGCTGAGACCGAGACCTGCAGACGCTGCTGCAGCCGCTGGAGCTGACGCCGCAGAGTCTCCAGGTGGTGCTCGTGCGCCTTCGAGTTCGGAGGCAAGACGAAGAGAGGCTCCAAGTCTCTCCCGGCGCTGAGGCATTCCTCCCTGGCCTGTTGCGCTGCACACTCCTCCCGAAGTTCTCGAATCCTCTCCAGATCCGGGCTGACCTGCACAGCTCAGGTTCAAGAACAGAGCAAGACTTGCTGCTGCTCCAAAAGAATCCGAGCAGCTTGGTCTAAATACTATAATATACTACAAACACCATACTATACTTTATTATACTATACTACACTAGACTACAAATATTATTAGGACGCAGCCTGGGGCTCGCGGGCCTCCATTCCCCAGCGGAAGACAGAGATGCCCGAGCCCACCGAGGAGACTGCCAGCAGCCCAGACCTGGCTCGTAACGCTGCGGTTCTGGACCAAAGGAGTTTAGGGTTTAGGGATGTTTAGGGATTAGTGTTTAAGGTTTAAGGGTTTAGAGGTTTAGGGTTTAGAGTTTACTGTGGGGGTCTAAACATGACAGCAAGGGACCCTTGGCCCGAAGAGGCGTTCAAGGCCATTGTGTCGATGCCGGCACCGTGCCTTCAGGCTCGAAACTCGACCGAGGCTGGAAACTCAATGAAACACCCGAGATCTCGGCAGCAGCACCTTCGAGAGATCCATGGCCACGGCCTCTGCCCGGGACTCTTCACAAGCTGCAAATCCGAAGGGAGAGTGCTTACTAGGGAATGCGGGAATGGATATTGGGGACTATTATTGAGGATTTTTCGGGTAAAAACTCCTAGGCCAAAGCAGAGAACATCTGCCATTCAAGCTTGCATGGTTTCGCAGGGTGCTTCGCAGGGTGCCTCGCACAACATCCCAACGCTGCAAACAATGACAATCCCTAAACCCTAGACCCGAATCCAGAAAAACCCTAAACCCTTAGGCCCTAAATCCTAAACCCTTAACCCTTAGGCCCTAAACCCTGAACCCTCAGGCCCTCAACTCTACACCCTAAGAAAGAAATAAATAGAAATTGCTTGTCGTTGCTGGCTTTGAGCTCCCTGGACCGAAGCCCAACCCAGCCCACAACCAGGTTCCAGTCACAAAACTCCCCCAATTTCGAATCAGATCCCAGATACAAAACTCCGCAAAAAGCGAAATAAGGTTCCAATCCCCAAACTCCTGCCCCGCCCCACTGCGAGCCCCAGCCCCCCAGCCCCAGCCCAAGCCCCAGCCCAGCTGCCCCAGCAGCTCCAGCCCCAGACTACACAAAGGGTTTAGGGTTTAGGTTAGGTTTTAGACCGGCCAGCCCAGCGCCACATTTTCCAAAACCAGGTTTCAGTCGGAAAACTTTCGGTCAAAACGTTTCGATCCAAACGTTTCGGTCAAAACGTTTTTGGCACCCAAACCCTGAACAATTTCTATAAACCCTCAATGCTCGATTCCCGGGCCGTGGTCTCGATCAGCTCCGCCGTTTCCGATCCTGCAGCCGGGACTTCGGTGAGCTTTTAGAGCTGACGGTCATCGAAAAGGACTCACAGGTTGAGTAATACAGGGGCCTTAATAATTAGAATAGGGTTTTGCGGCCCATGATACTATAATTATAATAAGGAACACCAACATAGTATAGCTAACTAATAAGGCCCCTATATCCGCCGAGGCCACAGGCCCAGGCGTCTTGGGGGTTAGCTCAGGTACCCTCTCCAAATGTTTGGGGACACCCGTTTTTTGCGTTCGTTTGCCACCCCCTTGCCGGCTTCCCCTCATTTTACCTGATTTGTCGGCCTCCCCCCCCCCCCCCCCCCCCCCCCCCCCCCCCCCCCCCCCCCCCCCCCCCCCCCCCCCCCCCCCCCCCCCCCCCCCCCCCCCCCCCCCCCCCCCCCCCCCCCCCCCCCCCCCCCCCCCCCCCCTCCCCTACCCATTCTCCTCGCACTTCGTATCAACAACCGTGTAAAGGTTGGGGTTTGACAGGCCGCCCTAGCATAAAAAAACATCGACTGCCCCCTCGCCCTGCCGCTACACAGCCGAGGCGGGCGGCGTAGCGTTAAAATTATCTCTTCAATCTTGAGGATCGGCAGGGTGCCTCGTACTCGGGCGTACAGGTTCACTGCAGATGCGCAAGCACGCGTCGCCTGCACAACTCAGGCACCAAGAGACTGGGCAGGAATTCGGGTTTAGGTTTTAGGGGTTTGGGAAGGAGACTGCGCAGGAATCTCGTATCTGGGCTGATCATCTCTTCGGCCCTTATCCCCTCCTTGGATTCTCCCACCGTAGGCCAGAGGCAGCAGACCTTGGAGTGGCTGCAAACTCATATTCTTACCAGTACAGCTTGAACGACGCTGCCTTGAGGCCAGATCCAGATCCCTGCTCACATTGACAAAACTGCATCTCTGCCCCGCCACGAGCGCACGGCTGTTCGTCGTTTGTGGGAGCCCTCCCCCGCGAGTACCTGGTAGCGCAGATACTGGACGCTCCGCTTTATTAGGGGGCATGCGCAGCCGCAGAGGCTTGCCGCGAAGAACTCATACGGTGTCGCGTAGAAGTGACGAACCTGGAACGAGAAAACAGTTACACGGTTGCATCGATGCTGCAATTCCAGAAGCCACGACCGTCCGTCGGATGTGACTCGTTGTCAACGCGTGTCTGGGCTTGCAGGAATCCCCGGAAGCTCGACAACCACCACCAGCGCTGCAGTGCCAGCCAGAGCCTGGAGACTTCCGTATGTATATATATATATATATATATATATGTATAATTATATTATATACTATACACTATATATTATTATGTATTTATAGATGCTCCGATTCACTGCAATGGAAGGCCGCAGTCACCCTTCCGGGGCCTGGAAGGCGTACACGTGCTTGGGGCTGCAAACAGCGAAGCCGCAGGCTCCAACCTGAATCTGTTTGTAGCACCAACATCTGACTGCCCCAAAGCACCTCCATCTTGAGTGCCCAAGGCCACTGAGTCTCCGGCAGGTTGCAGGGATGCCACGTTCAGGCTGGCGGCGACTTCCTTCTAAGCTACAATCTCCCCGGCATGGAAAACTTGCCGAGCAGTCTTCCACTCTCGTGTTGAAGAAAGAGGCCCAACTCGTCTTCTCGCTGACTTTCCCTTTGAACCCGTCCACCGCGGGGTTGGGGGGTTGTGTTTTGCGGAGGCTGGCGGCTTCTTCATCTATCCATTTCTTGGACTAAGGCTTTTGCAAAGGAATGTGGGGAGCTTGTCGCAACAGGAATTCAGCAAAGCTCCAGTTACATCCCCTGGCTTCGACACGAGATTGTCATCCTACATGTCTGACATGGGCCTGGAATCCGTAAAATCCTCCCTCGAGTTGTTCACAGATGTTCCCGTCATGTGCCAAATTATTTGCGTCAGTATGGTGTGGTCTGTCTGACTGTCTGCATGTCACAAAGTGGCGGGGGGCTGAAATCCGAACCACACAAGGCAACGGGAGTGAGAAGATACAGCAGGAGCCAAATCCAGCTCCAGAAGCAGAGATGAAGGCGAGTGGCTCTGCACGGTTAGACTTGCACAAGTATCACAGGTAATGCTCAGGTAATCCTGATACAAATCGCAGCTGGTGGGTCATGCTTCGTAGCATGCGGCCTTGTCAGGAAGCGCTCTGGTCAATGTGCCAACAGACGGAGTCCGCTTGGCCTCCGGAGCGAGGTCCAGGTGAGCTCCCAATTTGGAGCACTTAACTTTAACTTAAGCAGGGGCCAGCTCGCAGAAGTCGGGACGAGGCTGGCTGCGGAAACCCAATCCGATTTTCTTAATGGCTACGGGGGATCCTGCTTGATAACTGCATGTTGGCACGACTCTTGAGACTTGCATTTCGTAGGTCATGCATACTTGGTGGCTGGCAGCATCGGTATGTCCCAAGAAGAGCCCATGCTCCTGTCTGCAGAAGGCACTCTGCTTGTCGGCTTGGCGGTGGGATGCGGCGGGTATTCAGCAGATCGGCAGCTGTCGGGAACCTCGACCCACGCTTCAAGCGCTGTCCTGTGCTACCACCACTAGGACATCGGTCGCGGACTCCTGTGTCAAGGGACATGAAAAGCCAAAGCAGTTCTCCAAGAGCCCCTGAGTTGCAAGCACAAGTTGATGATTCTGACATTGTTGCATCTATCCAGAAGCTCCACCTACCACTCTAGGTTTGAATTGCCAGGTGCTCAAGGCCTACTGTGATGAGGCAAACGCTGTAGCGCTCCAGCTTTTGCAAACTTATACCTGATCTCTTACCAATGCCTGCTTTCTGCCGACTGTTTCGAAAGGTGACTTCTTACTGACATACACCTGGCTTCGGCTCACATATCTCTTTATCTATGTGTGTGTGTGTGTGTGCATAAGTATGTACTCATGACTATTGCTATCTGCTTGCTTCGACATGCTTCGACAACCGGTTCAAGCCGACCACCCCGAATAGCGGCTTGGAAGCTCTGCAGGGATGGACATCCATCCCTGCCAGGCTTGCTTGATGGCGACCCTTTTTGTTTGTTCTTTCGGTGTTGCTTTCTTGCAAGGCTCGCCACGGTCTTTTCCAGGCCATGCTCTTTTTGGAATCGTGGAGCTTTTTTACCCCGCGCTGCTGCAAAAACACTTGGCGCGCCATGCATGCTGCAGGAAAGCAGTCTTGGTGACAGCTCAAGGAATGCTGAGATCTCAGATTACCGGCTTTTCCACCATCTGCCTGTTCCAACAGGTGCAGCGCCCATCATCCATTGCAGACTTCATGATGGCAAATTCTGTCAAGATACAGTCCTTTGCAATCACAAACCCCTCCGTCGCACTCGATCTGCATCGGGCACGAAGTGTTCCTAGAATCTGTTGCAAGTGGAGTGTGTTCCTGGCAGTGAAGTCGCCTTTCTCAGGCGCGCTTCCTAGATCTTCCTGCCGAGAAAACAATGGCTGCCAGCCGATCATCTCTGCCATCTCATGATGGTTGGTCTGCTGCGTGGTCAGAAGATGGCTCTCCGGCGGCAGCGTGCCCCGGCTTCAGAGATCGGCAGAAGGAGAATGCTCCTATGCATCTGGCTCTGCCACGACAGGGACGGAGGCGGAGGTGCCTCCTTGGATGGCTGCCTAACCCAGCATGGGTCGTCAGCGAGAGGTGCGTGTATCTTTGTGTCTGTGTGCGTGGATCCATGCCTCTAAAGATCTCTCAAGTTCACCGGAGCGCATGGAGAACAAACCGAGAGCTGTGTCAGGAAGTCCTTCTGGCTGCCTGGACGGAGCAAGACCTCCACGAGGGTCCCGAAGTTGGCCTGGCACATGGCAGCAAAATAGTCAGCGAGCCAGGGTGGAAGCTACGACGTGCTACGACAGTTCCATGGCCTCCACGGCCCAGGAGGCGCGGCTCTCCGGCACCTTTGAACCGCGCAATACTCTCGCGATATGGGAATCAAAAACAAGAGACCGCCACGAATCGAATCTCATGGATGTTCCGCGCAGCCAAGCGAGGAAACATGAGTACTTGGCCCGAGTACTGTCAGGCGCAGCGCCTGCTCTAAGCTTTGAAGGCAGACGGTGCCACAGCGTGACCCTGACAGGTACAGAGCTTCAAGTACGAGAAGCTGATGAACAACTGTCGGCAGAGAAGCCCAAGCCAGTGCAAGCATGCAGGCTCTGCCATACAGGAGGAGCGGCGCCGCACCTGCCATCCAACTGCGTCACTTGCGACTCTTGGCTCCAGGCAACCCGCCTCCATTCGCACATGGAAGTTTGAGAGTATCGATGCAAGTCACCTCCAGCTCTCAACGCCAGCACAAAGATCCCTGTACAAATGTCTGGTGCTCATGGCATCACTGCTTGGGGTTGGTCTGACTACACTGAACCTCTGCAGATCCGTTTGTGACAGGCAGAGTTTGTTGAGGCGAACACCTGTGAACCCACCGCCATGCAAGCACGCGGCTCTAGCGCCACTTCCTGCGGCAAACGAAACTCGAACACAGCTGTACGGCCGGAAAAGCCGTTAAAGATGCTAGGAGGGTGTGGCAGGGAAACAATGTCAAGGTGGTGTGCGGCTGGCACTTCCTCCTGAACAACCACCTCATGACAGCTAAGGTTTCCCACCTGCCCCGCATGCTGCAAGCATCACGAACCACGCACCTTGCAAGGCGCCTCCGCTAGATCCCAAACCTCAGCGCAAGAAGGGATGAGAACAGACGAATGCAGCAGCCCGAGCCAGGCGATCATCCTAAAACCTCGCAAATTCAACCCTAAGTCTCTAAGTTCACTGCCTGCAACCAGCGTCGAACTCCCTGGCATGCCTCCAGGTCATGCATGCGCAGAGGTCACTCCAAAAGGAAGGATCTATTCAAACATGCCCCTGATTCTCTGCCCGAGTCGAATGAGGAAATGATGGGAATGATTCTTGACAGTTCTAGTGTCATGCGGCATCCAGCAAACGCGGTTGCCTGATCCTCAGCTTTGGGAAGTTGGGCAGCCGCGGCAGCGGCCTTCACGAAGAAGCTGGACAGATCTAATGTGATACAGCTGGTCTGACCCCAAAGACGGAATTTGCAGAAGGACGAAAATTTGGGAGCTCCGCCCCAGCGTGCTTGCTGCTGAGCCGTGTCAATGTCCCTCCTGGGCCCTTGCATGTCCCAGAAACATGAAAACATGAAGGCATCGACAGGCAATCCCTGCAAGATCCAGAGAAAGCCGTGCAGGCAAGATGCGGGATGCTTACAAGCTTCCAAAGATGCTGTGTGCCCTCCTGCGTGAAACCGCTTCCAGCCTGCGGGGGGAGTTCCAGCGGGGCCAGCGGTGCTCCTTCTGCACTTTATGGTGCAAGTATCTGCCCTGCCGAGCTGAACGGCCCATCAGTGACTGTTTGTACGTCTACAATCGAGGAGGCCAATCGCATTCATAGGTTGGCAGGGCTTCCATGAAGCCATCAGCTCGTTTGGCGCGAAGTGGTTTGTGTTGGGTTGCGATCGTGATTGTGACTTTCTTGCTGTTAAGCGGTGTCTGCTGAACCGTGCTGCTCGTGTATTTGCGAAAGTCGCCTTGCAGGAGATCCCTGAACTTTTCCGATGTTGAACACATTTGTCCCTTCCGCATGATGCTCCTGCAGCCGGACTGTGTCCGGCCGTTTCCATTACAGGGATTCAACCGATTAAACCGAACAGATTGTGTCATTGGGAAGAGAAAGCTAAGAGTTCATACCTGAGAAACAAACAATGCAACAAATGATGCTTTTCGCATCCAAAGATGGACTTGCTGAAACAAACACTTCCGGCAACTTGCAGCTGAAGCGGAGGGTCCTCGCATCGCTTCCGCCAGCAGGCCCTTCCAGGGAGGCACAACAACTCCTACTTAGGGTGCTATGCGGTACTGTAAGGTACTGTAGGTTACCAAAGGAACCATCAGGTACAATTAGTATGATATATCCCCATCAATATAGTATAACATATCCTCAATAAGTATAGTATAGTGTAATTTTGTTGTAAAACCTATCCAACTCATGTGACTACGACGGACTTAGTCTTCCACTGCCCAGCCGCCGCCTTGGGCGAGGTGCTGGCTCGAAAGGATGGGCTCTTCAAAGGGCCTCTCGCTGCCAGGGAAATACTAATTTTCAGGGTTTAGGTTTAGGGTTTAGGATTTAGGGTTTAGGGTTTAGGGCTTAGGGTTCAGGGCTTAGGGTTTAGGGCTTAGGGTTTAGGGTTTAGGATTTAGGGCAATGGCAACAGAGTTAGGAGAAGAGCCTTTCCTTTCTTTGGTCTCGCCTTCCCTACGCTCCGTGCATTCCGGATGTTTCACTTCCCTTCCAGGCACTATCGCAAGTGCAGCAATGGCCAAAGTGGCTGTCTTCCAGGTTCTCCTCCCTCCTCTCTGCGGGATCCCCGTATGGCACCATTGCCTGTTGATGGGCTGGATGCGATGACTTCACGGACCTCGGCGAGTGTCTCGCAGGCGACGGCTCCCTCAGAGTGCTTTGCAGGTGGTGGTGGTAAGACCGTCATCTGCCTGGCTGTCTGCGCATGCACACCACTGCGAAGGCTCATTAGCTGCGTGCGGGGATCTAGGGTCCCAGCTGTCAGCAGCACCTGTCAGGAATCTGCGGGGAGCTTAGCCGAACTCAGCCGAGCTCAGAGGAGGCCTGGCGGCCATGGAGCGGCCATGCGCCCTCGACGACAAGGCAGCCGGGAGCGGACTGCCAGAGATGGCCAGAGCTCTCCCTCTCCGTCAGACTCTGCAGAAGGCTGAATTCACTGTCCTTCGCATCCTTTCTGCGTGGGCTCTTGGGCCATGAACCGAACTAGACGCCTCGCAAACGTCTGACAAGGCCGCAAGAAGCTGCTCCTGCATTCGTTCATGGCATCACCGACAGCTTACAGCCACAACAACGCTCTTTTCAATCGCCCGTCCTGCAGAACTGATGTTCTTGTGGGGACCGCATCATTCTGCACCAGGATGCGACAGGTCGGAATGCAATGGTTGGCAGTCAGCAAGGATTGTCACCCTCAGCACAGTACTTCAATTTCTGGCCCCTGTTGTAATCTATCATATTTCTCTACATATACCAGAATATTCCCAATCCTACGATATTTTACTATAATACTATACTATACCAGAATATTACCAATCCCGAATCAAGACCGGGCAGGATGCCCTTGGCCTGAAGCGCAGCGCTCACCGGAGAGGCAGCGGCCTCTAGGCTGAGAACTCAGGGCATAGGGCGAGGCCTCAAAGCTCTGTGGACCGAGGATACTATGGCAAAGTCGACTTATCTGCTACCACGACCTCGCCTTCATGGTGGGTGACTTCTGTCGGCAAAGAACCGGAGATGTCTTGGCCTTGGCAGACACACAACCTCGAGGTCTCGATAGTTCCCAAGGCCTCAAGGTTTGGGCAAGCATGCTAAGAGCAGGACGGATGCCAGTGTCGGCGAGCGAGGCTTCAATGCAGGGCCTTTGCAGAGCAAATCGAAGGCCACAAGCCCGAGAGTGCTGCGACAAGGGCTTCAGAAGCAAGATGGCTGAGCCCTCAGCTGAAGCAAGACGCCTCGGCCTCAACCGGACATGCATTAGCCAATTAGCCCCAGTGACACTGGGCTGCTCCCAGCAGGACTACAGACCAACGCAAGATGCCTCGACCTTCTCATCTCCCGCGTCATTCCGTTGCAATCCTTCGTGAGAGCAGGCTTCAGAGCCGTCTCTGAAAAGAACTCGCGGGCCGCGCTCTGAGAGATGCGCCAAAGGAGCCGTCGAACTCCGGGAGCTCCTCAGTGGCTCGGCTTCTCCAAAGGAGATGCCCCGATGCTCTGGGCATCCCGCCAACCACTGCAGCGTGACCGAGCTGCGAGGGAGCACACCTGGAGTTCTAGAGACCAAAGTCACTTTATGGGTGGCTGTCAAAATTAGGGTCCCTTTTCGGGTACCCAGGTGCCGCATCATATTTAGGACCCAAAAGGCGATCATAAGTTTGACAACCACCCATATCTCTCCTGAGTCAAGTCTTCAGGTTCTGGAGAGTGAAAACTTTAGTCTGCATAAGGCTACGTTAGAACGTAGACTTACACGGGCTAGCTGCCCCCAAGACCTGCCTTGTTTGAAGGAAACCCACGACAAAAACACATATTGAGGCATCTCGATGGCCTAAAGTAGAATGAAATATCAAACACATTCAAAAACAGTGAGCCTCGCAGTTGCACGAAGGCTGCATACTTGACAGTATCAGCAGGATTTTACACGAAACCCGCCTAAGAGCTGGCCTGTTCCTGGGGCCGGCCGGGAAGCAACGATTCCTTGGCTTCTAAAAGTTGCTGGAGTCTTGGGAACTAGGGGATTCAGAATGCCTGGCCGCAGATGTGCCTGGGTCGAATCTGAATTTGCTCTGAGCAGACCGTCTTCTTTGTCTTCATCGATCATCTACCACAGGACGCCAAAAGCAGTAGCACGCACAAAACGGCGATAGATGGATGTTCTATATGAATCTATGTATCAGCAGCAATAAGGCCATAGCATAGGACTTCTAGGACCGTCTTGGCAAGCCTTACGAAACTCATCTGTACAACCCAGTGCAGGCACGGACAATCTTGTCAGGCTAGCCGCCCCCTGCCGCACAGCAGTGTGGCACCTCGTTCAGAGGCCACCTGGCAGCTGCAGGAAGATCAATCAGCATCACGGATGGGTTGATGCTACCGGTACCCAGAGCAATCAGGCGTCTCGTGACAACAGAATACATTTAGCTTCAGCCAAGCCGCGAGGTGGTGACGGCAAGTGGATGCGCACCTACGGAGGACCGTAGCAGCCTGGACGTTGCTGAAGCTGCCGAGATTGAAGAGGTCAGTGGTGATGGGTGGTCGCAGGAGAACTCGCATGAGAATCTGCAGAGAAGAGGTGAGTGTATGTCTGTCGAGCAGTTTGCAATCAGGCAACAAGCTGCTACAAACAACCGTTCGCACCCCATCAAACCTTGAAACACATGCCTTCGAATCATTTGAGCACTGGCCTCTTGGAGCAGTAGCGGTCAATTTCTACCTGGCCAGCGAGAGAAATGACTGTGCTTGATGCCATTTGTCCATATGCCTGAGATCATGGAACGCACCCTGATCAGCTCGTGCAGCAGCACGGCAGTCAAGCGAAACAAACACTGCTACGACTCGCCAAAAAACTTGAATGTCATCATACCATGAGGTGTTGTTGTGTAGAGGACGCACATGTACGTCTTGCATGCAAGACATCGTTTGCACACCTGCTCCTCACGGAGCCGCCCCACGTCCACCACTCTGCACGTCTGCTTTCCGTCGCAGACCACCAGCCTCTCAAGGCTCCGAACTTGTAACTACATCACTACCAGCTATATCAGCTCCACCTCGTGCAGCCGGCGGATGATGCCGAGGGCGGAAGGAAGGGTCCCAACCTCGTTCTTGGGCCATCCAAGGGGACAAGAAGCTACGAGGTCACTCAGCGCCCCGCGTTGTGCCAGGACCTCCAAGATCCTGCACCTCAGTGCCGCACGAAGCGCTGGGGGCCGGGGGTTGCAAGCTTTCATTGCATCTGACTTCTGGGCCATGGACGCTTGGAAGCGTCACCGCCGTCTTTGTCAGACCACGAACTTAGTGCAGATGCTGCATCGAAGCTATTTCTAGGGTCAGTGTGAGCCACTAGCACTTTCCTTCATATAGAATACCATCACCTTCTCACCTCAAGCCTTGCGCAGTAACTGAAAGCTCGAGCTCGCCTCACCGATTCACATGGCTGTGACTTGTCGCCGTTTCGAGGACTGGATTGCCATATCACATAGCGGACATAGCGTAACACAACACCCACTCTGCTTCGCGATACCGCGAATGATGTAGCACGAAACACAAATGGGACTTTCCGGAAATAGGGGACCCTAACATCGCACCCTAAATAGTAGGTTCCTTATTATAAGGGTCCCAAAATAAGGTACCCCTAATTTCGGAACTTCCCAAATACCCTCCAGAATCCCCCCTCGGCATCCAGGCGAAGTCGGTCAAAGAATCTCTGCTGGCGTGCCCAGATATGGAAGCGAAATGCCGGATCACCTGAGCTCTATCAGTTTCGATGAGCAAAGCTGCTGGAAACGACACATCAGAATACATAATACACCCTCAAGTGACGGCTTGTGAGAAACCCCTCTGCGGCTCCCGGCTAGCGAAGGCAACAAAGGAGTCGTTGGTGAAGCCTCCAGCCAGCAGGCTTGCTGCCAAGGAAAACCTGAACCCTCGGGGTGGGGCGTTCCTTTGTGAATCAATCCGACCTTGCTGCTTCTAACGCCACCAAACATTTACACCCCTACTCGATGCATGGCACATGCAACCTCCAGGTGCCGGGCGCCGCCCGATTCAGTCTATATGCTGAGAAGAGTGGCCCCGAATCCACATTCAGGATGTTCAACCCAAGGCCCCCTCAGCGCCTGGACACGTGCCACGCGATCCTGACACAGGGCAGCAAAGCTAAGCAATACTGGTTCACTCATATGCAGTGAAGCCACACGAAAGGAAAAGTGGAAGCATGGGACAACGATGCAGTGAAAGAGAGCGGGCTGCAGAAAACCTGTTCGCCGAACCCGGCCTAGCAGTCGCCAAAGTTTCTCCTCACAACACCATGCCGCTTAGCTCTGAATGTCTGCCTTCTCGGCACATTGTGCCGCATGCGAGTCACTGAATGTGAAGAGGCTTCAATTTCAGCGAGAGAGCAGATCCGGGCGCTCACGACGAACTCGCTCCTTCGGCAAGCCTGGGTGGTCCACTTCCATGCTGTCCTGCAATCCGGAGGGCATCAGGTGGGCACGGTGCGGGGACTCAAATCACCACACAGATGAGCGATGTGCATGTTCAACAGAAGCCGGCAATTTCCTAGGTGGAGTCTGCATTCTTGTTTTTTGCTGATACGGGGCTTGGCAGTCATGAGCAGTCAGACTATTGCGATGCCTCTGGAAGGCATCTCAGAGACACTCCTGAACCTGCAAACCCGCAACGACCCATCAAAGCAAAAGCCACGTACCTAAACTCTGAAACCCTAAACACGGAAGCCGTGAACCCCCGAAAAGAAGTGTTTGTGCCTGTTGGAGCAGCGATGCCAAGAAGGCTGCTGACGCTAACGCCAGGCTCAGCACCTCGGAGACCTGGCAGACACAAACGGCCCTCCACGGTTTACGTTTGATTTTTGGCCGTGGGTTCAGTTCTCACCAAGCCTGATAGGTCAGTAGGAATTGATTGTCGGTCGGGGCTTAGGTTTTGGCATGGCTAGCTGTTTGATGATTGAGCGGGACAGGGTGGAGTGCGCAAGGGGTGGGGACAATGTGCGATCGCTATGTTCTATTTTGGCATGCCTTTTCTCTGGACTCTGGTATGTCATGGATACGTACATACAAAGAAGCAAGCATACATACAAATATATCTATATATATATATATACACGTCGAAGAAGCAGATGTCAGAAACCATGGCGATTGCCGTGTTGTCTGTTTCGCAGGCGAAAGTAACAGGACGGTGGGTCACTCTTTCCCCACTTTCAAAAGGGAACCATTGGCCATTCTCTTGGAGAAGCTTATCTGCGACCATCATAGCACCTGCAATCAGTTATGATGCAGTATTGAAGTGAACACACCATTCGCGAGTGCCAAGCTTGCAGCTGGGTTTTGGGTTGAACTGCATTGTCGGGCAGCGTCTCACAAACAACACACTCGACATCAGTATGGTCTCATCAAAGTCATCATGTGCTGCCCACGCGATGTGCACCGACGAACAGTGTGAAATCAATGGCCTAGAGGCCTAGAGCCTAAAGGCTGAGCCAAAACTGGTCACTGTGCTCTTCTACCACAACTTCACAAGCTGCGGCGTTCCCTTGCAGGCCCTCATGAATGTAAGCAGGAGCACTCACTTGCCTGGCGAAGTCTATGGCTCTGCACCCCCGGCTGTTCATCTGATCGGTCCGCGCACCCGCAGCGATCAGGACTGCTGCAGCTTCGAAGGAGCAGGTGATGATGCTAAGCATCAAAGGTGTCGCGCCGTGACAGTGGTATGCATACGCACTCAAAGTGGATGATCTCCATCTGTGCCGCATCTTGTAGTACTTCATCAGTATGTCGAGTATCGTATGCTGTTTGTGCTTCTGCGAGTTTACGTCGGCACCTGCTGCGATCAAGGTCGCCACAACAGCTGGGTCGCCACCACCGAGCAGGAACACTGCGTTCAAGCAGTGCGCGATGTCAGGCTGAGGAGTGTACGGCAGCAACTCCTGCATGCGCAAGCATCTCACTACATCGCCGCCTGACGGGATAGTGGCAACTTACTTCAACGGTTTGCCTTACAGTAACTAAGCCGGCGGAGCGAAAAGAAGAGGAGGAGGAGACTGTTGTTTGAGACACGAAAATGAAAACGAGAGCTGCGGCCGAATCGCCAACCTCCAAAATCTACACGGGAACGAATACTTACAAGATCTTACAAGACTGAGGCTCCGGGTTCTGCTCTCGAGCACCCCAAGTCGAGGTGCGGAAAACCCTTACTAATCTTAATAGGGTTTTGGGACCCATCATACTATACTTATACGAACCCCCACAATAGCATTAATTATTTATGCCCCTATATGAGCTGTCCTTGAGAACGGCCATTCCACCTGGCCCTCCATGTATCGTGAACAAAAATGGCAAATGGCCCGTCATTGCTGGCACCGTGGCACTTGCACCATGTGCAAGTAGGATCTGAATACCTGCACCCGGACATTATATAGGCTATGGAAATCACAGTGTCACTCATAATATATACATATCTGAGAGGGGGGACCCTTCCCCCTATATATAGCACTCCCTTATGTGCCTTAGTGTATATCTAACCTGCACCCGAAACTGCAACAAGACCCATCTAACATGCTTCGGGAACCGGACAGATCCCAAACCGCATGCGCCTTCTTGATTGTTGCCACTCGACGCCCTGTGCATCGCGGTGCCTCCATAGCTGTCCTTGCACAATGCATCGCGGGCAACAGCTGTGTTTCTACATGTTGCTATTGTGGGCTGCATGCTACAACTACAAAAAGTGAAATTCCCAAACCCACCTTGACACCGATGTCTGCTCGAGCTGCAAGGAGGACCTTCATGGCTTCATTGTGCTTCAGGAAGGCGCAGATTGACAAGACAGAGGTGTTGTGGCCCAGGTTTACCAGCTGCTCTCCCCGCAACTTCAGCTTGTCATTCACATCGGCCCGGCCCTGCAAAAAGCTCACACATCTCGCAGGGTGCGGGCGAGACGTCTCTCAATTGCTGTCACTCGACTAAAAGATTGTACTGATGTGCAGGAAGCGGCACCTCCAGAAGAGCACAAATCAGAAGGGGACTGCCAGCTAAGGCTGCATAGCAAAGAGGAGTCCACCCAGTCGAGTCACGTGCCATACTGGTGAAGCCATTCTGATACATGAACTCTTCCTTGAAGAACACACAGGGATCCGATGACTCTGAGGAAAAGCCCGGCACTATATCCACAATTGGATCCATGTCCAAATTTCTGAAAATCACGCTCTGCAAGTTCAGGATTGTGCGATAGTTGTGCAGCATACCTGTCGACAGGTAACTCAGCAATTTCTCCCTGACAAGGCTCTTCAGGACTTGCCGAACGTTCTGAACGTCCTCCTTGACAGTAAACAGACCTTCACCCACCGGCTTCACCACCCAGTCGAACATGGATGCCAAGATCTGCCGCTGAGCACTTTGCACTTCGATAGCGATGCTGGCTCGCTTACTCAGGTGTCTGACCACGAGCTCTAAACGGCACCACCCCCTCGATGACCACCTCGTCAAAATGTCAAATGTAAGACGTCAACCAGAGTTCGTGCAGTAGCTTTCTTCTTGAGTTCATGAAAGATGGCAACATCTTTGCCAGTGTAAGGGCTATGTATTCTTGAACAGTGTTGTTTAATTGTTTTGACCGAGCACAACTTGCACGATGCAGCATGACATGGAGGTGCCTATGAACGGTGTGAGAATGCTTTGATGCCCGTGCCTTTCAGCGCCTATCTGCAACAAGAACCTGCTCCAGGCTTGCGGAATCCTGCGCCTGTACAAAACTGGTGGTAGATGTTTAACACAGGGTGCCAGTTCCTCCGCTGGCCAGGCCAGGTAAAACGCACTTCATTTCCGGAGTGCGAGTGCGACAAAACCTGCCTGCTCATGTACTGGTGATGTACCACAACCAACAAACACGGTAGCGGCGGCATGATCAAAAGTTTGCCAATGGAAAGAATAGACTATGTGTGGTTCTCCTTTAAATGTTGCCGTTTATGCCAAAAGTGCGACCTGGCCATGTGATCATGACTTTTCTTTCTTCTTCCGTTCTCGATCCTCCGCACCTCAACCGTGCATGGTTCGGAGTCGCCGATGACGCCCATTCCGCAGGCTTCCGCAGGCGCAGTCGAGGCTAACTACTCTGTTGCAAGACGCGGTTGAATCAAAGCAATACTCATGAACAGAGATAAAATGAAACAGTTCTGCGTGAATATCTACATATATATATATATATATATATATATTTTATATGTGGACACATAAACGTTTATCTGCATATACAGTTTTGGGTATACCCCCCTCGATGTAGACATAAACATAGGTGTGCGGGTGTGTTTGTACCTCCGTGTATACGCATATATATATATATATATATATATACATACATACATACATACATACATATATACATATATATATATATATATGTATATGGATAGAGAGGGAGAGAGAGCGGGATTGGATAGTGTCAAATACTAGTGACATGCTGTGAAAAGTCAGCAGACCTCCATAAACCACGAACTTATTACCGTAGAAAAGAACGTCGTACTAGCAAATATTCGTAGCTCACTAGTGATGTTTCCTCCTATCAGCTAACTAACAATATTCACAAAGATCAACAAACGATAACAGAAATTAGACCCATAACTGGCCCATAACGACCGGTAAGTTTCAGCCAATGCCAATAAATATTTCAGTGGATATGAGCAAGAGGTATTGAATATTGGTAAAGATGACAAGTAGTCCATGGAAATCTAAACCCTAAACCCTACATCTACCAACAATCTATACATATGGATCGCTTCTGCGAGCCAGGGGGGCCGCCTCTTCATCCATGTTCGGGTTCTTCTTTCATAAGAGTCGTAGCCACACTACCAGCAATCATATTGGTTATGATCATAATAGATGAATAATTGCATGACATTTCCTCTATTCCGACGCACTCACTCTATTGTTAGCAGTATAATCACATTTCGACTGATGTTGCGTGGGGTGTCCTTTGATTTTCAACCGCACAGTCAGTGCATGAAGCCACTGCTGAAACTAACTGCAAGTAGTACACTGCGGCCGGAGAAATGCAGGCATTATTTTGACACGAAAAACAGGGCAAATCACTGAGCTGCCGACGTTGACTTGCTGAGAAGAGTGCCCAACTGTGTGTGACGAATGGGCGGGCAAAGAATCACAAAAAAGCGACATCTCTCCACGTAGGATGGAATACTTTGGATAGCTGCGGCGCGATGTTCCGCGTCTGTTAAGCCTTGGGGGCAGCAGAAGTAGTCATACCAGAGGAAAAGCTGCTGGGAAACGATCTCCGACACCTTCGCGGCAGATTGGCCCACGTAAAGCTCGATGACGATTCCAGGCGAGATGGAAGTGGTCACAGATTCTACGAAATTGTTCAAAGCTTCTTGTAGAACCTAGTCCATGGTTGGGAGATGGTGAAAAATCTACACGTTTATTCCTTATTGGGCTTAATTGCCCAAATAAACATGTAAATTGTCTTCCAACGATGACAAAGGAGCCCGAATCTGCTCAAACTGTGGGTCAGGGTGTCCAATCCCAGCCCACTGATGCGAGACGAACCTTACTACCCCAATAATAAGAAACACAGAAACAAAAGGGGCCTATAACCCCCAATACAGTAGGATCCATATTAAGAACCCTAATAAAAGCCCAAGGTTAAACTTTCCGATTCCTACTAAAATATAAGAACCCGAAAAGTTTTAAAGGTCAGGTATTGGGGATCTAAGGAACATTGCCTGACCTTGGCTCTCGTCGAAATTCACGAGAATTCCTTCCTCCTCTGTCTGGTTCGAAAAGTATGAAAAATGGGGGAACGGGATTGGGGATTCTATAAAAACCTACCTTTGGGATCCATTCCCCCATTCCCTCAGCACCAGACAGTGCTTGTAGATCCCCTTTAAAGGAACCCCCTATTCTAAAGACAGTCCTTCAGGTCTTCATGTGTCCGGATCTCCGTCATTTCAATAAAGCTCTCCAGAGGCACGGTGTACATGTCGAAATACCTTGGCTGACTTCTGAACCCCTCCTAGAAGTTAAACTTTTAGCCTCTTTATCATAGTTCATATAGAAACCCAAAAGCCTATAATCCCTAAACCCTACACCCATAGATGGCCCATAAACCCTAAACCCTAAATCTACATCCTACACCCTAAACCCTAAACCCGTAAGCCCGTAAGTCCCCTAAATCCTACACCCCTAAATACTCCTAAAAGCCAAAGCCCTAAGAACGCCAAGGTGCTGGGGGGCGCTGGAGCTCCTCCTCTCAGAAAAGAGAACTAGGCTTCAGCCTACCCAAAACTACTACTTTTTTTTGTAGAATCCTAACTCTAATTCCCAAACAAGGTAGGGTTTATAGTAACAAAACTCATAAATCCATAATTACTCCTACGACAAAAGTAGAGTCTCCTCTCAGACACAGAAGAGTAGCTCCCTAAACTAGGGTCCCTTCTAGGGTCCGGCCTGAGCTTCGGCTTCGTCTTTCGCAGGGTGGCCGCGTGCCGCTGCAAGGGCGTGCATTCCTGACCGGCCATGCTGAGTCACAGAGTCCTACACAGGTGATACCGCCGGAAGCCTTGGGATGCCTGAGCTACCTAAGAAGCTCCGGCCTCAGGAACCGCACAAAAGGCCATGCCAGGATGGCAGGGATCCACCCAGGGGCCTTAGGCCCTTGGGGGCCTTGAGCCGAAAGCTTCCACTGTTCAAAGCGGGAGCCGTGCGTCAAAACCCTCTGAAGCGCCATGGGAAGCAGAATCTTGGAGGCAGGAACCTCCATGAAGGCAAGGAGGACAAAGAGGGCTCCCGATGTCTCTGAGGAATGCAGCCTCGGCTCAGCTTTGCCACAACGGGCCTATCCACAGGACTGTGAAACCGCTGCACTTCTGGCAGTTCTGGTCCCCGCTGGCTTGCACCAACTAGGGTTTAGGCAAGGCTGGCCCGAAGAAGTTTGACTTGCGATGCTTCTCAGCAGCCATCCACACCTGCCCCAGGATGAGTGGTCATTAAATGCAGATACGCATCCTGCCTCAAAGCAGACTGACAGATGCGGACCCAAGAGTAGGGTGGTGGCTGGAGGCACTTCCTTTGGTGCATGGCATGGCCTCCTGAGGGATCGCAGCCTTCCTCTCCACCTAGATGACAAGCTGGAATTACACACAGGAAAGGGCGCTATCCAGGCTGTGAGCACTTGTCTGCTTTGGCATTCTGAGTTCTGGCGTTGGGTGCGACTTGTCCCTACGAAACTGACCAGCCAGCACTTCCTTCGGACAGCGGAACTGCACGCACCTGCGGAGATTTGGGTCCACTGTGTGGCGATAGCTTTGACTGCATCTTCGGAGTAGACCTGACAAAGAAGCTGCTGACGAAGAGCGCTTAAGGACTCAACTAGCCAGTCTCGGGGAAGCATCTCAGGCTTTCGGAAAGTTACGAGCGGAAAAGCGAACACCTGCTTGTCACGGGGGAAGTGCCCCGTCGAATAAAGAAGAAACTCCAATGACTGCTTTCGTGCAAGGCCTCGCACTGGAGTTTGGCGAGCGCCTGGTACAGCAGACTCGGGAGCAAAGCTATGATCTCCGTTACTACTTTTTGTAACATCAGAATCGCAGTCGTCGTTGCATTCTCTGCCTGTGTGCTTCGCCTCCCGCACTCAACTCAAGTCCTCTTTGGACTGCTACACGCACATGCGGCCGAATAGAAACACTTAGGGCAGCACCGATTTCTGCAAACTTTGCCGACAGAGGCATCTGCACTTTGGTTGGCCTTGAACCAGCCAGTGAAGCATCATGCCCCACGTCTCATAGTCGCACATCTACTGATCACGTCGGGTGGGCCGCCTAGCTGAAAGGTGTTTGGTCATCAATCTTTTCCAAGATCCACACAGCTGGCGTGATATCTGCTGAAGGCGGTAGCAGCACGTTCTCAAGGCCTAGGTTCAGCAGTCTGGAGGTTCCCGTCGGTGGCTCTGTCGACCAGAGAAACGATCCAGTCAAAGCTACCTCAAATCCGCTGAAGTCCGAGCCCTAAACTCACCCAACTTTCACTTAAGCCTTGGTGGCTGCCCCCGCCAAACCGAAGCCGAAAGAAACGGCAGCAGGGTCTCCCGGCTGTGCCCACCAGAGGCCTCGCCGGAGAGCTGTGCGTCGTAGCGTCCGGCCACGAGCTCCTTGCAGGCTTTGGGCTTTGGACGACCGAAAGGATCGCGACTCTCACCTTCGCACTGGCCGGGGCTATGATCCAAGACCGGTCTGCGCTATCCCACACAACCCAGACGCATCCCCAGAGCTTTTCTTCTTAAGCTTCACGGTCATGGAACAATTGCATCGAACTTCGCTTGCAAGTGGTTGCAAGCATTCTTGCTTGGCGAGCGTGCGTGGATGAAGGCTGCGTCTGATAAGGCCTTTGTCCCGTGTTATCTCGCTGGTCAGTCTCCGAGCTTCCACCATCTAGGCTTCTTTGTGTAAATGACAAGCTGAAAGGTCGTAATATTGTAATTTGCCGGGAAAGGCAGTCTTCGCAGGCCAAGTTCTGTGCGCACATGCTCGAGCTGGACAAAAGATAAAATAGTCTGTACACATCCCCGTGCACTCTTCAGCGCACATTATACATGTTTGCACAGAGGCAAAAGATTAGTCTAAGGCCAATGATCCATCCGCAAAGTCTCTCCACGAATCACCTCAGACCAGGGCTTGTTGTTGCCTGAGGGTTCCTGCGCCGGGTCCTTCGTGGTGAGGAAATCGCAAACCATGAACCTGTCGCCTGCATCATCGTAGAGCCCACAGTATACGATGACCGAATTGCGGGGGTACTCGCGCTCTCCTTTACCTCGACCGTTCCAGGGCTCGTTGTCGCAGTAGCAATTGGCATCCGAAGTTGTGTAGGGACCCACCTTGGCTTGGAGGTCATGGTTGCAGACCCAATTCCAGACTGCACCCACGAAGTAGGCCAGGGTATTGGGCTTGCCACCGTACGGGTGCTGTAAGCCGTTGTAGCCAGCCTGGAAAACCTTTTGCTGGTAGACATTGGACAGCGCAGCCTTCATTTGTGAGCGATAGTCGCCACCGGCTCCTGCCGGCCCCATGGCTCCGACACCCTGGTCGGAGGCGAATTCGATCCCGGCGGCGAAGTTAAAACCACGCCACCACCCACAGCCAGGTCCCTCGAAGGATTTGTCGAGGCCGGGGAGGTACATCGTTGGGCACTGCACATGATCCTTGCCGAAGCTTCCAACGAAGCAGTTCTGTTTACCCACCGGCGTCTTCTTCATGAAGTGCTCCAGATAGAAAACATCTCCGCGGCAGTCAGTCTGGATTCCAGAGCCGTCGCAGCCATGCGCTACCCAGATGTCGTCGGCTTTCCAGTGCTTCGCTACAGGATCCCAAGCGCGAAAGCCTTGGTATGAAAATGCATTCTTTTCCGCAAAGAAGGGCGCCGAGTCGAAGTGCCCCGCGTTTACCCATGAACAGTCCTTGTTGTCCACGTTGGGCATGAAGGCAAAAGGGGTGCAGGAGGCGCCATGCTGTTGGCATTGTGCGCCAAAGACCGCGCTTTTACCACAAGTCTCCGTGACCTGGTTGGCTTCGATGCAGCCTTCCTTCCTCTGATCTTGACTATTCCAGTACACCAAATCGTCACAGCTATGGGCGATTGGTGTCCATGAACTCGACTGCGCCAGGAACCCAGGACCTGCTCCAGCCTCGGACGGCCAGGCCAAAAACCAGAAAGCGAGGAGAGGACGGGTGCTGAACCCACAACTTCTGAGATTGCGCGCCATCTGCAGAGCCCGGCTGAGTTTTGCGGTTTCGGAGTGTTGGCCTTGCTGGGATGACTTGAGCAAAGATTAGATTTGCTGGCGTCGTTCATCCAAGGGTGTGCCGGAGAGCCTCTCATAGCCTGAAGATCTACTCCGTGCTGGCAGGTGAAGCTAGTTTCCCGATTCAGTCATGCTGCTTCCTCCTCATCATCACCTTCATCCGACTCATCATCATCGTCATCGTCAATCACAAGCTTTCTTGATACAGCATGTCGTTGCTGCTCCCGCCTCTTGGAACCACGTCCAGTGCATACCCTGGCTGGCTCGGAGAACTTCGACCTGTCGGCAAAGGCACTACCCAAGAACTCGCGCCTCCCAGAACTGAAGTGCTCAGAACTGCGAACACTGCAGCACCGAGCGGGATATCCCACACCCTTTCTCCATCCGCGCAGGATATAATGTCGCAAGTTCGCGAGGGTGTCTAAGCACTTTGAGTGCTGAAAGACGGACTCCTAGGGCAGCATGCGCCGGAGAGCTGTACGGAGGCAAGGACTCACTTTCCGGCTGCAGGTCTACCGGGGTACAACTGGTACGGTGCGGTGCGGTAGCGCTGGGGTCAACAAAAACGGCTGTGCCACCCACTTTCGCGGTGGAACCTCATCCCTCGCGGGCTGCTAGATCGGCGTGCATCAGCTGAAAAATTAGCTCCGTGTCTTCGGTGTATCCACTCGTAGTTGCTTCGACCGTGGCTGCAGTAGCGTTTATCGCACTTCTCTTATTTGGCATTCCGCTGTTTGATGTGAAGGTCGCAAGCTGCGACCTCTTAAGAGGCATTCAGCCGAGCTTGCCAATCTGCGCCTGCAAATGCTGAAACCGTGTCCGGGCTTTCGGTTCTTCTGTGTGGAGTCATCCTAAAGCTCTTCCTGCAGACACACACACACACAGACATGGACAGTAAGCTTGCTTCATTACTCATCCTACTACTGGTTGCAACCTTGGAAGCAACTTCGACTCTGCTGCTCTCTCGGTGGGCCTTCTTGGCCAGGTGCACTATGCTTTTGTGAAGCACCTCGGCGAGAAGACAGGCTGAGCGTGCATGAACGGCCTTGGGGGCTGGGATGTCAGCTTCCACATCGGACATCGACGAACCCCACTTCTGGGTTCTTGTTTGGGAATGTAATTTACATTATCCTGCTAGGGATCTATAGTAAATGAAAGGGTTTCCTTGTTATGTCAACTTAAATTAAATTCCATAGCGAACCCAGACTTTCCATCCTCTCCTTTTCCAGGCCCCTGACCGAGTCCAACAGCCCAGCAACTGTGAAGATTCCGCCCACAACGGCGCAGACCTGGTCCGAGTGGCTTCTCTGCTGTGCACCCGCACCCTGCAAAACCAGGGACTTGGGAGAGTCGTCTGGGCCTTGCAACGATCGCTCTAGCACGCCTTCTACAATTTTGGGCAGAACCTCGCTTCGAAGTGCCTGGACGACAAAGTGGGACAAGCTCTCCTCCACAGTTCGAACTCGTCAGCACATGGCGATGGTGCAGTTTCATACAGGAGACTGCAGCATGTGCGAGACTTCAGTTAACGTCAGTTTCTTGTACTTTTGCTGCATCGTACTCGTCCTTTGTCTCCGTGTAGCGCACAGTCACCGGCGAGAAGTCGTACCGGAGATAGAGTGACCTGATTCGGCTCTATCTCGAAGCGCCGAGACTTGCCGAGACCACAGACGTGTTTGAGCCATGGAATCTAGAACAGATCCTAAACAGAGATAGTGCCTTCTATGACTACGCGAGCTGTATCAGAGTTGTCTAAGCGATTCATCCAGCTGAACCCCTCACACCTCTGAAGATTCCATGACAAGGTCATACATCAGAGCCCCTTGCAAAATGAACTCGTGAACTTCTCAGTAGAGTACCGATCTTGGTGAAGAGTCTGCAAACTCTGAGTCCGACACGGCATCTGCTGGTTCACTATTTTGTTGGAATTTGCAGTAAACCTTGGGAGGAAGTGAACAGCGGCGACTGCACAAGCCGACGCGCACTCGGGCATTCATGACGAGCTCGTTTCTACCCTGTATCCAAGACGCTGATAAACATGTATCGGCGACCCGTCCAGCGGCACGTAAGTGGTGGGAACCTCTGTACAGGACGCATGTGAGCTAACACACTGATGCTCAAAGTTCCGAGTCGGAGACCACTTTCGTGTAATACTCGTAGATTGCAGAGTCGACGAGCCCGGCGTAGGACCAGGATCCTCTGTCGGATTCAACTGGAAATCCCTCGAACTGCCCTCCCGCGACTGCAAGGGGCCACTGTCTATTTAGGGTACCATATTAGGGCTTATGGTTTACGGTTTAGGGTTTCTGCCAAGGTGCCAAATTTGGAGTCGGTCTTCTCCTTGGGCCTTTGGAGCTGGTCCCAGAAGTCTCTGCAAGGGTCGGGGCGTTTTTTTGGCTCAGGCTGCGGCTCGCTCTTCTCGTGTATCTGTACGACGCCATCGAGAGGGCTCACGATGCCGGTGCCCTGGAAATTGCTCTTGACCTGGATCAGGGACAACCTGGAGCTACAGGGCCCCTGACTTCTCCTTCGCCGGCTCAGATCCTGGCGTATGTGATGTCGGTGTCCACGCCAAAAGAGATGTGGTTCACCTTCCAATGCAGAACTTTGCAGCAACCGTCATCTAAACGAAGCCAAGCAGCGTTAGCGCTTTGCGGTGCTGCTTGTGACACACATGCAAAGAGCTGAACAGCAATGTCCGCAGCCGATGTCACATGCCATTAACAGCTACTCAGCTACTCTTGCATAGCCATAGACACCGTGGCCTTGTGGGATATGTTGAGGTTCTTGGTTTCCTGGAGGTGTTGCGGAGCTACGAGACAGAAGTGCTGCAGTTTTCGGACGAGCACTCTACAACGCAGAAGATCCCTCGGTCGTCCTGGTAAAGGGATCCGAAGAGGAAAGAGTGGCTGTAGGTGGACAGATGGAGGTTCCTGGCATATGCTCGGTTAGGCCATGGCCGCTTGGGAGAGGAACCGGTGAATGTGCCTGCTCATATTAGGCAATCTCCTCTATGTTGCAGGCTTTCAATAAGATCATGGCAGGCTTGCCCGGGAACTTTGTTCACTTTCACGAAGCCTGGCGTAAAGCTGTCCGATGGGGCTGGAGCACTAGCATGTTCCCCTCTCCACAGCCCCTGAACAAACCATCGCCCTCAATGCTTTAACTTTCCTGCGAGGCCTCGAATACGGCAGCCCTCGCCGCTGTTGATGCTCTTGCGGAGAGCATCAACGTCCTGTCAATAGGCTTTGTCCAGTGGCGGGAAAGCGGTGACACGCTAAAACAGCCAATCGCTGAAGCTCTGCCCGCTGTTGCGCACATAAAGGCGAACCCGGCTACGCTACTACTCATGACATCTTTATAGGCTAGCAGATAAGGCGACCCTATTGCAGATGGCATGTTCTGGCACAAGAGCTGGCCTGGTTGCCATAACCTAAACTGTAGTGCCGCGAAAGAGTGGACGACGCGCCGAAGTGGCTCGACCTCGCGGCCAAGGCTCATCACCCCCCTAACGGCTTAGCACAGTCTCATCTCCACTGACAGATTGCTCCCCTCTCACGGAGAAGATCGGAGAAGCATTGAGCCATGCATGCTCAACTGCCAGCATTACGACTAACGTCCTGGTGACACGCAGTCTCACCACGTCGGGTCTATCTAGCTAGCCAGTTTGATCTCTTCATCATCCAAGAATGGCTGAAGCACCAGAGGTTTGGTAGTGCTTGGCAGAGCTAATCAAGCTCAGCGGCTTGATCTCCTGCGTACCTATAAGATCTCCTTTGGACGTCAGGCGGTCCTGCCCAGCAGCGATGCGATTCCAGTCTCACTCTTGCATGCAACACAGTGACTTCAGCTCAAGCCGAGCCGCGTCTGCTGACACTTTTGCAATCCTGCTATGCCGGCCCTCGATGAAAACAGTCGACTTTCATGTTGAAGTCACCCCCGTCACACCGCGCATCGAGTGATCCTTGAACAGGTTGCCGTGGGCATCAACCTTCACAGATGGCCAAGGTCGGCGTCAGGAGAGCTGAAAGCACTGCCATGCACTGGCGCCAGTCTTAATAGGGTAGAGCAGCCGGGGCCTCATGGCTTCCCATGACATCCTGCGCATCGAAGGAGAGCAGCCTCGGTCCATGAGAAACACAAACTCCTCCGCATCCCAGAAGCTTCAAGATGAGCCGTCTTCTTTCAGGAGCCGGGCTCACAAGGCATAGAGGACATCGTAATATCCAAGTTGATCTGCAGCTTCTCCTCAAATCGGCCATGTGCATTCGAATGACAGAAGGCACAGAAGCACGTCATTTGGGCAAGCAAAAAGAAGTGAAGCCTTGAAATAGCTGTGCAAGCTGTCCTCGGTCTTGCTCTCCTCTATTACCATTTCACTTTCCCATCGCCGCTGGATGAGCACCTCGCTTTATTCACAGCCCCCTCTTTCACAACCGGAAGTCTACTTGATGTGGTGCTTCTAAAGAACTTACTCGGAAAGAGAATTCGGCAACACACTGTACCGATACACGATCGTCACAAGAGTAGAGCCTGGGGAAGGCGAGAGGTGAACCGCGTACCGAAAGGCTGGGGCGGTGGCTGTAAACTCTGCAAAGAAGAGATAAAGCGCCACGAGGACCTGAAGCAAGACTCCTTGCGAGATCTTCCGCGCTGTTGACGTATGAGAGACAGGCTTTGTCGAAAGCATGGAATAATGCTCTGGATACGCGGTGCACTCTGTTATTCTGTTGCCTGAGGCTCCAGACAGTGAAGATGGACACTAAGGCACCACTCAGCGTCGGTTCCGTGAGGTCCCGCGGCACCTGGAGAGCGAGAGCAAAGGCATCCATTCCTCGGGACTAGCCGAGACTCTGGGCCTTCCGGTAGAGATCGAGCCGCGAGAGCGCCCTCATTGCCCCTGAACGAAGGTGAAGAAGACTTGAAGAGTCTAGAACGGCTCTCCCGCCCATCCAAATTGAAGGAAACTCGAAAGCTCTGCAAGTTTCGCTCACTGGCACAGAACGAAAAAACTGATTTGCTCCCCGTCCGGCCTCGTCGCTCTGATCAGCAAGGCAGCATACCAAGCATGCTGGAAGGCTTAAGATAGTGTTGGTGTTCTGTCGTTGTTTAAGGCGCCTGGTGCAGAAGGTTGCGTCACCACCTGTGACAAGCAACAAGATAGCTCGTGGCTCGTGAAGAACGCACGTAAGTTGACATAAACCTGTTTAGGTGGACTCAGATCTTCGTTGAAACCTCGAATCTCGGTAGCACGGCCTCAAACGTGTGCTAGCAGCAGGGCGGCTGTTGCAAGGAAGTGCCGTTACGGTGGTGTGGCTTGCGCTGGTCCGAGAATTCAATCTCACATTGATGCCCTTGCAGGCACAAGCTCGGGCCGGATAAGCTGCACCGAGATGCGCTGCGACTGCGACGGCGACGGCGACGGGGACGACGACCACGACCATGCTCAAGACCAGGACCAGGACGACGACGATCACCGTTGCTGCAGTTTGACCTAATTGTCACGGTTCAGCTTCTTCCGAATCCAAGCATCCTGGTAGATCAGCGAGCTTTTGACGGGAAGGAATCACATCCCTTACATCAGGATTGTGACGCTGGGTGCCTCCGAGCAGTACGCCTCCACCGTCTCAATGTCTATCTGCTCTCCCTGGTCCTTCAGCATTTGGGTGTTTGGGGTCCTTATAATCAGGATCCTCCTATTTAGGGTGCTATATTAGGGTCCTATTTTAGGGTTCTATATTAGGGTCCTACATTAGGGTACTATATTAGGATCCTGTATTCGGGCACTATATTAGGGTCCCGGTCATTGAAAGTGGGTTTGCGCGGAGGAAGACAGCTCGGTCTCCTCAAACTCGGATGCGATCGTCGAGGCGGTCTTCCGCTGGCAGACTCGCATTAGCCATACCTCCCAAGCCAAGAGCTTTCTTCCAGAACATATATATGTAGTGTTATAGTACATATATATATATATATATATATATATATATAGATGTATGTGTATGTGTGTATATCTACATATACATATATATGTTAAATATGTAATATGTAACATACATATGATATCTATATATATATATATATATATATCAGATGAAGCAGCAGGCGATGAGCATCCCCACACTTCTGCCGGCACTGAGGAGCCCCGGTAACACTGTATCGCCGCCACCTGCTTCTTGAGGAAGAGCTGCCAATCTCCGTTGCCCTGTCTAGAGACATGTGGACCATTCACAAGTGATGGTGCCACGAAGGTTCTGAAACTACACCCTTCAGGCTTGTCGACGGCGAGGTGCGCCCATCTCATTCCAGCAACATGGAGATTTCCGATCCCTACAGTCAAGCGGAGTAGCCTGGTTGTAACCACAGCCATTCACAACCACCTCAGCAACCAAAACGAGAAGAAAGAGCACAGAGCACTGCCACATCTTAATGCAAAGAACCGTAAGTTAAGATGCATGAATGTTGCGTGATTACGGCACATGGCACCGAGACCTTCGCCCAATCACATGCATCAATCGTCAATGGATCCACTTGAGGCTTGCCTGATGCAGCAGCGGGGGTTTAAAGCTGCGAAGCTGTGCTTGGGATGCTGTGAGAAGCCTTGCACACAGTCCGCGCCTTTCGGGGATCGGTACTTGGCTGTCTTCATCGCCACCGAGTGCTCAGCCTGACTCTGCATCCCGCAATGTGCGTCAGAGGCATACGAAAAAGCCTGACTTCTGTGCGACACGTTTTCTGGCAGCTGCTGTGCACCCGAATCGCCTTTGAAAACCGTCCCACCCACGCCTTCCTGGCTGCCTAGCTCAAGGAAAGCGAGCGGGACTATGCGGGACTGGAGCTGGGTCTACGAAGTCACAAAGCCCCTCCGTGCTGAGCTCAATATCTTGTCCGGTCGTCTCGTTTGTTGAATCCAAATGTGTTGTTCTTTGCTGCACAAGTCAAGTTCTCTATGGCTGCGGACGAAGGAATGCACGCGTCACGTCTGACAATCTTCATGGGCCAGCCAGTTGGCAATGATGGGTAATCTGTAGAGACACCAGCACTGCAGCACCTGATGAGCGCCTAATCAGCACAGCAAGAGGTATTGTCTCCATTCGAGCTCGCATCATTCCAGGGGGGGCAAATGCCCATCTGCACTATTTTTTAGAGTGAGGAATAGATTATCCCCTCTGTCCTGTGGTCCACTTGGTGGCTCCCATTCGGAGTGCCGGCAGCCCAGCAGGGACCGGCAGGGATTCGCTGAAAAAGATGGCATTGGCCTAGGTCTGGCACCTGTGAAAGCCTGGGAAGGCTTGACTTGTTTCAAAGGCCTGAGAACTCTCAGAATCAGAAAACATCCAAGAGTGAACCGAGAACCTGGAGTCTGCCTCCCGCTGCTCCATTGCACGGGGCAACGAATTGCGGAACGGCTCAGGTTGCGACCTCAGCTGCGACGCTGCCATCGCTTCAGCACGAGGGGTCCAAAACAGCCGCCAAGTATTAGCAGTTCAGTGGTTCAGGCTTATCGCTCGCGCAAAAGAAAAGAAAGCTGGCCGTGTCTTCTCAAGTGTTCTTCTCTGCACTACCAAGATAGGTAAGGTCCCCCCCTATCCCTGCAAACCAGCGGTCAGCCTGTCAAGAAGCACGTGAGACATGCTTCATCATGTCCTTGTGCAGCTCGGGCACAACCGTCATTTTGATAGTGATGCCACCTGCAGGGAGGCACGCATTCTGCGGTGCTACTACCAGTACATGTAGTGGTGCATGAGGCGAGAGATCGGGAGAATCTGCAGGCCTATTCGACATGCTGAGCGCATGTGGATCGAAGAGTTTCTACCCCTTTCAACCCCTCTGCCTTCCTCTTCTGGCTTGAACACCTCGCACAGCTGTGCCCACGTCTGGACTGTAGGACTGTAGGACTCTGAAACCATCTGCAGTCTGTAGTCTGTAGATGTCTAGCCTGCGACTCTCCCCAGTAATGGAACAGTCAGGCTGGACGAATGATGGCCTTGCGCACCGTCCATGTAAATTGACGGTGGGCTTTGTGCTGAGCCTGCACCAGGAAGGTCGGATGACTGCAGGACTGCGGCCAGGAGAGCAGTGGATAAAAAGACGCTGGATGGCTCTATGGGTACGCTGTGAGGCTTTCTTGAGTTGGTTGGCATCCAAAAAATGACAAAGACCAGCCAACGCGAACAAGTTTCTCGTGCCGCGAAACGCAGCGGTGGCAGCACATAACAGCAAAAGGAAACGAACTCATGCCATCCAAATGTCAGCATGCCGATACAAGCTTCTATCGTTGCACGGCCACAGCTGTTATCGTATGACAAATCCACTTGGGGCCACCTTCTCGATGGCTTCCATGGCAATAGAAGCAGTGAAGGCCCCCTGGAACTCAAGCTTGACCTTTGGTCGGACTATGCGGGGCTCGCAGAGGGGAAGAAAGAGCGAGCGAGCGAGCGAGCGAGAGAGAGAGAGAGAGAGAGAGCGAGAAAGAGAAAAAGGGAGAAACCGAGAAAAAGAGAGAGAGAGAGAGAGAAAGAGAGAAAGAGAGAAAGAAAGAGCTTGTTCTTGGCTTTTCTAGGCTGGCTAAGCTCACGACCGTTCGCTTCAAATTGTTGCCGGCGACGTCCACAAATTTGCTCATAATCTCGCGGCAGGAACAAGCAAGCAAGCAAGCAAGCCAGGATTCCAACTAAACTCACATCATCCCTTGTCATTGTTGCGGTGCTGTGCTCAGAAGACTTGCTACTGCGCGGACACTGCGAAGCACACCAGGGCCAGCACTGCGGATCCGAGCTTCGTAGAGTTCGTTGTCTTCGAAACCCGCATCTCCTGGCTACGCAGCTTCCGTACTCGTCCCGAAGTCCAGGTCGCCCCAAGTCCTAAGCCCATGACCTCAGCATCATCATCCGCGACAGGCTGGAAGTGCTGGAGCACTCGCACCCTGGCCGCCATCAGATGCACTCGGAGGTTGTCGGCAGAGCATGCAAGGACTTGGCTTGGCCTCATTTTGCGATCGCGCTGGCGGAGCAGAAACTGTGCCTGAGCAGGGACAACGCGGTAAAGCCTGCTTGGTCTTGCAATCAAGATATACTAATACTACTATAATACTAATCTCACTAAAACACTAATATTTCTACAATACTAATACTACGATAATAATAGTAATATTAATATTGCTATAATAGTAATATTTCTATAATACGAAATATTACTGTAATACTCATATCACTGTTTTAACTTATATCACTACAATATTACTATAACTTTAACAATGATACGAATATTGAAAACTTGGCTTCGAACCGCCGGTCGAAACTCGTGGGGCATCTCCGCGATCGCATACCTCTCACTCACTTTCCACAGAAGCAGTAGTTAGTAGCAGCAGGAGTAGTAGAAGAAGTAGGAGCAGCAGTCGCAGGAGGACGAGGAGTAGGAGGAGGAGGAGTAGCAGTAGCAGTAGAAGGAGGTCGTAGTCATCGTAGTAGCAGAAGCTGAAAAGGTCAGGCCGAACTCGGCCGACAGGTTCACTGAAACAGATCATGCTATGTAGAAGACAAACTTCCCATGCTTTTTGAGCTGCTCTTACACATGAAACAACCTCCGGACTTTCTGTCTAGAAGAAGTCTGAGTCTAGACCTTGCCTAGACAGGAAGCCAAGCGCAGCAGTCATGACAGGGTGCAGCATGGTGCTCCGGTTCCGAGGCGATAGTAGAACAAGATCTGCAGCCTCGGGAAGCGACGGCGTCGCTAGCGCGGACTTCTCAAGAGGAGACTGCAGAATGGTACCTGATTTTGGGGCTCTTTTGGTGAGGATCCTACATGAGGATCCCACCTTTTTAGGGTACTATAGGACTGCAGAATGGTGCTCCTGGGTTCCTGGCCCTTTCTCCGGTGTTGAAAATCGCAACCATCGCCTCTGCGGCTGCGCTTGGAAAGTGAGTTTTCAGCTCTGGACAAGGTGGCCGCAGTCACAGCCCCTTCCGACCCGGGCTTTTCCTTAAGACGTTCTGGCTTGTGCCGGTATTTCGAGGACTTGCCAGCCTCATAAAATCTGGAATATGGAACAGAACTAAATCTGGAGTTGTACAGCGGTTGTCGGCAACCAGCTGGCAGTGAAGTGAGACATGGCCGTGGCCCTGTACAGTCCGCATGATCGCCTCTGAACAAGGTGTGGCAGTAAACTATTTTTGGCTTATTCCCACTTTGCTAACGGTGATGTCAGGTTGATTATGTCGGGTACAGCTCCACCTGGCATCATGGGGTCTCACTTATCCTCAAACTGAGTCCTAGAATTTGTCTTGATCCGCATGCTGTACAGAGCAGGACCTTGACGCTCATGCAATATCTGATTGGACTTGCAACCTTTCACAACTTTGCGTATCCATGCTCCTCAGTCCGCTGCCTCTTCAAAGTGCTCACCACATCAAAGTCCCAATCATCTCTGCCGCCAGTGGCCTTCCAGTCGACGGTGACTGAACTTCCAGCTGGCAGCTTGTCTTCCAGGACCAGGGTGCTGAGCCGTGAGACCAGATGTCGCTCCATGTAGCGCTTCAATGGCCGGGCACCCATTTCTGGGTCGTGAGCTGCCTTCAACACTCGGTCAACTGCTGCGTCGGTGATGTGCATGGTGACCTCCAGCTCCTCTAACCTGCGCACAACGTCAGCCAGCTGTAGTCGCACTACCTGGCGGAGAACGTCGCCGTTGAGCGGGCTAAAGACAATGACATCGTCCAGGCGATTCAAGAGCTCTGGTCTCAGGGATCGCCTGATCGTCTGCAGCACCATGTTTCGTGCCTTCTCCAGAGCAGGTCCGTGCCGACCAGCATCGGCCATGGCCATGAGGTGCTCAGAACCAAGGTTGCTAGTCATGATCACAACGCAGTTGGTGCAGTCCACCGTCCTGTGATGAATTTCAACTGAGCGGCTTAGCACGGGCAAAACTCTAGCTGCACAACGTCTGCCCACAAATGCAAAGCATCCTAAGTCTTATAAACCTTGAAGGTTCTAGGTTCTTGGTCTCTTAATGCATCTTAGAGAGTGCATGCTCAAGCCGCTGCCGGCTTCTGTCGCCGTCCTGCCGTGGCTGTCGGTGATCCGGCCATCGTCGAGCAACTGCAGGAGTACGTTGAGAACTTGTGGATGAGCCTTCTCCATCTCATCGAAGAGGACCACGCTGTAGGGATGCCGGCGCAGAGCCTCAGTTAGCTGGCCACCAGCTTCGTGTCCCACATAACCTGGAGGTGCTCCGATGAGCCTCGAGACCGCATGCTGCTCCATGTACTCGGACATGTCGAACCTGATCATCCGCGCCTCGCTGTCAAAGAGCTCTGCGGCGAGAGCCTTTGCCAGCTCGGTCTTTCCCACGCCTGTAGGCCCGGCAAAGAGAAAGGACCCGGTGGGCTGGTTCCGACGTGCGAGGCCGGCGGCGCTGCGCAGCACGGCGCGGGCCACCGCGGCAGCCGCCTCCTCCTGTCCGATGACCCGCTTTCTCAGCTCCGCCTCCAGACTCAGCAGCCGGGTCTTCTCCCCCTGTGAAAGTTTGGACACCGGAATGCCTGTCCAGCGCGAAACGACCTCGGCGATGTGGGCTGGTGTCACAGTCTCCACTAGCAGTGGGCTCTCTGTCGCGTCCTCCTGGTCTTTCTTTTTTGCCTCGAGCTCGCG